TCTCAGAGGAAAATATGTTTTTGCTCTTCTCCCGACTGGTTTCGGCAAGAGTAGCCTGGCTGTTAGTACGTCATATGCTTCGTTGATCTGATTGGTTTATTTGGCCCGTCTATCACCAACATAGGCCAATCAGCTAACCAGTATTTTCGCCCCTTCCCAAAATTACTTCAACCGAAGGTTTCCAGATGGATATGCGGAGCAAATCCATCTGGCGGAGTCAGGTTATGGTCTCACTGCCTTGTAAAAATTTGGAAGAAGACTGGAAGTAGTTGGAGGATAATGGCACAGCATATTTGGAGTCATGAAGAGACTGAGTAATTTGTATATTTAGTTAGCGACATAAAGCGTGATGAGCACTAGAACCGTGGCTAAAATTTGGATATATCTTATGTGTTTACATCTGCTGCTGCCATGTTTTTTTTCAAGAGTAATTGTGAACAAAAGTATTCTCAATTAGCGGAGTAACATTTGTGTACATTTGTCCTGAAAACGCAGCTGTTTTAACAAAAGGCAGTCTTGCATAGTATCCCTTCTGATGGTATGAATCCAGTTAAACTATACACAGTTCCAATCCCGAGAGTTTATGAAAAATGTGTGGTTTTGGCATGACAATTGTGGGAAAGTTTGAGTGTGAATACGTTCCCAAAGCACTTTCACACCAAATTAGAGCAACCTTTATGAAAAGTGTTCCAGCAATGCTATTGCAAAATGTTTACCAGTACTGGAATGCGAATCATAAATCTCCCCACGGAAACAGTCAAACCAGCATAGCCACACAATGAATGCCTCCTTGATGCAAAAGCCCATTTAAACAGGAGAAACTCCCCATCTTATGTCGCAACATTAATGATTAAAATATATTTTTCAAGAGCCAGCTTTATCTTGGCTTGACTGGAGTGTAGCCAAAACATAGTTGCCTCATCACTTTGGTAAAAGAGTTAAAAAATGCTGACAGGCAGTACAGGAAGCATGACCCAAATAATCGACTTGTGTAACTTGCTTAAACAATAACAGCTTCTGATCGACTTAACTGTCAAATTAGATGGTTTCACACCAGGCCTTCCTTCAGGGGTTGAAGGTTAACAAAAATAAATTCTTGACATAAAAAAAAAAATATAGATTTTGTGACTAAATCCCATCATAATCCCATTGAAGGTGTCATTTACATGTTTATTTGCAAGTTTCACATCCATGTCATCATATTACCTAAACTACTCATGTCATATTCTGACCCTTAGTGCCCAACAACAAAGAAATATTTCAAAATACTTCATATTTTTAATGTCAGTTACCGCTTTATTTTATTTTTTCTGGTTAAATCAAACTAGAATGGAAGGTTGTTAGGAAAGCATGACCAGGATGGCAGAGGAGGTGTAGCAGAAATTTAAAAGCAATGTCCTTCCTTTGTTTTTATGGGAAGCAAATATGGAAGATTTCTAGAGAAGCACCGATCCAGTTTTCCAATCCAATGCAGAGCGGATTGGAAAAACCCTGAGTGTATCAGTGAGTGTATCGGGCTGATGCACTCAGCCTGATCGTATCAGCTGATATACATTTAGCACACTTCCTGGGCTGAGTTTATCAGCCCCATATGATCAGATTAAAATGTTGAATGGATGAACTGTATATCTTATCATGTGACTGAAGGCTTTAGCCTTGACATATAAATTGTTTAAAAATAAAAGGTAACAAATTAACACCGGTATAATTGTAATTATTAACAAATAAGCAGCAAAAATAAAGAAATATCAGTTCTATATAAAGTGCTTTGGATTGGCTCTTCGATATTAATTACCGATATCTGATCTGGAGAATTAGTCGATATCGGAGCTGATATCCAATCCAGGTATCAGATCGCTGCGTCTCTTTAGATTCTCCTTGCCGTCTTCAGTTTCCAGCTCCTTCAGGATCTAATATCACACACACTGAAATCGCTCAGACTTCCTCAAACCAAGCGGCGTCTCTACACAGAAAAGAAAGAAGGTCGGATATTCCCATCAGCGCAGTCAGCATGTGTTTCTCTCTGAGGTCTCAGGGAGTAAAAGCCAATTCTTAGTTCACTCCAGCATCAAATCTTCCTGGCAGATTTCTTCTTGTTTGCTCCCTTCCCCTATGATAGTTTTATGAATTATTCTACATCTTCTCTAATGATTCATCTATAGACAAAAAAATCCTTAGTTTTTTATGTTACTTCAAATGTATTTAAAAAATAAAAAAAGCATGCTTTTAGAATAATTTTTTCTTCATGCGTTATGCAATTGTGCATATTTGGATTCTTGTAAGAGATGTATGGATCTAATTAACAAGGACATGAAAGTAGTTGGTGTGAAAAAAAGAGACAGAAGATAGGGTTAAATGTAGACAGATGACTCGCTGTAGAGACCTTCTGAAAGGGAAAAGTGACAAGCAAATTTAAATTTCTCATCTGCTGCCCCCTGAATGTTATTATTGCTGATGCAATCACTATTGTACTAGTATTTGAATAAGACAGCTTATAGTAAACAACTCTTAGACAAAACTATAAGAGCCTTAAATGTGGGTTACATTACCTTCTTATAGATCAGCAGGGACTAGAGCAGTTTACGGCTGTTGTCGAAGTAGAAGGCCAGTCTTTACTGGGAGTTAATGTCAGACTGTGAAATAGCATAGACTCCAGGGTTTTTCCACATTCACTTCCTGAAATAACTGACAATTTGTTGATGTATGCCACAGCTGTGACCTCCACAGTGTCTGAATTGTCTGATCATTTTCCAATAACTGCTTTCAACAGATCCAGCAACCTGCAGTTGCATATATATCTAATACACCCCTGCTGTGGTTTCTAGGCTCGTCTCTGGCCCTGGGTTGTGCATCTTTATTAATTGAGATGCAAACGATCCTTTTGAAAGTGCTGAAACCCAAGGATCAGTTGAACCTCAGAGTCATTGAGATTTTTTATGACTTGAAGATGTTGAAGTGGTGGAAAAATGTTTTTGCAATAATATTTAAAATTATACATTATTTTTTCTTGCATTTAAGTAGTTGGGGCTCTCAATTAACATTTTGCTTGTTTAGGACCTATACCCGTAACTTTTTTTCTTATCTAGAGACCAGCACAAAAGTTAGTTTAGAACTGCAGTTTTCACATATTATATAATATTATTACTATGTAATAATAATAAGCTGACAATCTGTTCAATATGAAAATATTATTTCAAGCCAGATTCTGCAGAAACCTGGTTCTGAAATGACAACACTGAGCTTTAGTTTACGGTAAATAATAAAAACTCTGTATTAAAAGTGAATTATTAATTAATAAGTGTATTCAAAAAGTACATTACTTAAAAAAAAAACCTTAAACACGGCGCTTAACCCTCTGATGCATGAGTTATGAAAGCCTTGGTAAAGTCTCCGCCAAATTAATTGTCTTGGATTATCCAGATATATTTATGGGCTTCGGTATGGTCAGGTACCCTGTACCCGTCATCTATAGCCTCCTGATCATTGCTGACCTTCCTCTGTATCCAGGCCCTCATCATCCTCACTTTCCTCTAGGCTGCCTTATTCTTCGTTGTGTTTGAAGTCTATAATATAAATAAGTGCTATAGTCCTTGCAAAAAAGTTTTCAAAACGAACCACTGGAATTTGTTTTCCAAGTTTGAGGACGTTTCGCTTCAAATCCAGGAAGCTTTTTCAATTTAAAATAGTCACACAAACTACAGCTAATCTGCACAAAATATACACAAAGTATACTAAAATGTAAATTTTAAATGAATAGCTTATATGTCCAAGGTTAAAACACTGAATTATGATATGAGCAATTATATGACTTCTGTTGAGAAAAATGTAATGGCTGATCCACTTCATTGAACACATGGTTAATGGTAATTTTCTACATAATGGATAAAAATTTAATATTTGAAACTGATAATATCTTAGATGTTACTGTAAATCATCAGATTTTTTTCTACAATAGAAGTATTGAGAGGATATGCCAGAAGTGGTCGACAGATGTTGCTGATTGTTGGACATCTTGGATTCAGAAGAAATTCACTGGCAGTTACAATGACAGACCACTTAATTGACCTATATGGAGTGGGGCAGCAGAGAGCATTCTAGACACTAAGATGCAGTTTCACTATAGAAACCATAAAATTAAAGAGATATTTACTTTTTGGTAGCTGTCCACTACAGTGACCGCTAAGCTCCAGAGGTTTAAATGAACTTTCAATAAGGGCTTTACAGTTTTCGATTTTATGAGAAATTATAAAAGTATACTTCAAAATATTTGGAGTTAAAGTGAAAGTAACATAACACAGGTTACATACCATTAAACATTGCTGTAAATATTGGCAGTATTCTTTTGTCCCCTAGGAAAACAATGAAAAGGTTTAAAATTTAAAGGAATCATATTCAAAAGTACTGATAATAGTTTATAACTAAAAGCAAAAAATTTGAAAGTTCTATAATGTTTGTATTTCCAGTTAAGGCACAGGTTCTTTCCTAGGGGGTTTTCATTAACAATATCTCTCTAAAAATATCCTGATGATTTATACTACTAAATATACAACCAAAGATGAAGAAAACAGATTTAAAAACATTGCTTGAACCTACAAAAAAAAAGACATTCAACAAGTTAAGATTAATATCTAAAGCTCCTCTCATCTCCGCTCACAGGTGTCTCAGTTCCTGTCCTACTGATCACTGAATCGCATGTCTCTGAGAAGCGCAGCGTGTCACATTTCAGGGACAAACCATCTGTGATCTAGTAAATTGTCACTGCAATTGCAAAACATTTGGGTTTTATTGAATCGGGGCTGACGATTGTCTCAGCTGAAGCCCTTTGCAGTTATTTTTACTGTACTGCGGTGTAGGGTTTGTTTGCTGGGGTTAAAAGGGTAAACAAGGATCGTATCTTACTGTGGTTTTATAGTTTAGGTGAGAGACTACTATATGTTAGTCTCTCACCTAAAGTCTCATAAAAAAAAAAAATAATAAGTTTATGCATTTTCTCCTTGTTTTTCGGGGTTTTTAGGTTTGACAGGTAAAGCTCTGGTTTGTGGCAGATCTGGTCAAGGTAATATAAGCGTTTTTTTAATTGTTTAAATAAAAGCATTGAGCAAAATTTGACTGACAGTGAAGTATTCAGTGTGCAGCTGTTTGTCTCTTTAGGCCCGAGGGTATGTTGAGACATCTCAGCACGCCAGAGAAGAGGTGTCTAGGCGGTTCGGACGGGGACTGAAGGCGAGGAGGACAGACTGACAAGGGACCAGGGAGGAAGACATGGGCCAGTGTGTCACAAAGTGTAAGAATCCAACGTCCTCACTCGGCAGTAAGAGTGGAGACAAAGAGAGCAGTTCCAAGTCCCACAAGAGAATCGACAGCGCTAGTGGTGGGGTCCACAAAGAGGATTCTAGTGCGCTTTCAAGCAAATCCACCAGCGAGCTGCTGAATGGCACCAAGGCCCTAGAGGTCACCGTGGAAACGCCCATCATCTCCTCAGCGATGAGGGAACCCTGCAAAGATGAAAGCCTGGATGGTGATGGGCTGTCAATGGCGCGCATAGAGGAGCTTTTCAATCACTATAAGGACGAACTGGAAGATGCCATCTTGGAGGAGGGAATGGAGAGGTTCTGTAATGATCTCTGCGTGGACCCGGCGGAGTTTCGTGTTCTTGTCCTCGCCTGGAAGTTTCAAGCAGCCACCATGTGCAAGTTTACGAGGTATGGTGAAGTGCTAAGGGATTTTTAATGCAAACAATCATCAATTTACACAAACAGTTAAAATACATCCTTGATCCATCCACTGTCATCTCATGGGATCAATTCAAAATCACATAGTTGTCATCAAAGTCTGGAAACCTCTCATGTCCTCGTGATTTGTTCTTTAGGTGTTTTTTTTCTCCTTTCACTATTTTTAAGATGCATTTTAATAATTGTTTATACGAATGAAGTTGTTAGACTGAAACTGAATACAGAAATGGGAAAGTTAAATATTAATAGGAGAGAATTTGTTAAAGGAGCTGTGACTCTGACCACATCAATAATTGTTTAAAACAATTATTAACGTGGGATGCCTTTCCCCACATAAATAATTGGGGTGCAGACAGATGTAAGTCCTTAATACTGAACTGGTCCAAATAGAAGCTTTATGTTTTGCCACTGTGATGAATGGGAGCCTGTCCTTCTGTTATATTCTCTCCACCATGACCACAGTTGCTGTAACAAGATGAATAGGGCTGCCTATTGTTTCTGCTGTGTTCAGAGGCTTCACAACAACACTACACCCAACCCATTGTTGAGCTTTGCTAACTGGAGTACAACATAAAAAGGCTGAATTGTTGATTTTGGATAAGTACATCTTCCAAAGTCTGTATTTGCATCCTTGTATTTTTTGGAAAGGAAAGCCAGCCTTTTTAACAGGAAGAAACCTCCAGCAGAACAAGTCTCAGTGTGAGCGGCCATCAGCCAAGCTGGACCTGTGGTTCAAAAAGACATAAAAAAATGAGGCACTGATTCTTTCTATTTAAAGGTAATAATAAATTAGCTGAGGGGATTCTGTCAAGGAAAGAAACAGGTAGGCATATGAGCAATACAATGGTTTTCATCCTAAAAGGGTTGAAAGTCACATAGTTGGTGACGGTAAAGGTTGAGCCTTTAGCTATGTTTAGTACTGAAAGACAGGCTGAACACCATCATCTATAATGTAAGTTATTAATGGAAGCAGGCAAGCTAATGCCTACCTCCAGGATGGTGTCACCGCTAAACGGAGCACAAATAAAGCTGCAGAGAGAACATTAAAGGGGAACACAGGTTTTTTTTTTTTTTACATTTGACCCTTGATTTTACGTTATTACATCATGTTCTTCACACCCATAGGAGTTTTGTGTCCTTGGAGCTGTTCCGAAGATATTCGGTTTTGTTATATCCAAGTAACGTCTTCCTATGGGCAGCGACTTGAAGGCTTAAACTAAACTGTTCATAATTTTATTTTATTAGTCTTTATGGTACGCCATCATTCATAACATGTAGGCGAATCACTGTTCCCCAGACATCCACGGTTATATTTTTTATATTTATATTTTTTTAAAACAAAGCGGAGTTTGTATGACCAAACTACATTCACAAATATTTTTGCAGGTTGTGTGTTTTCCCATTATTTTGCAGCGCTACGACACACTTTTAATGTAGATTGTTATTTACCTTTAGATTTAGAATCGGATATTTTGTTTCTTACATTATAATTTTTTTTAAGCAATTCTTGTAGGTTTTGTAGTAAATCATCAGTTTTTTCTCATGCACATTTAGAAGAATTGCATCGGAAAAGTTTGATTGAAATGGTAAATTCGAAAAAACGTAATCACTATCCCCAAAAGAGGGTTAATGCTTGCTTGAGGTGTGTTTTTTTTTTTTTTTTTTTTTTTTTTTTGCTTTTTGCAAAAAAATGGTTAAAGCACAAAACAGGAGATGGGAAGCACTTTTTTCAAATTAGTTCTGACTTTACCTCACATGACTTACCTTTATGTGCGTAAACATGGCTTGAAGCAGCATCAACATTACTAGCTTATATGATATCTTAACATTAGAATAACTGCCTGATAGCAACACATTCATTGAGACTTTCCTCCATTATATGTGGTCGGCGCTGGATTGCAGCGTCTACTTCCTGTTTGTTACAGCCATTTGTGATGATGTAATGTTGAACACGACATATGACAACAGTACGCTTAGTTTCACTCGACTGATTTGATTCACACCAAATGGAAACACCACAAATTCACATCTCCTGTTTTTTAAAGTTTTTTTAATTGTGCATTTCAGTTTGATGGAAACACTGTTATTTTAATTGAATGAGACTTGCATAAACTCTGGTCTGATTAACTTATTTTTTTTATTCATGTATTTTTGTCATTAGGAAGGAGTTTGTTGAAGGCTGCAAGGCCATCAGAGCGGACAGCATCCAGGGTATTTGTTCCCGCTTTCCCTTCCTGCTGGTGGAAGCTCAGGGAGAGGAGAACTTTAAGGACCTTTACCGCTTCACCTTCCAGTTCGGCTTGGACGCGGACGAGGGCCAGCGGTCGCTGCAGCGCGACATCGCCATCGCTCTATGGCGACTGGTTTTCACTCAGGACACACCTGAGATCCTGGAGCACTGGCTTGACTTCCTGGCAGAGAACCCGTCGGGTGTGCGGGGCATCTCAAGAGACACGTGGAACATGTTCCTAAATTTCACTCAGGCCATCGGGCCAGATCTCAGTAACTACAGCGAGGACGAGGCCTGGCCCAGCCTCTTTGACACCTTCGTAGAATGGGAGTTGGAGCGCAGGAAAAAAGAGGAGGAACAGGGACTGTTGACGAAGGACGAAGAAGGGAGGTGTACAGAAACGAACTGTCCCTCCACAGACAGACTGGAAACAGAGGGGGGCCGTGGCTCACAGACCTGGGGAGGGCACTGATCCGAAAACAGAAGATATTTCTATCAGAGGGAAGAGTATGATCTATAAATGAACTGGACACTTGGGAATTATTGGATGGAGATTAGTATTACCATTTCAGCTTTTCATTTAGCTCCTCTTTATGTTGGGATGGGATTCCTGCTACTCCATTTATTTCCTCTTTTCAAAAGGGCTCTGAGAACTGTTGTTTTAAGCACTTCTATTTAAGTTATTGTTTTACTTTCTCCCATCTTTTAGTAATTGAACATATGCTCCTTTTTTTATGTATTCAGGGTGGCTAAACAGAATTGGCTCAGTAAAGAGTTGGGGTAATAATTGCATTACAACCATATCTAGCATCCCAAAGTTTTTACCTGGTCACACATTTAAAAGTCAAAGTCAGAATAGAAAAAACAAAACGTGACGACTGTTATAGAGATGGAAAGGTTTTCATTTTGCAGTGTTTTAAGTATAAATGAATAGATTTTAATCATGTCACGAGGACATTTCAGTTTTAAAGCATCACTCATTGCTTATTTTTGCACAGTTTTATCAGCCCAACCCCCTCTTAATGTTGAGTGTTTGGAGCTCTGCCCATCGCTTCAAGCAGCTTTTTTTACCCACTTCATCCAGAAATGTTGATGTCAACCTTCTTTCAAAGGCAAAGGCTTTCATCCACTGCATCACTCATCTCACCGATTTTAAAATAGCTCATCAAAGTAAGCTTATAGCTAAATCTGTGAGTAATTTGTGCAGAGGTTGCATGATCTGTCTCTAAGCACCTCACAAGCTCATAGTTTAATGCAAGAGTTTCACTCTTCACACCCTTGAACTGTGATTAAAAAGAGCAGAGTTTACACGTCATTAATGATGCAAATAATAATGCTGCTGGTAGTGGTTGTAATGATGAACCCCCATGGCCTGCTAATTTGCTGTACTTGAAATACTTTGCAGAGAGATCAATGTTAACCATATAATTACTGTTGGAAAGATTTTTTTTTTTTTCTTTTGGTCGGATTTAGAAAAAGGTGTTTTGGAACCAGTGTTAAAGTAAACCTGCTGGTTGATCAAGACTCTGGGATGAAAATGGTTTATTATGAAGAGAGGGAGACCATTTCTTGAATTTGTTGGGTTTAAATCTAATATGGTTTTATCTTAAGCCCACTTTTTTTTTATAAGAAGTGTACTGATTTATAATAAATAAAAACAGTGTTGGATTTTTCTTGTTGAGCTTAAAAACTGGTTTTATTGAAGATCTTTGGTTTGACGTGCATTTTGTTTAGTATTTGAAGGTGTGGAAAGTCGTTATTTTGTTTTTGTCCCATGGTCTAAACATTTAGTTCGTTTTTCCACATAAAAATTAACAAATTTCTAACCTTTGATCCATACATTTTAATTATCAATTATCCATTAATTCAGCCACCTTAAACACCCCTTCATCTATCCATTCAACTGTTTTAATCATTAATTCATAATTCTATATTCTTTAATCAACTATCAGTTTAATTCCTCATTACCTCATTTTCATCCTTTTTACCATCTGTCAGTTTAATGACCCATCCATCTATTTGTGAGTCGGCTTTCCAGACTTTCATCTATCTTCTTATATCAACTGAATACCACCATTTCATCCTCCCCCATCAAGCATTATCCGTACACAGTGGCGATTCTAGATAAAATTAACAATGGGAAGCTGATGTCACAGTTGCATCATAATACAAGAATGGATCAGTCAAAGTGTCATCCGGCTTTAAATGTTGAAAATCTACTCTGTTTGTAAAATAGTAAGTCTTGAAATCCAGCCCTAAATGTACAGAATACCTGAAAGTCTTGAATGTAACTTCGTAGCATTTCTGTTTCAGTCTCATTCAGACTCTGATCTACAGGTGCTGGTCATAAAATTAGAATATCATGAAAAAGTAGATTGATTTCAGTAATTCCATTTAAAAAGTGAAACTTGTATATTATATTCATACATTACATACAAACTCATATATTTCAGATGTTTATTTTGTTTAATTTTGATGATTACAAATGACAACAAATGAAAATCTCAAATTCATCATATCAGAAAATTAGAATATTGTGAAAAGGTTCAAAATTGATGGCCCCTGGTGCCACACTCTAATCAGCTAATTAACTCAAACCACCTGCAAAAGCCTTTAAATGGTCTTTCAGTCTAGTTCTATAGGCTACACAATCATGGGGAAGACTGCTGACTTGACAGTTGTCCAAAAGACGACCATCGACACCTTGCACAAGGAGGGCAAGACACAAAAGGTCATCGCTAAAGAGGCTGGCTGTTCACAGAGCTCAGTGTCCAAGCACATTAATAGAGAGGCGAAGGGAAGGAAAAGATGTGGTCGAAAAAAGTGTACAAGCAAGAGAGATAACCGCACCCTGGAGAGGATTGTGAAACAAAACCCATTCAAAAATGTGGGGGAGATTCACAAAGAGTGGACTGCAGCTGGAGTGAGTGCTTCAAGAACCACCACACACAGACGTATGAAAGACATGGGTTTCTGCTGTCGCATTCCTTGTGTCAAGCCACTCTTGAACCACAACAGGACTGGACTGCTGGTGAGTGGTCCAAAGTCATGTTCTCTGATGAAAGTAAATTTTGCATTTCCTTTGGAAATCAAGGTCCCAGAGTCTGGAGGAAAAGAAGAGAGGCACTTCATCCACGTTGCTTGAAGTCCAGTGTAAAGTTTCCACAGTCAGTGATGGTTTGGGGTGCCATGTCATCTGCTGGTGTTGGTCCATTGTGTTTTCTGAGGTCCAGGGTCAACGCAGCCACATACCAGGAAGTTTTAGAGCACTTCATGCTTCCTGCAGCTGACCAACTTTTTGGAGATGCAGATTTCATTTTCCAACAGGACTTGGCACCTGCACACAGTGCCAAAGCTACCAGTACCTGGTTGAAGGACCATGGTATCCCTGTTCTTAATTGGCCAGCAAACTCTCCTGACCTTAACCCCATAGAAAATCTATGGGGTATTGTGAAGAAGAAGATGCAATACACCAGACCCAACAATTCAGAAGAGCTAAAAGCCACTATTAGAGCAACCTGGGCTATCATAACACCTGAGCAGTGCCACAGACTGATCGACTCCATGCCACGCCGCATTGCTGCAGTAATACAGGCCAAAGGAGGCCCAACTAAATACTGAGTGCTGTACATGCTCATACTTTTCATGTTCATACTTTTCAGTTGGCCAACATTTCTATAAATCCTTTGTTTTTATTGGTCTTCAGTAATATTCTAATTTTCTGATATGATGAATTTGAGATTTTCATTTGTTGTCATTTGTAATCATCAAAATTAAACAAAATAAACATCTGAAATATATGAGTTTGTATGTAATGTATGAATATAATATACAAGTTTCACTTTTTAAATGGAATTACTGAAATCAATCTACTTTTTCATGATATTCTAATTTTATGACCAGCACCTGTACATGATCAATGGTCCGTTTCACAGAAACATTACAGCCTTCCTTGTGTTTTGTTGTTTATTTTTACAATGGTTTACGATTAATTCTCTATTGGTGCAGCTTAAGTGCAACATTTCCCCTTCTTGTTTATACTGTTACAGCAAAAAAAGATATTTTTTTGCTAACTTGTATATTTAACAACCTGATTTTCATAATGTGGCGAATATGAAAGTTCACAGAAATCCTGGTAACGACTCACCTGCGATGGCATAAATCTTTCTTTTATACGGTATACAGCCAAGAGGTGTTCATCCTGATGGTTGCACAGCCAACGCACTGTTTTAGGGCCTGGCATGTATGCGTCAGTCTGCCCCCTGAATACCTGTATAGTTCATATTATCCAAATTCTCACAATTTGCGCTCTGTTTTTTATTTTCATATATATATATATATATATGTAAATCCATTTATTGTCTCACAACGGAGAGTTTTGTTCTCTGCATTTTGATCCATCCCCTTGGGGAGCAGTGGGCTGCCACTGTGCAATGTGTGTGCTCAGCAACCCAGGGTGGAGGCTGTGGGGATCGGACCAGCTACTTGCAACCTTTTCATAGCACAAGCTTACTGCTCTAATCACTAGACCAAAACTATATATATATATATATATATATATATATATATATATATATATATATGAGCCTTTTTTAAATTTAGCTTCATATAACAATTATGTAAGAAACAAGTGAAAGCCAGCGGTGCATGAGGACCAATTAGGAGAAAGCAAATATAGAATAGGGTCGGTATGTGAAAAAGGAGGCAAAGGAAAAATACATTTAAAAAACTGCTCAATTTTTCAAGAATATTTGTTGCTTTTACAGTTATTTGACTTAAAAGTTATTTTATTTTGATTTTGTTTTGTAAAAGTAATTTTTCCCTCGGAATTAAATCAGGTCTTCAATTAAAGGAAACGTCATTGTTTCCCGAACAGCTGACTGGCTGCTGGATGGAGCGCTTTCTAGGAATCAGATCAATGATAAAAGCCTGGAGCAGATGTGCCGTTCAGAGGATGTTACCATGGTGACCGGCCTCACTGAGATTAAATCCAGCTTCATGTTACCAGAAAGTCAGGGTTAAAGCTGAAGCTGTCACACTAACCCAGTAATCCTGCTTCGTGGTGCAGGCTACTGATTTGAGCTGAACCAATCTCTAAGAATTATGCAATAAGCAGCAGGCACCTACATAATATCTTTGGAGAAATTTTATTGTATAGTATTACACTACAAAAATGTGATCTAAAGAAAAATTAAATCTATTTGACACTAATTCGAGCAGGTAATTATGATATTAGGTTAGTTATCATTAGTGTGAGTTTATAAACATTAATAGTAGCTCCCTGTTGCATATTACAACTGATGCTTTCCAATTCAATTCAGTTTATTTCTATAGCGGCAATTCACAACACGTCATCTCAAAGCACTTTACAGTTCACCAGATCATACAGCCAAATTGATTCAATGTTTTCTATCTAAGGAAAACCAGTTGATTGCATCGACTCATTGACTCAAAGGTAATCCCTTATACTAAGCATGCTTGTAGCGACAGTGGAGAGGAAAACTCCCTTTTAACAGGAAGAATCCTCCAGCAGAACCAGGCTCAGTGTGAGCGGCCATCTGCCGAGGCCGACTGGGGTTCAAGGAGACAGAAGCAGAGATACAAAAAGCAGCTGTAAAAGGCGGCCCAATCCAGGAAACACACAGCCAGGCAGACGATCTCTGAGACTTCTCCCATGTCAGAGGATGAAGAGAGCACATCCAGCCAGTCTCAGTCCGAGAAACAGGACTACACTGAAAAACAGGCAGATCTCGAACATTTCTCTGTGTGTGCAGCTGCGATCTGTAACTCTAAACAACTTCTCTGATCTGGGTAAGATTACAATTTCTATCTAAATCTGTTATGTCTCATAGTTATTCAATACATATAAGTTATAAAGTGTTATGTAAAGAGTTTGTCCCGAGTGATGTCTTTTCAGGAAAAAGGTGTAGACACAGAGAGCCTATCTTTAACATCATTTGTCAAAAGACTGAGTGTTTCTCCTCTTAGAAATAAGCCAAATATTATGTAGTTAAATAAGTTAAAGGGAAACACCCTTTTCTTGACATTGGGCCCTTGATTTTACGTTATTACATCATGTTCATACACACGGCAGTTCGTTTTTAAAAGATATAAAAATAAAAAATATAACCGTGGATGTCTGGGGGACAGTGATTCGCCTACATGTTATGAATGCTGGCGTACCATAAATTATAAATTATGAACAGTTTAGTTTGTGCCTTCAAGTCATTTGTCCATAGGTAGACGTTGGATATAACCTAACAGAATATCTTCAGAACTGCTCCAAATGACACAAAACTCATATGGGTGAGTAGAACATGATGTAATGACGTAAAATCAAGGGGCCAATGTAAAAAAAAAAAAAACGGTGTTTCCCTTTAATTAGTTTTATTTTAGTTTTTGAAACGTAAATCATCTTATTCCATCAGCATATTGTCTAAGTTACCTGCTCTAATCGAGGGAAAAATACTTATTTCAAGAAAAATGTACCAAATTATATTTTAAGTTTTGCAGAGTATGTTTTCAGTACGGGGGGCAGGACCTGTCTAAAAGCGCACTTATCCATACACATCCAGTTATCTTATAAGTTTTATCTTTCATGTATTATTTCTGTTGCTCATCTATTCATAATCCATCCTGCTTTTTAAAATTTTCCTATCATATTCGTTGACTGCACTAGGATCAGCGGCCAATAAAAGTGGGCGTGTCCAATACTGCTGCGGCTCTCCTCATTGGCTGAAACCTCTCCTGGTAACCGACCAAACACACACGAGACTTGGAGGAAAAAAAAACAAAAAAAAAAAAACAACTGCATTTCTGAAGCTAAAGGATAATGTCAGGATTTACAGATCCTGTGAGTATTGCTACACTTACTGAAGCGGCTATGGAAGCCTGTTCTGAAATATTTACAGCCCGTTTTGTGTCCTTTAACCCAACATTAAAGTAGTTTTGTGCTAACTGTTGGGGTCAGTAGCCTTAGCGCTAACCGCTCGCGGACGCTGCTTTAATGTTTTAACCTCGTTAGTCAGGTTTAAATGCAGCCGGTTTAAAATGAAAACCGACAGACAAACCGAAAGAGGTTAGCTGTAGCCTAAAAAATAGCGGTAAAATGTCTTATCAACCGAAAACTGTTGCAAAAAAAACGTTTGGTGAGGTTTGGGTTGGACAGATGTTGATGCTAGCCAGGAGGCAGCTGCTGTTGTTTCGGGTGTGGCTGCATTAAACTGCTTTAGAATCAGGGTTTCTGCCATTGGTTAACCTTGTATTTTATCCTGCAGGGAGACGCAGATACAACCTTCCTTACAGAGATGCATCCCAGCTTAATCTGACATTAACAATGCAGGATACTAGTGGTTTGAGGGCTGAAGCACCTCTCCCAATGGATAGCCAGGTAAGATTTCTCTCTATTAGTCATCCCTCTCTATAATCCAGCCAGGATTAACTAATCTAGATCTAGCTGAGCTCCAGTTCTCTCTCACTTTCAAGTATTTTCTACCTTTTCTTCAAATTTCCGCCCATCTTTTCTTTTCCAGATGCTGTAGTCCAGTAGCCTTATAGAAACTGAGTAAGATCTTTGATTTATGTTTATTTTCTTGCATGTTTTAATCAGAGGTCTCAAGTACTGTACTTAAGTACACTTTTTATGTATCTATACTTTACTCAATTACTTATTTTTCTTCCTACTTCTGACTTCTACTCATTACATTTTCACACAAGTATCTGTACTTTCTAGTCCTTACATTTTTAAAACAAACGTTACTCGTTACCCTTGGCTTCGGATGAATTATTATATATATTTATTTTATTTATTTATTTAAAATAAATAGGCTGGCTGACCAGAAATAGGCTGTTTGAAATATTCTGAAATTCTCATTGAAATGTAATTCTTTGAACATCAAAATTTATGTGAATTTTACAATATATGATCTCATAATTATTTTTAACCTGTTTATAAATAATCAAACCTGTCAATCTAAATCTTAAAAGAATTTCTTACATTTTCACATGGAGCTTTATTGTTTAAGATCTCTCAATTATATTTACATATACCCGGTGTTTAATGCTTTGGCTGCTTATGTTCTGTTTTAATTTATTTACCTGATCCCGCTTACAATTGGTTATAAGTTTGGCAGATCTAATATAAAAGTGGTTTTCATTCTTTCCAGGATAAGTAGGAAATGAGGCGGTATCTGTTAAGACGTAAAGTAAGAGGAAGACAGTATAGAAAGGGATTCGCTCTCACAAAATAATGTGTGCTCAAATTTAGTCGAGTAACAGTTTCCCTCAGGGAACCAATTTTAACACCACACCGGTGCAGCAAGTCAAACATAAGGCTCTCATTCTGAGTTTGGTGGTGTTAAATAATGTCATCCGTGCATCATCCTTTGCATAATATAATCTCATCGTGAGTATAGCAGGTATCCAACTCATCCTTTCATTATTTATCTTAAAGCCAGACTTTTGAATGCTGCAAACAGATGGCTGTGCAACGGATTAAATGCTGCTAATTCTTCTTCGCTAATATTAGGCAGCTTCTATTTCTGGTCAGTTGATGAGGAAATTGTGAATTGAAAATAAAGAACTTGAAAAATTAAAGGAGGATTGAAATGTTAAAACCGATCCACTATCAATTCTTGATACCCAACCCTTGTTGTAAAACAATGTTGAACTTTTGTGAGCATTGAAACATTTGCAAGGCATTGTACACTACTAATGACCCTTTAAAGACACGTTTGTGTTTAATGTGATAGGTTTAGCATAATAAATTAAACCTCAGCAAACTGTCACATTTCCAACTGTATTCTCCACTGCAATTCCGTTTTTTCCCACTGCGTCTTTAACTTTGATTATTTACACCATCTGCTCACCTTGAGATGCTTCTGCTCTAATGTGGCTGACATGTCTCCATGCATGCATGTATTGTTCTAAGTATTCAGCACATTAATGTTGCATTAACAGGACTAATTTAAGCTAATACTTCATTTCTGACAGATCCCCTTAAGAGCATAAAAGCTTTCAACATTTAGACTTCTGAGGGATTCCTTCAGCTCTTTCTCTGATCATCATTCAGTCATTTAATAATGAACTCTAACCTTGAGTTTTTATATATTATTGATGATAGATGTTTTTGCTGCATAGATCTAAGCCTGATTTCTAAGTGATTATGAATGAGGTGTTTTCAGTGTTTCTCTGTTCACTGACCTGTTCTTAAAGGAGGCTAAAGCGTGCCAAAAGGAGAAGCCAGCTTCTGCTGTAGATGAAACTCTGGATGAATATTTAATCAACCTCCAGCAAAAAAACAGGTAAAGTTGAAGGGAAGGTTGCTGTAAATGGTCAGATTGGATTACACAGGGCAGATGCATGACTTTAAGTGATAAACGCTGATTATCTAGATTTTTTTCCTTTCAGAAACCAGATCTTTGAGTGTAAAATCATAAACTTAGAAATGCACCGCCTTGTAAAAGCATTCGTAATACTCAAGTATTGTTCTTTGCTCGTCAGAATCCAAAAGCGCCAAAGAGGAACAGATTCGAGGCAGATTGAATTGAAGCGCCTCGAAGAAGGATTTTCTCTTCATTTTAATGGAGCCAATGCTAAACCAAGCCAGAAGAACGCCAAGGGCTCCAGCAGCAAGTTTGACAGCTTTATGCCAGCTAGGAAATCTGCAGGTATAGCCGCATTAACTCCTAAACGTTTCTTCATTGCTTTAACCTTTGTGTATTTGGCATAAGTATCGTTGAAAACAGAAATCTGCATATATTTTAAAAAAGAAGATGTAAACAAGGAATTTAATTCTCCTTGTTGTGTTTTAGAATTTTTTTAATGCCAGAACTTTAATGTCTTTGTAGCTCTGTTTAATTTTCCATAGATATTTAGTAGAATTCATTTTAAATTGTCTGACATGTATCAGATGATTTTGGTTTCCCTCCAACAGCTTCTCAGAATATTTTGCTGAATTTTAACTCTGAACCAGTGAAATTTTATTTTATTTTTTTATGTTGGCCCTTTTGCTTGTTTTGAAGCTTTAACCTCATGACTTTAACCTATTTTGTGAGTTCACTGGCCCCTCCTGCAGCAAATCGCTCTAACATCACAGTTGGGATGGCTTTAGATGCTTCCAAGCTTCTTTCTTTTTTTTTCTCCAAGTGCCGCAACCTTTAGTTCTGCTTTCATTGTGGTGTTTTTATTGTAATGGCTTCTTCCACTCTGAATGGCCTCTTAGACCATCTTGATTCAGGACTCATTCCACTTCCAATAATGTACCTGCACCATTTTCAGCAGTATCTTCAGATGATTCCTTTCTGGGACACAGAGCCTGACTCCTTTATGAACTGTGTAATGGATTTTTAAAAAATTTTTTTTTAATTTATCCTTTATTTAAACAGGTAATACCCATTGCGATTAAAAATCTCTTTTGCAAGGGAGACCTGGCCAAGATAGGCATCAAAATTACATCCCATCATTACATACATACAAACACTCACACATAAAAGCCAAATATGAACTTACAATAAAATTTCAATTAAAACATTGACACGTGAGGGAGTCCAACTCAAAACATCTCATTCTCAGCTTGAAAGTATTCAAAGGAACCAATTTACTAAGTTTCAAGTTATTTTGCAGCAAATTCCATGTAAAGGGAGCAGAGTAAGCAAAGGCCTTTTTACCCAGCTCAGTACTAACACTTGGGACAGAAAACAAGACAACAGCCTGAGAACGGAGAGAGTAATGACCAGTTTTTTTCATAAGAAGTGATCATAAATAAAATGGAAGCGCACCAAGAATAGCCTTATATATAAATATATACCAATGACAAAGCCTCCGTGTAGCCAAGGCAGACCATCCTACACGAGAATACAGCTCACAGTGATGGGTGCAAGCTTTTCAATTTGTAATAAATCTCAATGATGCGTGATAGGCTGCGTCAATCATCTGCAGGCATTGAGCAGATGAATGCATATATAATATATCACCATAGTCCAGCACAGTTAAAAAAGTGGATGCCACCAACCGTTTTTTTACATTAAAAGAAAAGCACAGCATATTTTGAAAGTAAAAACCCAATTTTAGTCTCAACTTTCTCACTAGACAGTGAACATGAGGCTTAAATGGTAGGTAGTCATCAATGACAATACCAAGATACTTATAAGTTGTAACAATCTGTATTTCACGACCATCAAGAGTAACCACTGAAGGAACATTCAGTGGCCTGTTCTGAAGGTCTGTGAAAAGCATACATTTAGTTTTGTCTGCATTGAGCACAATGGATGGCAATGCCATGCTGTTTATACTCGTCCATTAATTGTCTATTAATTGCCCAGACCAACTTGGGACCTTCAGGTATCTGGAAATGGTTTCCAGAGATTCATCCAACCAGTGGAGGCCCTAAGTTTTCATCCTAATACGACTGGCTGATTTATTTAGACATACTTTGTGTCTATGAGCCTCAGAACTTAAACAGAGTCATCAAAGATGCTCTTTTTTGATATTCTAACATTTTAAACATATTCATTTCTGTTTAATCCTAAAAGACCGAAAGCAGTGACGTTTTTTTTTTCTTAGTGTATGTAAACATCTGGTTTCATCTGTGTGCTGATCGATATTGTTGGTTAACAAAGCAGTAGCTGATATCTTATCCTATTCCCACTGTTTCAGTCATGTGTGGACCATAAGGACCAGTAGCTAATAGCTGCTGTTCTTCAGCCTGGAGTGATTCTGTGCCCAGTCCCAGTAAACAAACAGCAGTGATAGTTGTCCCTGCCAGTCTGTTTTGTTTGGTGCCTCCTCTCTGCGCTGAGGACCATCTGCATAAGTGACTTTGTGTTTCCTCTCCTTTGTGGATGAAATCAGCAGCACACGCAGCTCACGTTTTGCTGCCTTTCTGACTCATCTGCAGATGTCTGCAGAAGCGCCCACCAGCTAACCAAGGACAGTAGAAATCTGGAATTTCAGACCAACAGGAAGAGGAGCCAGACAGCACCAGCAAGGGCCCGCAGGAAAGAATGGACGCAGGTACGGGCCTCAGATATCCTGTTTTTCTAAATAAAATCCAAAGCTTTGACATTGATGTTTTCCTTCTGTTGTGGCATGTGTAGGAATCTGTTAGAATCCGGACAGAGGATGGCCAGAGTTTGAAGTTATCACCTCATATATGTTACTCTGACGATTTAGAGCCCTATGAAAGTGTGGACATGGAGGTAGATTAAAGATTCCTTCTGACAGCATGTGTGGGTGTTTTTTATTTAGGGGAGGGGCTGTGCGTGAGATGCAACTGTCTGTTCTAATTAGCATCTCTTTCTCCTCCATTTTCCCTTTTTTTCTCCAACCCTCATGTTCTATGCAGAGCTCAAGTCGGCGCTCACCACGTAGCCCCCGCTATCAGAGGGACACCTCCAAGGCTTCACGCTCCTTTAGCTCCAGGCCTGAGAGCCAGGGAGGCCAAGCCGACCAGGAGCACAGTGAGAAGGTGTTCACTAGTCTCGAGGAAGTTAAGGTGAGCGGAAGATTCTTTTTTTATTATGTTATGCTTTCTAGCTGGCAGTAGGTTTAATTAGTTGTCTAAATTTAGTTCAAGCATTGTTTTATTCAGGGTTTTTAAAACAAATCATGCACTTCATCTGCAGCCTTACTTGTGTGTATGTTTGTATCTGCAGGAGATTTAACAGTATACTGTGAGCGCTGATCTGTACCCAAATGCCTCCTTTTGTAAACTAGGTTTTGCGTCGTAGCCTGGAGGTCAGCATGAGACGGAGCAGCAGGGGCTCAGTGGGGGACGAGTCGGACGAGGAGTGGATAGAGGAGCAGATTGAAAGGGAAGAGAGCACAGAGAGCCTGGATGAACTTGGTTTGCCTCTCTCCTCCTCCAAATCCTCCTCTAATTCCCAGAGAAGCGGGTCTAACAGCCATTTTGACAAAGAAAACGTAATTTTTCTGGGCTTTGGAACCCCCCCTAAAAGTGAGCACTTTTTTTGTTATTGTTAAATCTGTTTAAACTCTGGTTGTCAGTAAGCTACTAAACATGAGATTGCACAAGGCATGTGCACCAGAAAACAAAATAAAAAAGGGGATGTTTATTTAAAATTAATAAAAAACAACATAAATAAGGTTGTTGGCTACAATCAGGTATTTTTTTTTATTCTTTTGAGACTCAGACTAAGGGATAGACCGAGTCAAGACCAAGACCTGAGCCACTCACATCATATCACAATAACATATGAAACATGATTGAAAATCCCATAAAAGCTACAAGATATACTCAGAGCTGAAATAAACGTTCTGCTCAGAAGGTTTTCTTTCTAGCAGCAGTGGTTCTTCTTTTTATGTGCTCCTCTGTAACCTGATCCAGCCGGTCCGGATCTCACCTTTTATGTCAGTCCTTGTCAGCTTTTTAAGAAAACCTAATGAGATTGTCCTAAAGTAATTATAACTTTATCTAAAAGACAAACAACAGATTCCTGGAACAATATTCTCATAAGCATGTTGAGCAGAAGCAATTCATCTGACATAAAAAGATGGAGAAAAAATTGCTTTTCATTCCCCCCTCTCAAAAATATAATGTACAAAACTAAAGATGTTCTTGCCTGTAATGAGTGCATATAAGATTTTCATTAAAGCTCCTCTGTCCTCTCTTCCACAGCATCTAAGATGTAAATAAAGGATTAATCTGAATTTATTTATTTATTTTTCCAGGTCATAAGATCGACCATTCTGTGAAAAGGAAAGAAAACGACGACTCCTTTATAGCAGCCAGGCCTCTGTTGGTGAAAAGCAAAACATTGGATTGGCCATCTTCAAAAGAAAGCTGTGATGATGGTCATAGTAAGTGTCACACTTAAAGAGGAATATTTGATTGGTTAAAATTCCTTAAAGGCAGACTTATTAATGGTGTTGAAATCAATTTAAGACAAATAATTAATAAAAAAAATATGTTTGTGTTTTTAAGGGGCAAGAAGTCGTTCGGAAAGGCCACTGTCAGCAGCTAGAAAGACCTTAGTTGAGGAACAAGACTCAGAAGATGTCTTTTACGGCACACAGGAAGCCATATGGAGGGAAAGCACCCCAGTGGAGAGAGCTGAGGTCTGGTTTACCTTCATCCCAACACTAAGATGGAAGGGGATCTCTCATTTGGGATGTCTAAAGTAGTGGAATTGAACAGCACTTCCGAGTAGATCCTTGGAAATCATCCACAGGTGTTGGCTGTTGACAAGACTGTACATGAAGGGCAGTTAAATGCAATTTAAGGCATATTTTTAAAACATGTCTGAAGCTCTTATCACTGCTGATTCCTAGAACAGGAGTGCCTTGATGTTACCTCCCCTTATCATTCCCCATAAGCTAGCTCCATCCATCCATCCGTCTGTCCGTCCATCTTTGACTGCTGGATACTTATCTACCTACATTTTAATGATCTGTTCCATAATTAAACTTTTCAAGCCTGGAAAAGTTTGTGATATTGATCTGATTTGTAGGAACTCTGTATGATTGCTAATATTTTCCTTGATATGGCATCCAGCTGATCATCTCATTTCCGTTCACCCAGGCCCAGGGACTCCAGAAGAGAAACAGTCTAAAGCAACAAAACACAAATGACCAGGATGGGAATGACGTCACTCTGGCCATGCAGAGAATAACACTAATGGGGCCCAGGTGGGTTTGCCTTCAGTTACTTCTACACTGTTATAACATTAAGTATGGACCTGGTAGTCTGCTCTGCTATCACTTCAATAAAGATCACAGACCAGCTAACTGTCAGAACTTTGTTTAGGCAACAACAGAACCTGCTAAAAGCCGTGGAGCAGCCCGAAGCAGAGCCCAGCCACAGCATTCCTCAGAGTGTGAGAACAGACTACAGCAAGCAGCCGGTGAGTCAGCAGACCTGAGGCCCTTACCATGAAGCTAGCTCAATGTAGCATGATTACTCCCAGTCTATCCACTTTAACCAATCCACAATAACAGCAATCAGGATCAGCAGTACCACCAAGCTGGTTATCATTTCGTTAAATAAATCCGGCTTGAACTGTTCATGAATCTTTGTACGCGCACCTATAAAGGGACGGGTTCAAGGCAGCAAACCAATCACAATTGTGAGCACAGAAGGAAGAGCACCATATTTCTCCTGTGAGGAACAAAAACTCATCTTACAGAAATACAAAAGGAGAAAAGTCAATTAAAAGTCAAACCCGGTGGCAGCATGAAAGAGAAGCCATATAGTGCAGCAATGGATTACTGACTGAGTAAATACACATCGGTGACATTTAACACAGACTGCATCCCAATCACTATACTGCATATTATTACGCTTGCCTCTCTGGAGTGATAAATATTTTGGAGCAGATAAAAATAAAACAAAAACGTATTTTCATCTGATAAGTTGTACTTTTTCATTCAATAACGTTTGGTCTAAAATAAAGCTGGAAGCTGATGCCACAACTTGCATCATTTAATTCAAGAAGTTATCAATCTGATGGAAATCATCTCGATTTCTGAGCTGTGGCAGAACTTTTTTTTTTTACCTGGTGGTTTACGACTACTCCTCTATTAGAGAAGCTTCATTGTAACATCTACAGTTCTCATATATACTTTCTATTAAGCCTGATTTTGTAATGGGATGAATATGAAATTTCACAGAAAATCCAGGTACTGACTCACCTGCGATGTCATAAAGTCGTTCTATAGACTGTATTCAGGCAAGTGGCTCGGCTCAGCATCCCTGATGAAGCTGTTGGTTGCATTATATCTTATGGCCATACAAACAGTCTGTGATACAGTGAAGAACGCATTCCTGCGGGTCGCAAAGCCAAAACACGGTTGCAGAATCTGGCATATATATTCCAGTCCGGCCTTCAAAAGCCTGCATCACTTGTATAAGAAATTGTTGTAGTGATCCAATGAATCTTATCACAATTTCAGCTCTGATCTTTGTTTTTTATTTAGCTTCATATATCAGTTAAAAGAAACAAGTGAAAGCCAGCAGAGTGTGAGGACATTATACAGGAGAAAGCAGACACATTAGTAAAAACTTTGTATGTCAAAAAGGAGGCAAAGGAAAAATAAATAAAAAGTAATGACTCTATTTGTCTGGAACATATTTTGTTTGAACTGCTACTTGATTTAAAAAAAATATATATTTTTATTGTGATGTCTTTTTTAAATCAGGTCTTCAATAAAAGGAAACATAATTCTCTCCCAAACAGCTGATTGGCTGCTGGATAGCTGCAGGATTCAGATCCTGAAAGCTAGCCTGCACCGGAGCAGGTTTGTCATTCAGAGGATGTTACCATGGTGACCAGCCTCTCTGAGAGTGAAACCAGCTTTGTGGCACCAGAAAGTCAGAGTTTAACCTTAAGTTGTCTGGCTAACCCAGTAATCCTGCTTTCATGGTACAGGCCTCTGCTGTCAGGACAGAGCAGATCCACATGATGTTACAGGTTCTCACTTTTCTAAATACCCGTTGCCGTTGTTGTTGTTTCAGAGAGGACAGTCGTCAGCAGAGGTCACCCCTGCGTTATACGTTACCATAGAAATCCTGTCAAACTGGGGGGATCCTCTGCAGGTTGGGCTCACAGAGTTGCAGTTCTTCTGCCTCAGGAACAAGAGGCTGTTGGTTTCTCCTCATGACATAGACTTCAGGAACGCAGATGTCCATCGAATGTGGAAAGGCTACGAGGGGAATCTGGAAGCGCTCGTCAACGGAAGGATGAAGGTGGGTTAGTGCCGCCCTGGAAACACGCCGTATAAGATAGATCTGTTAGTTACACCTTTTCTTTAATTATTAAGAAATGAAGAAGTGATGTTTGTTTTGATGATTTGGACTGTTCATTTGCTTGTATTTGGAGCAAAAATTAAAACAAAGAACCATTTTTTAGTTCTATAGTATAATAGTTTGGGTTGTATTTCTAGTCGTTTCAATTGTTTATCAAACAAAGTTGGAGAAAGAGCTGCAATCAGTAGCTGATCAGTTTATTGCAAATAAATGTCTGGGTCTGGATATATTCTTTATCAATAAAGTCATAAATAACACAATTCTAGCGAATAAATAATATCAAATAACTGTTTTAATGATAAAGAATAAAAAAAACCCTCATGAATTTGTTAATGAAAATCTAATAAATGGTAACATTATAGATACAATTTGTAATAATTTTTTTTAAATAAACACATATAAAGTAATGATTAATAAAACTGTTATTTTTTTCCAATAATCTATTATTTTGTAATAGATTAAATACCAAAATAATCAAATATTTAAAAACTATTATTTATTTAATGTCTATGATTTTTTTTGTGTGATAATGATAGTTTACCTCTGAAATCTTTTCATTCGGTATCTTTGAGGTGAATTGATGCTTTTTTTTAGCTTTGTGAAATATATATTTTTTCTTTCTTTAATTGAACAGACCACTGAAGACCACCACATGTGGACATGCCCCTTCCACCCCCCCATCCAGCTCTACTTCACCCTCAGAAACACAGAACGTTCTCTGGACTTTGGAATATCTGCCATCAAAATCTGGAACTACAACAACCCCCTAGTATGAAACCTCATCACTAAATGATCCGTTTCACACATTGGTTTTTAGATTAATCCCTCTGACATATTCAGAGATCACTGGTTAAAGGGCGTCTTGTTAGCAGATCGGTTCTAAAGCTTGTGTGTCTTAATTAAGATGGTGGGGGTAGCTGGTTTGCTGTGTTTACGTCAGGGATGATTTCTCTCCCAGCAGTGGTTGGTTAAGCTGTCAGTCAGTCCGAATGTGGAGCACTGAGAGATTAGCCTCAGAGGATTAGTGTAGTGTGGGGTTCTGCTTCTCGGAATCACTGTTGTTCGAAGAAACGGGTAGAAAATCATATATTTATAGAGCTTCTTGGATCCATGTAGTATTACCGTTTAAGGTAAGATACTTCAGTTTAAACTCTGGGGATTTGGTTCTGATTGGATGGATCAGGTCTGAGCAGACAGCCGGCTTTGTGATACTATCTACAGCTCATCTGTTAACATATAGCAGTGGTTAACGTTGAAATACTGCAACTGTTTGACGTCTGGTCGTCTCTCGCAATTTTGAATCACAATCAAGTCTCATGAGTTAATTTTAAAGTGAGAAATTATACTTTCTGTTGATTAATTTGCTTCAGATTTATTTTATTTTTTTTTGATAAACAGTATTTCTGTATAGAAATATGAAAACATAAGACTTGTTTCCTACAAAGTTAAAAAACAAGCCACTGGACTTTGTTTTCCAAGTTTAAAGACATTTCGCTTTACATCCAGGAAGCTTTCTCAATTCAAAATGTCTGAAGTAGGGTTTGAGTTCCTGGTTTATAGAGTGGATGGGAAGCGAAATGTCTACAAACTTGGAAAACAAAGTCCAGTGGTTTTTTTTTTCTTTTTTTTTTTCACTTTGTTGGAATGACTATAACCTGGATTACTGAGAATCTTCACCTGCAATAAGAGCTACTTTACAAATTATTTTAGAAGCACAAATATGAAAAGTTTGTTGTGCATTTTATATATAAAACCAAGCATCCCCAAAGTCAGTACTGTATCCCCACCTTCAGCTCCAGAGTCTTTCTGGTTGTGACGCTACCAGCTGGTCCATTCTGCTCTGCATTGTGTGTTTCCCTCATTCAGATGATGCTGAAGTTTCACCACAGATTCTAAATTCGATTAACATCTGGACTTTGACTAGGCCACTCTAAAACCAGAATCCACTTTAAATCTGTATGTTTGGGTAGTTGTCCTGCTGGAAGGTTAACCTCCACCCTGGGTGGGTCTTCTGCAGATGGGATGAAAATACGTGTCCAGAGTAGGGGTGGAACGGTTCACAAAATTCCCGGTTCGGTTCACGGTTTCTGGTCATGGTTTTCAGTTCGGTATATGTTGATTGTTACCCCGAAATCCCATAATAATTAATGAAATTAATGAAAAAAATCAGTGGCATTATTTTTAATGATCCGCGGAAACCCTGGATCATTTCCGCATGTTTTGCTGCTTTGAATTTAATCATCTCGCGCATGCTCTCTACGATCTCCAAGGGACTCAGAGCGGAGCGGACGGGAGCCACAGTGGGGGCTGTAGGCTTTGCTTTGCGCAGGCGGTCTGGAGCACAGCGGAGCGGAGCGCTGACGGAGTATGAGGGATTTCGGGGTTAGCATGACATGTTGGTCATGTTGCTCTTAGCATAAACAAAACATGTTGCACAATGCTTGCACACTGTTGCACTTTTATACACAACTGTCTTTCCGCCGTCATCGTAGGTCACTCTAAATGCAAAGTGGTCCCATACAGCAGACCTATAAAGTGCTGCTGGCGCATCTTCCAACTCCTGTTCTTTCCCACTCGCCATACCCACACAATTCTCCACAACAACTGATTTTTTCCCTGCTATACCCGGCTAAGCTGCTTCGCTTCTTCTTCTTCTTGTTTATTACTGGTGGTTGGCTTTGGTCGCAGTACCGCCACCTTCTGCTCTGGAGTGTACACGCTTCGCCTATGAGAAAAAGGAGCAGCGCATGAACCGAACGAAACACACGCGAACTGAACCGAGACAGTCGAACCGAACGGTTCGGACAGTTTTCATGAAACCGTTCCATCCCTAGTCCAGAGTAATGTGCAGTATTACCAGTATAACCAGTTTTCTGCTGGTTGTTCTCAGATTAAATTAGTTCGGGATGTATTTTGGGGAATGAGATTAAAAGAAACTGAATGGATATGATTAGTTTTAGTGTATTTCTTTTTTTCTTTTTACTTTAAATTACATTAAAGTTTGAAGAACTGTGGATATTTATGCAAGGATGCAGCACAGAATTAACCCCAAATGAGATTTTTTTTTGTGAACTGTTAGATGTTTGTTAAGAACACATCTTTCTTTTGCAGGACCTGAACGTCGGTGTCCGCCATGTAAAGCTGTACCTTAACGACGCCTTGGTGTTTGAAGGGGAGCTGGTGAAAGGCTGCGGTAACAGAGTCTTTGACTACAGCTCCACCATCGATCTGAAGGGTTTCTCCATCTCAGACCCCTTGATCTCCAGCGGTAGTTCTTCAGGGCAACGTCTGCAAGGCGGGAGCCCCCGTCTCCATGAGGACAGGCAGAGTGGGGAGGGCAGCAGCACTCAGCAGCACCATTCTTCTATAGCTCTGTCTGACCCAGTAGACAGGACTATGTTAAGCATGCAGGAGAAGCCACACATGCCTCTTCCTCCCATCACTTCCTCAGCTCATCGTCTCTCTTCACAAAGAAGCTCCTTTGACCTTTCCGCCTCAGAGGAGCCCCCGTCCCCCAGACAGCCGGTGGAGCAGCCAGCACCCAAGGAGCAAACGGTCACCACCCAACCATCCTCCTCAAGAGTTACACCCCAGTGGCTGCAGCCTCTGAAAAGAGGCTCCCCAGAAGGGTGTGAGGCGAGCAGAGACAGGCCCCGATGGCTGGTACCTCAGCTCTCGACAGAAACCAAACAGGCACATGCATCCTCCTCTGCCTCTTCTTCTTCCTCCATGCTCCCAGAGCTGCCCTGTGACCAAGGCCGGGTGTGCAGAGGGGCCGATCAGGCACTGAACGGGGTTCAGTGGAAGAATGATGCTTTGGACCTGAGCTGGGACCTGTCGGACGAACTGGAGGGTTCAAAGGCGAAGAGACCCATCAGCGGACGAAGGAGCACGTTCAGAAATGCCTCAGCAGCCCCTCAGAAGGAGGAGGAACTCTTCAGAGCTCCTGGTAGGAAAGACCGACACGTCTCTGGGTTTCTCCTCCCAGTTTTACTTAGTGAGTCTTGTTTAAACCATAAGCTGCTCACAGGTGGTGACAAATTTTCTCTCTAGTTGTTTACAACTCTTGTACTTGAGTGTAAATGTTGATATAAATATTTATTTTTGATTATTTTTGAACCAGAAATCAGAAAAAAAATCTTTAGGGAAATTGTATTTAAATGTCAAATCATTCTGGCTTAAATAGTATATAAATGTACTTTTTATCAGACTATATTGTCCCAAAATTTACAAAATCTCTATTTAAAAAAAAAAATCTGTCTTAAAATCTGTGTTTTTTTCCCCCCGTTATTTTATGCAGGCCAGTTAGTTATACGTCAGCCTGAACACCTAAATTCGGCCAATCATATATCAACGGTCAACTGTCAATCAATTTTTTTCGGTCATAGGATCGTGATTCATATGTCGCAGCTAATATACACAACGGTTGAAATAAGAATAATTTACCATTGAGTTCCGTCCCAGTGTTCACAGGGATGGACGTCTGTGTCTTCAGCAGGCGTAGAGCTAACAGAACTGGCAGCGTTGCGAGGCAAGGGCTCAAACATGTACGGCTGTAAGCCTTCTACACCAAACCAAGCTTCTGCCGCCCTGACGTCCTCTTCCACAACAACTTCGTCCCCGCTTTCCTCCTCTAAATAAAAAATGAGTGACGGAGGAGACTCATCCACGACCTCCGACACAAAACTCTCCTCCTCTTGCATGTTTCCGCTGTCCATAGCGTCTCTACAACTTTAATTTCACTGAAGAAAAACTATCATCTGTTAAATTTTTAGTTGATTCATTTTAATTTGTTAATGACACAACTACACAGACAATCTCAAGAGAGAGCAGTACATTTCAGTCCTCCAAGTGGGTTTTTTCAACCTGCTTTGAAACAAATTCCTCTTTTATTAAATAAAATCTGCAAACTGAAGGTTTTGGATGCAGATTTCCAACCGTGAGTTTAGGAATTTCTTCCTTTCCTTCCACCTCAGTGGGTGATGTAGAAGTCATAAGCTAGCCTTATGCTGAAAATGTATAATTTTATTGTAATAGAGTAACATTAATATAAAATAAAAGTTACAGTTTAAAACTGTGTTACCTTAATATAAGAAATTTTTCTTTCTTCTATAGAAATCTACTTAATAGGGATGCACCTAAAATTTGGCCACCAAAATTTTTCAGCAGAGAATGACCAAAAAGTGCATTTCCGGTTTTCAGCTGATGGACATTTAAAACCAAAAAAACATGGCCGAAACTTGTGATTACACGACTAACAGCACAACCACCAGAAATGTTATAGAGCATCAAAGCAGAGTTTATCACAGTTGAGCATGCGTTAGACGGGTTTTGAATGAGGTGGAGCGAGTTTTAACGCTGCACATTGGTCTCATTGTACGCTCAGGTCAGCGGCACAGAATGCCATAGAAATCCAAAGGAAAAACTTTCTGCGTTCGGATATTAAGGTTCCGCTGAATGAGAGCTGAGCAGCAGAATTAAAGGACCAGTAATTGCAAAACAGTTATAACAAATGTAGTCATAGTTTAGGTTAAGGAAGTATAGTTTAAATGTAAACAGATAATTCCACCCCAGACTCTAATGTTTGTCGTCAGCAGATGAGCCGCTGTCCTTGGTCAGCTCCACCAGGGGGCACAGCAGCTCGCGGGCCCAGATCCACAACCAGCAGGATGAAACTCTCATGGAGTCCTGGGACTCTCTCACCAAATTCAACCAATGTCAGCGTGGGCGCATCTTCAACACAGGTTTCGAAGGGGACATACTTGACGAGGTTCTTCAACGCCACGGCATCAGCTCCCCCGCGCCTCCGATAAAACCCTCCACACCTCCCAGGACCCCCGTGCCCTCCCTCAACACTCAGGGGGTACTGGGTGAAGGTCTGGCTGACGATGCCTCCATGGAGCGAGAGGATGAGTTTGTGATCCCGGTTCTGCCTCAGGGCCAAAGGCTGGTGATAAACATCCTCTCCACATGGGGAGACCGCCACTACGTGGGTCTGAACGGCCTGGAGGTGTTCAGCTCTTGCGGAAAGCCCCTCCGGCCGTCCCACATCAGAGCCGACCCTCCAGACATCAACATTCTCCCAGGCTATGGCAAAGATCCCCGCGTGGTCAGCAACCTGTTTGACGGCGTCAATCACACTCAGGATGACATGCATCTGTGGCTGGCCCCGTTTACCCCCGGTCAGAGCCATACCATCTTCCTGGACTTCGCAGCTTCCTATCAGATCGCCATGATCCGAGTGTGGAACTATAACAAGTCCCGCATCCACTCGTTCCGCGGTGTGAGAGAGGTGGATATGCTACTTGATGGCAGGTACATCTTCAGGGGAGAGATCGCCAAGGCGTCTGGAACCCTCTCTGGCGGTACGTGATGGAGGATAAACATTCTTTATTTTCTCTCCTTTGTTACCTCTGAGCTGCTTCTTGCTCGCTACACAGTCTGGAAATGTCTCAAACTCGATTTCAGGGTTTTCTATGTCTGGCATGGTATCTATCAGTCCTTCCCTCCCTCCATTCAAAGCCTGACTACCAAACCATTGTTTTTCATAAGTTCAGCCAACTTTAGTATCTTAGAAAGTGAAACATGGCAAGGTGAGGATACTCCACAAGAAGATCTGAATAACCTTAGAAATTAAATCCTCTCTGCCATTTTTCCAGGACTGGAACAGTTTGGGGACACAATCCTTTTCACCCTTGATGATGACATTTTGGAGGCTGTGTCTCTGTACGACGAGATGTTCCTCAGTGAAGGTGAGGGTCCTGAAAGGTTAGTGTATGAAGAAGAGCTGCAGAGACCACGAACCGCAGACGGAGAGGGAGAAGAAAGAGCTTTCACACAGGCTGGATTCAGAGAGGAAGACCTCTCTGTAAGTTTACTTATTTATTCAATAACATTTTAATACGTTTTTTTTTGTATATTTTTTTCTTTTGTTTTAATAAGTGTTTTTGTTTTTAGCTGAAACTTCAGCTAAACACTCCTGTGAACCAATCTGAGGAACATATGCAACAGATTCCTGGCATGTACACTGGAAAGTGTGAGTACTTAACTTGAACGGTTTAACATTTTCTTACGATGACATCACAAACTTCAGTGTGTTTGATTTGAATATCAGTGTAGAAGACTGTGTACGTTTAGATTGCACTAATTCCAGATATCTCATCAGTTGAATCTTCCTCGGTCAGAAGGAATATGTCAACTCCATCGGTGCAGCTCAAAAGGTTTATTAATGGAATAGAAGCAGGTACATTGGAGATGATGGTACAGATGATGAGGTTTATATTTGGTTTTCTTAGGGATATGTATATGGATGTGTGGTTATCTGAAACAGAATAAACAATAAATATCCATATTTATAGCTATGCAGGCAAACAGGTGCATATAGGTGCAGGATGAAATTGGCTTGTAATACCAAAGAAGCCCACTGGAGGGCGCCATGACATCACACATGCATTATTGGTCAAACGTAATAAACATTTAACTGACAAAACCGTCAAAAATATGAAATAAACGGCGATGCCCTCATTTACTAATAAAATGGAAATATATCTAGCAAAGTGTAACAAAGAACTTGAGTTATTATAAGTATAAGTATAAGTATTATCAGTAACCAGAGAAACTAAAGGACAATTTAACCTCCTGGGTAAATAACTGACAGAAAAACACAATATCGGACTTAAAATGTATACTTACGTCCTAAAGAACGCACACAGGTTTCATAAACACTGGATTAAAGAAGGATTAATGGTGGATGTTATTTTGTGCCACCGAACCACCCAGAAGCATGGAAAACACAACTTATTCAGCTACGTGAAATTAGAACTACAAAATGAACAGATGCATCATGGGTAATATGGTACTAAAGAAACGGACAGACTTTCAATTTATAATAAAAGGATAATGTTTTAAAAAATAAGTCTTTACAAATAAAACTGAAAAGTGTGGTGTAGTTTTGTATTCTGACCCATTTCCTCTGATGCTCTGAATTAAAAGTGCAAAGAGTTTTCCACTAACTTCATGGCTACATGTTAAAAAGTGAAAAACTAAAGGTAACTGCGTGCAGACATGTGATTTGATGGGTTTCCTCCTGTTATTCCAGGCCTTAGACTGGAGATAACGATGACTTGGGGGGACCCCGCCTATATGGGCCTGACGGGCCTGGAGGTGGTGGGGCAGGACGGTGAGAGCTTACCTCTGGATCTCACTATGATGGCGGTAACACAGAGAGACTTCAGTGACCTGCCAGAGTACGGATGGAACACAGGCACACTTGATAAGTAAGCGAGAAGAACTGGACCTATATGGACCAGTAGTGTTACAATCAGAACCTAAAGTCAGAGCATCTGATCCGTACTGCTTGGGTTCAGGCTTTATTATGAACTTTTATCATACAGGCTCATCGACGGCCAAAACATTACCACAGATGATAGCGCCATGTGGCTTATACCTTTTTCCTATGGAGTACCCATCAACTTGAGCATTACCTTCAACAAGCCCCAAACCATCGCTGGTCTCCGCATCTGGAACTACAACAAGTCCCCTGAGGACTCCTACAGGGGGGTGAGAATAAACTTTTATCTGTTACATTAAAGCATCAAGTGGATTCCAGGAGCTTTAAGCTCACTTTTTCCCTCTCCTCTGCTTAATAACATCTGATTTTTCTAATAATCCAATTTAGGTGAAAGTCTTTCATTTGTACATGGATGATGTTGCCATCTCCCCAGCTGAGGGGTTCCTGGTCCGGAAAGGACCGGGCAACTGTCACTTTGACTTTGCCCAGGAGATCCTCTTTGTGGACTACCTGCTGTCTCCCACTGATAACCGGAGTGCTGGAAACTCACCAAAGTACAGAGAACAGTTTAAATCACTGCATCTTAATGGGAGAAATAAAAAAAATATGAGCTACTAATGGATTTGTTTTTGTTTTTTAGAGGAAGTTCTAAGAGGCAAGAAAGGGCCAGTATGGACTACGAAGCTCCCATCATGCCTTGTGGATGTATCCTTCTAGACACGTAAGGTCTGCCATCAGTCCTAATCAGGGTTAAAATCACCATTAAAAAAAAAGGTTTCTCAGATTTTTTATGGAAAGTATAATAAAATTTTTTTATTTCTTCTCTCTGTAGGTTTTACATTTCAAGTCTTTTATAAAAAGCAATAAGACATTTTTTTTTCTATATTTATCATCAGCTTGAAATGATAACAGTAAATGCTAGACTTGTTTAGGTATATGGGGTCCTCATGACAAGATAAATATAGCGATATCTCTTCTCCTTCCCCATGCTTAAAGAACATCTCCCTCCGATTGCAGGGGAACATATAGCGTGTGTGGTGTCTGTTTCTTTTTGAAAAAAGAAACCGAAGGAAAGTTCTGGTAATGGATCATATTTTGGAGAACTAGGACAGTTCCATTGAAACGTCAACTCACAATATCCAGCAGACTACATAAGGATAAATCTTTATGAGAATACACGCAAATTAAGAACTTATGTAATACAAATCTAGATGAATTAATAACTATTGGTCGCAAAACCTCCAAAGTAACAAAAAACCACTCCTTCACCTGGGAAACACCCTTGAGGAAAACCCATCAGGGAATTACATATTTAACACAGAAGTGATAATTGACTAATAGCCTTTAAATGGTAGGGAAACAATTTCTTGTATACTCAGATTACACCAGCTGTCTTTCTTTTTCTTTAAGTTCTTCTGCTATTCATGCCATAGCTGCACATGAAACACCATCAGTTCAGGAGCATTTTTGCATTGACTTTCCATCAGCCCGTCTTGTTGCATGCTTAAAATATAGCTATTACCCGGTCATTCATAATGAATTTGGAGATTAAGAAGCACAGTTAATAAATAATAATATATAGATAATAGCTTTGATTCAGGTTGTAAGACTTTTTGTTTACTTACTTACACCTTTACCTGTGAAAAATTTGTTTTTTTCTCTAAAAAATGCTTGTATTCACTTCTAACCACTACCAATAGCAGCTAGAAATCCCTGAGTGATTTGCTGACTTGAGGGAGCTGTCACTGGGTATTCCCAATGCTCCCATCCACCTGTATGCGAGGGTTTGCTTCTCAGAACAACTATAACGTATTTTAGTTCTGATGAACTAAATGCACTGACATTTTTAGGTGCACTTTCTGGCCTAAAACCATCTTACAACTACTTGTTCCCACTCAACACAGCAAATAAAGCAAAGTCTCTATCCATTGCATCTGACATTAACGATAGAGATGCTGTGATTGTCGTGTGGCTGTAGAAAAATCATTGTAGGACCAAAATGTTTCAAAGCCTGTTTTTTCTTTTCTTGTTTTTTTTTCTTTGTATTATCATGTGGGCGTCTCACCTGAAAATCCCCTGAAAACTTTGAGCCTAAAAAAGTATTGGGTTTGAAAAATCAGCTGTGTTTGACTGGTGGTGGTACAATTAGACGGAGTAGTGTTGGTTGTCAAGACGACGCTAAGTCGGAGGCTGCTTTTGGCCTGTTCTTTCTGATGGGTTAAAGCTTTGGGTTCAGTTTGCAGTGAGTCTGAAAAGCAGAAAACTAATAAAAACATTGATTATCTCTATATTGTTCAATGTAGTTTAAAAGCATTTTCTAAATTTTTATAATTAAGTTGTATAAAAAAATGCTAAACCCTGAAATTTTATAAGGATTAAATATATTTTTGTGATATTAGAAGACCCTCTGCTGCTAAAATGAAGCAGAGGCTCTGCTGTACAAGATCTGTTGGACCTATTGGACTTTAAAGTGATCAATACTCAGTTAGAGCCATGAAACCATTCAGTCAATACCAACAACTGCTGACTGTGTGAACCAGCACAACTTTAAACCAGGCAGAAACATTGAGTGATTGGTTTATGTTTAGCTTTAACTGTGCTCCATAAAGGGCTGAATGTACGTATCAAGAGTATTAGGAAATCAGTTAGATAAATCTACATTCAAATGTATCCAATTCAGTTTATTTCTATAGCGCCAAATCACAACACGTCATCTCAAGGCACTTTGCATTTCAACCAGATCATACAGTCAAATTGATTCAAAGTTTTCTATCTAAGGAAAACCAGTTGATTGCAATCCCTCACACTAAGCATGCTTGTAGCGACAGTGGAGAGGAAAAACTCCCTTTTAACAGGAAGAAACCTCCAGCTTTAAAAGGCTCAGTGTGAGCGGCCATCTGCTGAGGCCGACTGGGGTTCAAGGAGAAAGAAGCAGAGATAGAAAACAATGCAGAGATACAAATCCATGTTTCTTTTCCCTGCAGTTTTACCAGGTTCTGTGGTATGGACATATTGTCAATGTTGGATGTGAGGGAAGCAATATTTCTTGTTGTTATGTCCTTGACCTTCATCTGCCAGTCATCTTCCAGCTGCAGCTGTTCAGAACCTGGGGAGACCCGTATTACATCGGTCTAAACGGCCTGGAGTTTTACAACCAGAACCACGAGAAGATCCAGCTCACTGATAACAGTATCCTTTCCTACGAGAAGTCAGATGTTGTATAACGAGTGCCTTGCTCAATTGCAACACAGAGTGGAAAATGATGGAAAAGTTGTCTCAAAAATTAAAGCCCTGAGAACTGCTGGTACCGTTAAATCCAGACCATTTTCTTTTGTAAAAGAAATTCTATTTATAGAAAATACTTTTTTTTCTATAATAGTTGGTAAAAGAGTTTGTGTTTCTGTATGTATCTGAATAATCCTTAACATGATGTGTGCCTCAGACATTGCAGCTTTTCCAGAAAGTGTGAACATCCTGGACAACATCAGCGGCGACGTACGGACTCCTGATAAACTAATTGACGGCGTCAACGACACCCAAGACGGCAGGCATATGTGGTTGGCGCCGGTTCTACCGGGAACGGTGAGGAAGGGGAAAGAGTATCGGGCCTGCTTTAAAGAGCAAATTCATTTGGATCAAACTGAGAATATCTGTTATTATTCCACTTAGGTGAACCGTGTTTATGTCATCTTTGATCAGCCAGTGACTGTGTCCATGATCAAACTGTGGAACTACTCAAAGACCCCTCAGAGAGGAGTCAAAGAATTTGGGGTCAGTAGGTTTAATAAGCTGTTGGGTTTATTTAGATATTTGCTCGTGGACCTTAAGGTGTGTGTGTTTTTGCTCAGTTGCTGGTGGACGACCTGCTTGTGTACAACGGTATCCTGGACTGTGTAAACAACACTCCGAGAGGCATCCTGCCGACCTGTGACCCGGTGGTGCCGTACCACACCATCCTGTTCACAGATAACGTTTACGTCACTCACCATGAGAGGCTCAGCAACATCAGGTAACTCAGCGTACAGAGGTGGTTGAGTGAAGCAGCAGACCCTCAGGATGCTGCTGCTACCACCATCCTGAAAGCCTCTTCCAAACATACCTATTGACTTTTAGGTTCAAATATCTGAAAGTATCATTCAAACTGGAAAGTGTCAATATCTGCTGGTTGGCACCCTCTTAGTTTACTTCAGTGGGAAATTCACTGTGGAAGCTGGTGCTCCAGCATCTTTCATCTTATGACTGAGCCTCAGAGGTTCCTGAGTTCTTCGTTTTCAAATATTTCTTTAAATTTGGGGGATTTTTATTTTTTTTGTTTCTTGTTATTTTTTTTGTTTCTTGTTATTTTTGTTTTAGGTGTTTGAAAAAAAAAAAAAAAAAACGATCCTGAACACAGATCTAAATTTGTTTTTAAATACATCAATCGCGCTAATAAAAAGAAGCTTCTGGAATTGGTAGAAAGTAAGTGGACCATCTTTTAAAGTTGGAGGTCAGAAGCGAACAGCAAAAACTGGTTGACCAGTTTCCTGGCGGAGTTTGTTGAAACCTCCAACCGAAATTATGCCAGAAACAGGTTGATGGCCACAGAAAGTGTTTTTTTTTCTCACTTTAACTTTATAAATAAATGAAAAAACAAACTCAAAAAAAAAAAAAAAAGACTTTTAGTTCTTGGACCAAGTTCCTGGACCACTCCCTACACATCCCTATTGGAGATCAGCATTTAAAGTAGAAATATTTATTTCAGAAGCTACTCATTTTATACATATCGCAGAAACTGCAACTCTGAATAAACATTTTTTTTATATTATTTATTTCATCAAGTGTAAATTATAGCAGAAACTTTATGATGTAAAACTATAACCACCTTAACTTTAAAACTTTAAGGTTACTTAAAGTTACTTCATTATTATTCTTATATATTACCTTGTTTTTCTAAGTTGCATTTCTTTCTCCCAAATTTTTTGTCACGTACAATCTAAATTACCTCTCCGTTTTTTTTTTATTATTATTACTATTATTATTCTGACATATCTGTCCTAAATAGTTTTTGTTCCTGGAAACCTTTACCACCAGGGTAGCAGCCTGGACAGGTCTCAAGACTTGTAATAATACAGTAATAATAGTCCAGAAATCCTTCAGTAAAACGTCAAGACACTTTAAATAAATAACTGAAGAAATGTATAATTTAAAAAAAACAGTGGATGAAACACCGATAAGTTAGTAATTTTTAATAATTCTTCTTTGCTTCAGCCCTCATGGCAGCAGACATAACCTACAGTGAGTATCAGGCTTTTTTTTTTAGGTCCCCCTAGTGGTCAATCCATGTAATTGACATCCATACTCTTCCCCCTGGATTCCCTGTCCACCCAGCTCCACTAGGACATCATGTTTAACCGATTTCTCTCTTATTTTTTATTACCACCTTTACCTCTCAGTTCATTTCTTAATCCTTTGAGATGCAATTTAAGCCCCTGCTGTTGTTCCTCTGTTCAGTTTCCCCTCAGCTGGAGCAGACATGAATGCCCTAATGTATTTGATGATGTGTTGCAGAAATTTTATGGAGGATCAGGATGTGAGGATGACCAACGAGAATCAGATTGTTTATCACAACAAACAAAAACCGACCGCGGATCCAGGTGATGCAGAAAAATTTATAGTTTTAGAGGATATATTAAACATTTTATTCTGATACATCTTTGTTCTTCTTCCTTTTAGCTCTTCGGCCCAAAACCTGCATGACTGATGGTGGCAAACATGGAAAGAGGAGATACTGACAAGGAGGTGGATTATTTTTCCCCACTTTTTTAACACTTTAGTGAGAGCTGGGAGAGGAGACCTTAAGATGACTACTTTCCTTCCACTTCTGGTGAGAAACTTTTGGAAGCTGAAAAAATAACACTCAGACGCTGGATTTTACACTGAATACTACTTATTCTCCTCCTTGTGTGGCTGTGGAAACATGCATCCACTGAAGCATGACACATGTAACCACGTTTTCCCTCCCACGGGAGACCTCTGTATATCAGCCTGATATCGTTAACTGTGCCTATTACTATCTGCAGCTGCTATTTGTGACTTGTGCATATTCTAATACATTTGGCATGTAATATAAATGCCCTGAGTTTCTGTGTTTCTACACCTTATATACTGACTGAGCTGAATATGAAGATATCCATGCACCAACCAGTTCTAATGCTATGCAGACGATGGTTTATAAAAAGCATTGGCAGAGAACTTTCATTCGAAAGCTGTTCTAAAAAGGTTTTTACCTTTTTATAAGATTTATAACATTTGAAACCTACTAAATTCCACAGCTTTTAAAAATAAAACTGCTGGAATTATGCAAAGTAAATATATATTATAAAGTTATTTTTTTTGCTTAGCATCAGACATAGCTTGATTACAAGTGACCTTTACAACATTAGCTTTAAGTGTTTTTCTGTTAATTTAAGAGCTTTCTCTAAACATTTAACCCTAATATGCAAATACTATTACCTCAAACTGAAACGTATGGTGTTGAAAACAGGAAACATGGCTTCACCTTCACCACTAACACTTGGCAGTTAAACTTTTTATTAAATCTTCCCTCTACTCATTGCATGCCAAAATTTGCTGTCATTTATTAATATGTGATTAAAGGAGCTTCAACTGAGCCCTGCTATATACGCTGTCAGAGGTTTATATTCTGCAGACTCATCCAAGGCTGGAATCTCTACAAAAACAAAACTTTTGTTCATCTTAAAAACAGAAATGAAACCACTGGGTTTATTTATTTTTTCTGTTGCAGGTACGTGTGAGTTTTTCCAGAACACAGGGTCAAAATTATATAAACAAGCTGAAATATTTACACCCACACCTCCTGCTACTACTATTGATATTTGGGAACATGCCCCATCTGATATAATGGCACTTCTTCAAACACTTTCGTCTCCTCCTGCTCAGTCATCAAATAACGATTAAGTCTTCTGATTAACTGGAAGGTGCTGGAAACCCTTTTAACTTTAGTATAGATTTAGAACCACAAAAGAAGGGTTATTTGGTGATGTTATGTCTGTGTGAACTATTCTGGGGTCCAGTAAGTAGAGCTGGGAAATCAATTAATTTAATCAAATGTTCAGTTTATGGCAGAACCTTTGTTGCCCCTTAAATTACGGTCACCTCCCAGAGGAGGGTTGATCGGAGAGAAAAAAAAAGGCTTTTACCAAGTAATTTTCTTTTTTTTTTTACTATCAAACTAAAGGGAGAAAAACTGAATAATCTGATTCGATAGAAAAAAATTGGAGATTCAATTATTACACCATATTGTCCAGCCCTACAGTTAGATACAACATTGAGGAGCTATTTTCTGCCACAAATAGGTTAACCGTCATAATCAAATGAAAGAAAATTATCAAAGGATATAGCGAGGCTCACTCAGACTGGAACACGGCAGCGCTAGTTTAACAATCTGGACTTGGAGGCTCAAAACCAAGACAAAATAACACCTTTACACTGGATTGAAATCTGCCACTTCCATCCAGATTATCCAGATTTAGCCCAACGACAAGCAGACTAAATTCTAAAATACATCTCTGGATTATTCTGACTAGAAAAGCCTTTCAAGTTGCCATTTCTGAACAGAGTGATCCAGCATCCAGACAGAAGCTTCCTGGTTTCCAGATATCAGTTAATCAGCTAACAGTGGCTTCATCGTGAACACCACATCCTTAAAAATGAGTCTATGGAAACATCTGACAGGAATGTATATATTTACTAAATAAACCGCTTCCTTTGGGGAGTGGCTGTGTATTAAATGCAGTTTTATGCATTTTATTTTTAAGTGTCTGACAGTAATATTTTATCTGTGTACACCAAGTTATGGGCTATTGTATATTTGACCTTTAGTGTTTAATTATTTTTCTAATATTTGTGTATTCTGTGTAGGTTTATTTCAATGAATAAAAGCTTGAAATTCATCTCATGAGTTTTATGGTTATTCTGTGCAATTCTAAAATGCAAGAAAGGCTCAATAAGTGTTCCTAATAGAGGCTAGTTTTTATGTTGAAATATTTAAATCCAGTGAGCCATTTTTACCCTGGGTCAGGTAAATTACTCTAGTGGAAAGCCACTAATGTTGGAGGGAAAAAAAAAACATCTTTGGAAACCTGTCAGTTTTCAAAGAAAGGATTGAACATCAAGGCATGCTGTGTGAAGTGAATGTAGCTCCAGTTAAGGAAGGAGGAGAAGAACTCAATCGTCTCCTGAGAAAATTTAATGCAGACGTTGCAGTACATTTATTTGTATTTTGTAAGGAATGGCCATTCAGTTTCATTTTCCCCCTGGACAGAGCGTTATCAGTGAAAAAGCGACATCAGGGCATCACTTTTACAAACATTTAGCTGAAAACATTACACCTTTACAGGCAAAAAACGTTTGGAGCCTCAGATTTTTCCTGGGAAGGTCCCATCGTCTCTCTGCCCATCCCATTTCTCAACCTGAAATAATGAAGAAAAATAATTAGAAATCACATATTTGCCTGCAATTAGTGTAAAAGCATCTTATAGTACAGTTATCAAATCAATATTTACTGGATCCACCAGATTAAACCAGAGATAAGAGATTTCCTACTTCAACCTAATAAATAATGTTTTATTGTGGCATTTATGCAACCAACCAGCAGTGCACAGCAAAGGTGACTTTCTTGGGCAACTCAGAGCTGAAGGCCACGGGGAAGCAATGGTAGAAAGTTTACAGGGTTTAAAACTAACTTTTGAAATACTTTAGTATTTTTTTTTTTTTTATTATTATTTAACCAGGGGAAAAAAATCCCATTGAAATTAAAAACATCTTTTTCAAGGGAGTCCTGGCCAAAAGGCAGCAAATTTACATATTAAACAGATACATTAAATTAAATGACAGCTACATAAAAACATATCAAGTAAAACAATTACAGATAATCGAGGCTGCTTATTCACTGATAGCTTAGTTGGATACTTTAACTAGCCATATAAATTGTATTGGAACACTTTTGATCAGAGGTATACAGAATCTTTTCCATATTGGCCTGACTTGCATGTGTATAAAATGTATAGTTCAACATTAGGCTGCTGTAGAGCTGGATGACATGCTGAGAAACAAATTTAGCCACTCAAACCAGCAGTTTTAGAACAAAGATGCAACCAAAACCTGCTGGACACCAATACTTAGGTGCTCTAGTGCACCACATCAAATCAGCCAATCAGGCTTGACAGAAATTTAAAAGTTGCAAGACCTTAACAGAGATGGATAGTTGCAATGGCGTAACGATACAACAATAGGCGCGTAAGCAAAATTATCTGGGTGGGCCCCATATGAAGTACAACACCCCATCGCCACCGCTGCAGTAGACAAACGACCCCAAATGTGCGCCATACAAACACAATCATTTCATCATTCTTCACCTTCATTAGACATGGATATAGTTTAGTATATTCTGCTGTAAAATGAATCTTATCAAGCTACCTTGAGTTTCACAGCCCCCCTCCTCGACCACGCTCTCTCTATTCATCTCCTGGTCACAATCTTCACTCACTATAGCAGCAACATCCACTGCTCCCTCTACAGTTCTTTGAAAGAACGTGTTAATTTTGGGAATTTTTTCCATTCCTTGAGTTTTCTTTTCTGGAATCTCCTTAAGTACCTCTTTTTGGCATCCATCATCGTTAACACATTATATAAAACGGTTATGGTTTTAATCTGGATTGCCCATAATTCCAAGTCGTATTTAAAAAAAAATAAAATACTCAAATACATTGTTCTTATTGCGGTTTGAAACATATTATATGAGTGCATTTTGTTTTTACCAACCGTCTAATGAACTATACACAGTTATTAACATAGTAATTAAAAGTACCACTGTCTGCTTTGCTATTGGTGTCATGTTTAAACGGCTCAACATCAGGTTGAAATCTGGCATGTGGTATAAATACGGTCTGGTTAGTCAACCTAGTATCAGGTGGGTTAAAGAGGAAATTTTCGCACAATTACATCTGAAAAGAGACATCCTAGCTCACAATTACGTAGGGGGCCAACCAGGTGTCAGCGACAGGGCCCCTAAGCAACTGCAGTCTCTGCAGTCTCTACACCATTGGATAGTTGTGGTCAAGAGTATGAAACTTTTTCTAAGTTTATTTTTAAATAGAATAAGAGAAAAAGTAAAACTAATATTTACCCAACCCATAGGGCAAAGGGATTTGTAGACCCTTTTGTACCAGTCACAGGGGGCTGTGTCTACTCCTTTAGCATCCAGGGCTTTCTGACAGCGGTGATAGTCTGAAATCAGAGAAATAAGAAAATATAAATGATTTAACCATTTTAATAAAACATTCAGAAGTTACACTAAACTTCATGCTGGTCTAAATGTTTTTCAGTCTATAGAAAATAGAGCAATTAGCCAGTAAACAAGCTCAACATTAGTATTGTGCTTTGACCTTGAGCTAAATCCTTACCCAGATAGTTGGACCAGCAGTTCCTGGTCTGATTGGTGTTCGGGAATCGGGCATCAAAGGGAGCGGTTCGGTACTGCTCCAGTTTAGCCTTTATGTCCTCAGCCATATTTACAATCTGTCATTAAAGAAAAAAATAACAGCTGGAATCAGTGACCACTGACTGACTTACCTTTACCCACCGGCAGTGACGTAGGCAGCGGTGCCGGGTGAGACTACAGGCTGTATTTGAAGGCAACAAACCGGACCGATTATGTACTGGTTCCGAACCGGTTCAGACAGAACAGAGGGGATCAATTTCCATGCGGCACCTGGAGCTGTACATAGAAGCGTAGCGCTGCCCTCTACGATCTCCTTCACGGAGCAAAAAGAAAGCTTAAATCCGAACCCAATCTGGTTACTAATTAACTAAAATCATATAATTCCTCCTAAAATGTTAAAAATGACTTTAACAACGTGGTTGGCCTGTTCCTTTAGGGCGAGTAGAGGCATTCCGCCTCCTCTTTTCCGCATTAACTGGTTTGGTTCCTGTGTTTCTACCGAGCTTAGCTTTCATTAAAACCTCCTTTTTCAGACAGAAAACACCAAAGCGCGTCCAGCACCGGCAGCTATGGCTCTGCTGTGTGAAACGCTCCACATAACCTCTCTAAACACACGGTCAAACGCCTACAGACGCCATGAAGGTGAAGGTTACCTTTTATAAATGCGGCTCGAGCTCAGCGGTGACTTGACGAGCGGACGGTTTGGGGGCGCGTGTTTCCCTCTGTGCCTGGCGCGTGCGCTCCGGTTCGGAGAAATGTATCCGTGCAGTCCTTTTATGAGGATATGGCGGACAGTGCAGGTCACATTGAGATGACTGCTTCTGTCAGACTGAAGTTTAGACTTCCTGTACAGGTCTGAGGGGATCCTGGGAGGCTTAAAACTCCCCCAGGGGTGGTGTGACGTTCCTGTTTGATGTTTAATGGAGATAAATTAAGCTTGTTACATCCGTACTGTAGTACTGTTCACACATTGTCAATGATTAACAGGAATATACTCTTATGTTGGTGAGTTTCTGTTTCAGGTAAACACATCTTACTCTATATGAGTTGTTTTTTTAACCTGATGTGTAAAAGAACACTTGAGTGAATCAGTGAACCTCTGACGCTCAACTTGTCATGTCTGCCCTGAACATTTTTTTTTTTTTACTACGAAGCGAGTCGTTTCAGCTCGTCCGTGCGCGTGTCCGTTCGATGCGCGTGGAGGTGACACACCCCTTTCCTTACAGATGCCGCGCATGCGCTGTTTCTTCAGATAGATTTCTATATATAGTTGTCCAATCATGTAAAAAAAAGAATAAAATAAATTATTAAAGATAATATGTTTACTACGGAAGAGCATTAGCGCCACTGGAAAAAAAAGTTAACTGATTTTTAAATTTTATTTCAGTTTAATATGGGAAAAAAGTCAGAATTCTGAGAAAAAAGTCAGAAATCTGTCATGTCTTAATTCTGAAATTAAAGTCAGAATTCTGAGATTTTTTCTCAGAATTCCAACTTTAATTCAGAATTCTGACTTTTTTCTCAGAATTCCGAGTTTAATCTTAGAATTTTGATCTTAATGTAGATGTGCACCATGAAGGAAGAGATGTGGGAGCACTCAGCTTCACTGACAAAGAAGTGAGTTGTTTGGAAGGGGCCAGTAACACGGTGGTGGAAAATGACGAAATTAGGCAACTTTTTACATGCCTGAGGCGTCCCCGGTAATGCTATTTCATTAATTGAAGAGCAGGTGGTGATTAAAACAAGAGAGCTAGTCTCTAAAACAGACATAGCTACGGCTTGATGCTAACATGTTTATAAGCTGTCAGAATTCAGTCAGAATTTTGAGAAAAAAGTTTTTTTCCCTTATTAAACTGAAATAATATTTAAAAATCAGTTAACTTTTTAAAAAATTTTTCAGTAGCCTTAATCCTCTTCCGTAGTTTACAATACAGAGAAAAAAAAATAAAATATTGATGTTGAGATGAAGCCTCATGAACCGTTTGGCCAAATTGCTTCAACGATCCCCGCAGTCCATGAGGCTTCATGTGAACATATCACCACCTACTGGTGGAATGCAGAACTACAGTTTGTAGCTTAAATTATTTTTCTCCTCCAAGACGTTTTACATACAACAAAACTTATAAAATGTTTTATTTCACACACCAATCATTAACAATTTCAAAGAAACTTAAATGGAGAAAAAAAAAACAAGAAAAAAAAATGCAAAAAAACCAAAACCTAGATATTTGGGTATATTTGATGCCATCTTGCCTCCTGATTTGACTTCCAATCCTTAGGTTGGTGCTTCAATATCTCACCACAGACTTTTGAAAGTTGGGAAAAAACGTAACAAATTTTTATTGGTTGGCTCTTGTACAAATATAGATTGGGTAAAAACACTGCCAAGTTAGATTGATTGGTTGAACACATAACTTCCAACCAGATTAAAACCAAAAAAGTGTGGAAAAGTAATATTTTTGAATAAAAATGACTAACACCTTTCATTTTGCTCATCATTACCCAATTTGTACATGCACTTTCACTGTCTGCTTGAGCTTTTTTGTCTAAAATGTCCAAAGTCTGAGGTGAGGTATTGAACCACCAACCTAAGGATTGGAAGTCAAATCAGGAGGCAAGATGGCTTCAAATATACCCAGATATCTAGTTTTTCTGTATCTATGCAGCAGAAAAGATAGGAAAGATGAAGTTAAAGTCTGTTCTTATCATTTTTCCATCTGGTAGGAATAAGTACTACATATGATTGCTTGATATTTAGCTTCTGTCATTTTTAAGGACCCCTTATCATCCCTTAAAAATAATAGTACTGATGGGTCAGTCTAGAGTCATTTAAAACATTGTGTCTGAATTATTGAGCAACTAATTATAATACAAAAACAAACAGGGCATTCCTTCAGCCTCTTTTTGTCTTATCTAGTGCTCCCTGTGGAAATTCTCTCCCTGCAATTACTGCACTTTGGTGGGATAATTTGTATGGGAATTTCCCGAAAAAAGCACTCCGCCTTTCCCATAACGTTCATAACCAGACAGCTGTGCCTAGAAGAAAATACAAATAATGCAGCTGCTTTCTGCTCTGGCATAAACAACAGGGTAGGAAAAAAAAATCCACTTAAACCAGTGAAAGAAAAATCTGGTCAATGAAGATTCTCAGTCATCCAGGTCATAGTAATCCCAAAAAAGTTTAAAAACAATCAACTTAATTTTGTTTCCAGGTTTGAAGACATTTTCTTCCCATCCAGGAAGCTTTTTCCGTTCAAACTCAACTCTATTTTCGACATGTTGAATGAAAAAAGCTTCCTGGATGGGAAGCGTATCTTCCTATCTGGTCCTCTTTCTAAACAGTATAATAATTGACTTTTAAACCCTTTTAGTCAAAGTGTTTAACATGCAAAGATTAAATACACAAACAGAATGCATAATTACAAAGAAAATAGAATAAAGAAAAAAACAATCAGCAAAAACGATAAAGCTATTTCTGTTAGTAATTCAGAACCCTTAAGAGGTTTTTCCTTCCACTCAACATTTCAATTATAGACCTGGAAGCAAGGTCTAGAAAAAGCCAGCTTCTACGAGATTGACCTTTCCTGGCTTAACTTCTGTAGAGGGAGTCAAAGTCTGTCCCATCAGTAGAGTTTCCTTTGATTGAATGGGCCTCAACAGAAATAAATCCCATTTCCACTTTTTACTTGCATTACTGAATAATATCAACCTTTTCAAGAGGAACAAATACATAAAAACAATAGAAAATTGGAAAATTCTGTGGTCCTGCATCATCACAAAACCAGACATTTTGGATCAGAGCCTGTAGCGGCTCCAGTAGGGAGGGGCCAGTATGGGATTCTCTTGAAGTGAAGTTGGCCCCCCCACCTTCTTCAAATCAGACAAAATTAGTGTCAAACGTTTGTGCTGGTTTGTGCAGCAAAAATTTTTGTTTGTGCCGCTATCGTTTTAAAGATATAAAGAAATATTTCTAGAGGTCATCAAAGGTCAACCATCCCCCCCACCTTCTTCAAACGACGAAAGGGGTGTCAATTAACTCAGTTCCGTTTGTGTAGCAAAAATTGTCGTTTGTGCTGCTTTGGCTTTGAAGATATTAATGGAAATGTAAAGGTCAAAAGGTCAACCAGCCCCCCCACCTTCTTCAAATTAGACAAAATTGGTGTCAAACGTTTGTGCAGCAAAAATTTTCATTTGTGCAGCTTTCATTTTAAAGATGTAAAGAGATGTTTCTAGAGGTCATCAAAGGTCAACCAGCTCCCCTATTCTTCAAATCTTTGAATCCAAAGCAGCACAAACGGAACTGAGTTAATTGACACCTATTTAGTCTGCTTTGAATAAGGTGGAGGGGGGGGTTGACCTTTGATGACCTCTAGAAATATTTCTTTATATCTTTAAAACAATAGCAGCACAAACGAAAATTTTTGCTGCACAAAAGTTTGACACAAATTTTGTCTGATTTGAAGAAGGTGGGGGGGGCAACTTCACTCAGGTTGATTTAACTCCTGTAAAAAGTGTAATTCGTGTTTTATTTTGTATTTATATTTATATATATATAAAAATATACAATTTCTATAGTGTCTTAGAGTTGCTTCCCCTTACAGATCCAATAACTAATGAAATATACACAATAATTATGAACTGAGAAAGTTTGGTTATAAAATGTTCTGAACGTGACCTCATTTCCGGGAAAATTGTTTGATAAAAAAAAAAAGAAAAACATATATATGGTAAAATTTTAACTAAATTAAGTTTAATGTGGTTTTACTTCAGCACCTCTGGTTGAAATAAAAACATATTAAAAGGAAGAAGAAAATTAGAATTATTCCAACCTGTTTTTGTTTTTGTTTTTTTAGGACGGAAGTAAATTGTTTCCAAAAATTGAGAAAAATGCTTTTCTATAGTCAGAAAGAATCTTGCTGGATTTTATGTTTGTTTGTTTTTTTCAGGGAAAATAAATCCTGTTCCATGTGGAAAAAATTAAATAAAAATCTTACATTTTAATCTCAAATTATGTTTAAATAGCAAATAACTACTTAAGCTTTGACTGAACAGAAGAGCGTTGCTTCATGATAATCGGAGAAATGCTCGCGTCATTTCTGATCATAAACAGTTTTTTGTTTAAAGAAAAATTGTATTAATAATTTTTGGGCTTTATCGTGTTTTGAAAATAACACCCAATTAGCATCATATCTTTAATAACTATTAGAAGTAACACAACCAAAAACAACACAATAGTTTAATATCTTAAACTAAATTCTTTATTCCAAACAAAAAAAAAAAAAGTAATTTCTCAAATCCAAACATTTCATCAAATACAAAAAGTCGCCTCAATTAGGTCGGCTCAACAAGCTCAATATATTAAAGAAAAATATATACATTTACAGCCACACCTTTTCTGTCTACGTACGCATTCATTTTATTCCCTGGGAGGAGAAACCTGACTGAAACCTTACAGCAGAAAAAGTAAATTACAGTTTAATGTGTATTTAAATATGTAATAGAAAAATACTGGAGCTCAGCTTCCCAGATTTTAAAGGCTTGGCTTCGTCTAAGATCGGATGTGAGCCGAGATCTTAATTAAGCATCACTTTAATACCAGAACTAGGTCAAAAAAACAAAAACAAAAATCTAAAAAGTTCCAGCATCTTGGATTCAGCAAATAACCAACATTAATGACAAGTTTTTGACACTTTCATATAAATATGGTTTCTTAGTGTTTTTTTGGATTTTAAGTTTCATTTTGCAGCAGCATCAAAAACACTTCTGCTCCCCAACTGTGGTCAGTTCCTTTACCGTTTATCCGTAACAGATTAAATAGTGTTTTAGCCTTTAATGACTCATTTAAGGCTGAGGTGATCAGAGATAAACCAACCAATGTGATAAAAATAAGTGTTACTTTAACAGATCTAAATGAAGCTCCAGGCTTTCAGCCTCTTTGAGGATGCCTGGTTTCACTAACTAACCACAGAGGAGGCAGACGTGTTTTTTTTTTAGCAGGTTTAGGGCAATCTGTGCAGAGCAGCAGCTTTTTAAAGTTTTTGATTGGATCATGAATGGACATCTAAGCCTGAATGTTCTGTCCACTTCAGGAAGAACATTTAAGTTAAAGTAAAATTAACAGTGTCTTCAGAAAATGATTTTCTTTGGCTTTCAGTAGCTAAAAACTAGAGTAAATGCTTTTATTTTAGAGACATAAAAACAAAGCCACACACTGCAGGGTTTCTTTTCACCAGTCGCTGCTGAAGCGGAGTCGGTTAAAGACTTCTTTGATGTCGTCGTCGCTATGCGGCTCTCCGCTGGGTTTCGTACGGAGCACTCTGCATGAGTGAACGTCCTCCTTCAGCTTCTGCTTGAAAAGGACCACGGTTCCTTGGGTTCCTTCCTTCTCTGGGCCCATCAGGAGGAAATAGGCGGCGTGACGTCCACGCTCCATCAGAGTGGCTAAAAGAGATAAAAACAGAGAAATAATCTGTAAAAGAGCTAAAATCAGTCCGTTACCCAGCTGTTTGTTAAAATGCCCTCAACCTGCTGAATCTTTTCACTCTCTGTCTCATTAATAATCCTGTAATATGTTAACAAAACAAACACATCTGGAGTACTGGAAGGAAAATGATTCTCAGTTTTCTAAATATTTCGCAATTAAAAACCTAAAACATCTCAAGCTCAGCTAAATTGGATGAAGATGATCTGTAGACAGCCATCTTTAAATCCTACCACAGATTTTTAGCAGGTTTTCACCCTTTACTTTGACTAGGCCGTTCTGTCTCTTAAATATTCTGTCATCTAAACCACTCATAGCATCTCTATCTGTGTGTCCTACTGGAAAGTGAACCTCCAACCCAGTCTAAGGTCTTCTGCAGATTCTAACAAGTGTTCTTGAGAAAATAAAACTGTCAGCTCAAGAAAACTATGCCCACAGCACAATGCAGCCACCACCATGTCTCACACTTGGGGAAATGCATTCAAGTAGGTAGTTTTCCTCATTAGTTTGTACTGAACTGCTACAGTTAGACTCAGAACTAAACACATTCCTAAAACTATAGAGTACCGAAACTGACAGATTTAAAAATAGAAGGTATAAATAGATAAATATCCCAAGTATGAACAAATGCCCTTAAAATGTGCAGATTAATTTATAATATTAGAATATTTGATATGTCAAAGCATCAATGAGTCAATTCTAGCCACTAGGGGCGCTACACCTGGAAGTTAGAGGTGTAGCACCCCTTATAGCGACTATCGCAAAATTACCCAGCCTCCCTCTGGGTTTCAGAATCTGACAGAGGATGAATTTAGAACAGCTGACTGAGAAGTCATGGAGTTACTTATAAAGACAAGGAAACTTTTACCCCTCTAGATTAAATCCTACATCAGAGAACCTAAAATATGTCTGATCATGTAAGGGTCACAATGTTTTAACATTCCAATATAATACTTAAAATCTGTCACCAACATTTGCTTCGTTAGCTCCACTGTTTAAGTTAGCTCAGACTGTAATTAAAGCTGCGCTCTGGGTCACATGACTCATTCAGTGAGATGAGTATTAGAGAAGAGCAGCATGCACAGAGCGTTATTATGTACAAAGAGCTGCATATTTATCTGAAAAATCATTTAATATACCTCAAGCTAAGCTAATACTTGGGTCAGAGTTACGCAATGTTGTTTATATACAATTATGTTATAATATAGGCTTCAAATTTGTTTCTCTATTTATTTAAACCACAGTATTGCTTAAGGAAAAGTAAAAGAGGAGCCAAAAAAATCATAAGAAAATTCAAGCAGAAAGAAAAAACAAAACAGGAAAGAAAAACATGAACAAAAAAAAAACAAACAACGAAATTAAAATCTAATTTATTAGCAGTAAAGAGAGAAAATAATTTTATAATTTGAGGAAGCAGCCGTCTCCCCTACATTTTTATTGGGAATAAGACAATAATAATTAACCACATAACTTTTGTTAAAATGTAATTGAAATGCAACAGATTTTAACTATATTTTGTATTGATTTTTATACTTTGAATCCATGCATTTAATTTAACCAAAAAGACAATAATCAGAGGCATATGCATTATTGGTGAATTAGTGATTGAAGCTGTGCAGTAATTGGGTAATTATTTTAGTGAAACAGTTTAGAGAAAGAAAAAAAAAGGATTTAAAACTCTATATTATCTTTATATCCAGCTTATAAATCATTAACAGTTATAGAGCTTTCAGGATGAGTGGGTTTCATCTGCTAACCAGCTCAGCAGAACGACAGACGGTAACCAGAGGTGTTTAGGTTTTTTTATGTGTATTTCTTTAAATAGAAAAGACATTTTAATATTTCATGATATTTAAATACCTTTTAAATTCAGAATAAAATAAGAATATATGCACATACACAGATACATCTCAAAACAAAACACACTATTGCATGTTATTAACACTCCCAACACACCTTTAAATGTCACTATATGATCCGTGATGTTGGTGCATTCGAGCAGATAGTTGGGATGGAGGGGATACAGCATGTAGGAGCATCGGTCACGGCCTAAAGGTTCCTGAGGAGAAGGATAGAGGCGTGAGGAGCAGGACTGATATCAGTGAAGACATTTGTTTATAAAGGAATTAAACTTACAGATGAGTTGGACTCTGATGCAACCAAGCCCCAAAACATAAAAAGAGAGAAGGAGTTGGTGGCGTGCACAGCGTCGGGTTGGGGTGAGTTGGCGCTGGCCAAACTGTGGATGTCCCACAGCAAACCCCCGGTCCGCCCATCCAGGATGGTTATCTACAGACACAGTTGGTGAGGGAAAGAAGGTCCGCTCTGATCCGCTCAGGGGTTTAGGATCAGATGTAAGTTGACTTACCCTTTTAGTGGAGTTACCGACATCGTCTTCAATCACCAGATCGAGGACATTATCAGTGTTAAAGTGACCGAAGGAGGGCTTTCTGAGGAGAAAACAACATTTATTTAAAGTTAAACGAATGATAATAAGCTCCCAAAAGACAAACATACTTTAATAGTAATGATCAAAAAGATTTTAAAAAAGAGCGGCCGTATGCTTCTCCCCCCTCCTCAGGTTCTCTGTTTCTGGAAGAAGTTTCTTTCAGCTGGCAGAACCTCCCAGGTTCTTTGAGATGCTTCATGCTCCTGGCCCAAAGCATGACACATCCTCCACCATACTCAGGGGTTGATGTTAAGGATTTTTACCACTTGCCCTTCAGGCAAGTGACTTTCACATTTCATTTGCCCAGAAACAATTTTTACTTGCCCAGTATGTTGTTTGATAAATATAGTTCCTAATATTAATTTTTGTATATATATCAATGAAACATGTTTGTTTTTTTAAATGTTTTTGTAATCCAGTATTTTTTAAGTTTCCAGGTTCCTGGTGTGTATCTGCATGCGTCAGATAATGAACTCAAGCCTATATTACCGTGTTAACATGCTTTTCAATCCTTCCTGCACATTCTTTTCAAACTAAACTTTGCTTTAAACTGTTGTGTGCTTGGAAAAATATAAATTGTAATGTTAAAAATCTAAAAAAAAACTTGACAGGTTAAAAACTTAAGATAAATCACAAGACAGAAGTCCATGTCAAAAATGAATAACTTTTGTTATTTTAGAGTCACGGTATGTTTATACAAGATAATACTATTAATATAATAGAAAATCATTATACATAGTTATTTTATACAGGGTTTCCACAGTCTTACATAATTTCAGAATTCCCTGACTTTTAACTGACTCAGGGTTAGTTTTCCCTGACAAAATAAATGCAGCCGTTTGTCGTTTTGGTAACAACATCAAAATTACCACTAGGTGGACAAAAATCACGCCATCTGGCAGAAAATCATGCGAGAATGTGTACAAAACAACAAAAATGGTGCCAAGAACGCTTCTGGGTCATTTTCATCGAATGTCAGTGATTTTAAAGTAATTTTGAGTGATATTTTTTTTTGTGATCATTGCATTTGCCCGGCGGGCAAATGCAATGAAATTTGTACACTCCCAACAATAAAAACTACTTGCCCCGGGAGATTGGGCGATGGTTAACATCGAGCCCTGATACTCTACATGAAACATGTGGAATGGTTAATGGCAGTGTGGAATCACCTACAACTAATTTGGTCTAAATCCAAAAAAGAGAATTAAAAACAATCCACTGGGTGGTCCTCCATGTGTAAACACAACAATCTTCAAACAGCTCGAGAACATGCCGAGAATTTGGATGGAAAAATCTCATTCGTTTTTTTTTAATCACCCCACATATAAAATCTAAACAACTTAGTCAACAACAGAAGTGTTGGAGAGGGTGTGGACATGTAGATCCCAATCACTCCCATATCTTTTGGTCATGCATTAAACTGCAGTTATTCTGGAACAGTTTCATTCAGACAGTAGAGGAAATTTTATGCCCATCTATACCCCGAGATCCGAGCTTTGTATACCTAGGACTTATGTCGTATGAAGTCATTGGAAAAAAAGACATTTACCTCTGCAAAATATTACTGATTGCTGCCAAAAAGGCATTGACAAGGAATTGGTTGAAAAGTGACCCACCTGGGCGTGGACAATGGTTGAATATTGTAGACGAACCATACGCCATGGAAAAACTGACTTTTCGTCTGAGACTTAAAGAAGGAGACTTTGAGAAAAAATGGCAGAAGTGGTCTATGTTCAAGGTCAAAACCCAACCATAAAAAAATAGAAACTTTGGAAAATATAGTAATGTACGCCCCCCCCAGCTTGTTCTCTGTTTTAATTTGTTGTTGTCAGGTTGCTCTTTGTTTCCTTTTTTTTCCCCCTTTTGTGTGTTTTTTTTCCCCTTTGTTTTTGTAATATAAAAAAGACAAAATAAAGAGTTGAAAAAAAAAAAAAAAACAATCCACTGGACTTTGTCTCAAAGTTTGAAGACATTTCGCTTCCCATCCAAGAAGCTTTTTCAATTCAAAAGAATTCTGTTGTTATGTTATGGAGATTGTTATGGAGATTCAATGATCCCAGGATGCTGTTCTAACCTGCCGACCACCTGCCTCATGAGGAGCAGGACTGATAAAGATCCTCCTCCAGCCATGTTTGTCTCAGTTCTGATAGCTTTAAACTTTCTAATGGTTGCTGTGACTGCGAATGGTTTTTCAACTTCAACAAAAAAAACGACTTCATGAAAATTAACATTTTATCTCCCTTAATCTCATAGTGGTCTTAGATTTTTTTCTAACAGAAATGAGCCTCTGTGCTTCAGGTGATTTTTGGGATGTAAAAGTTTAATAACTTTATTAACTGCAAGACCAACCAATGTACTTGAAAAAACAAAAGAAAAAATAATTTTTCTATCTAAATTTAACCTGAAAATCCTTAAGAAGTGTTTTGTTAACATGCAGCAGAAACACGCATCATCAGGAGGGAGCATCAGACATCCCTCTACCCAGTGACTTCTTCCAGGTATCCCAGACCAAACACAGGACCCAGATGGTTCTCCAAGGATATCACTGCATCTCTAATCAAAGTCCAGCCTACGAACTTGGATTTTAGGATCTTATTCTTTCTGTCGTGATCAGTACCTCATGACGACCGGTAAGGGTTGGTATGTAGACAGAGTTAAATCTGCTGCTTTGCTTTTCAGCTCAGCTCTTTTTGCGCATTACTGCAGATGGTTTAGATGTAACTCAGAGAGGCCGGGTCGGAGGTAGAATACTATCCCCCAAATTAGCAATCGATCCAAAGAGAAAGAAAAAGAGACGAAGACTCACCCAATGGTTGATGTGGTACTGAATTTCCATCTTTCCTCTAAAGAGCTCCCATCAAATACAGTTACCTCGCTGTCAGACGAAACAACAAGGTCTGAGGAAACGTCTGAGTCCTTAAATCTGAGCAAACGTCCTCCCTTAGACCTGCGAATGAATTGAAAACGTTACCACGCAATAATAAACCAGTGAATCCTTTCTGAATAATGTAGGCAGTTTCTTACTGGGAGATGGGTACGAGGCTGGTTGTGGCGCTGGCGTTTTTCTCAAAGACCGTGCTCTTCTTCAGACTCGGCTCGGGCTCAACGTTGGCTTTGGCCGCAATCCTCCACAGAGCCAGTGCGTACAACCCAGAGGCTGCGAAGGAATCAGGTCTTTATTTTTTAAAAGAAGATCTTCCCTTGTTTTTCATATCAGATTAGATATATATAAATCATAAAAAAGGATGATTATTCATCATTTAATATTGATATCCTTTTAATTATGCGTTTAAGCTGCTTCAAGGAGGTAAAATTATAGAACAACGCAAAGTTTTCATTTATTGTCGTTTTCTCTAATCCACCCAGAGGCAGATTATATTTGGAGACTCAAATATATACATACATTCTTAGAAGCTGCTTCAACGAGCCTGAGTTTGGGAGGACTAATGATTTTGTCGAGGTCCCTAGAAAGAAGATCCCCACCGTCCAAATTAGAACCTTATGAAACCTCTAGGAATAAAGCCATGCAGTGGAGCTTTATTTCTGTTTTATATTTTATACATTTGTGTCTGCATGTATAATTGGAGAACATTGGCAATTAATCCTAACCTGTGTTGATGTTTACATAGAAATAAAAGCCTGTGGTTGAATGTGGCCCAGAGCGATATGGTTATGAAATAAAATCTACAATTAATTCATACCAAACCAGGTAAAAACTTCCACCCTTTAGTTTTATAAAAACTTTCTAAATGACAGAAATGACTTTATTCTTCTGGAATGTTCCCTGAAATCAAAGTGAAAATAAATCCAAGCTGTAAAACATGATTGTAAAACAAGTCGGCGGACCCCGCTGCTCTAAATATTTCAAATATAACCTTCACAATCTTTGCAGATAGTGGTTTTACATAATTTACAACTTTATGGGTTTTGAAAATACAGTTTAGAACAAAAGGTAGTGAAGTCCATCTGAACTATGGGAATCCCATAGGGGAAAAAATAATCTGGATTTTTCAAAAAATGTAATGTTCTTAAAAAAGCAAATTCGATTAATCAATTAAGTCGATTTATAATGCAGCCCAAGAACTAGCAACAAAACTAGTATGAGTGTCATGCCATCATATTACAGTATCAGAAACGACTATTTGAACAACCTCTGTGGGCAACTGCTACTATAAACCTCAGGGTCTGTAGCAGCTTGTGATGTTGGGCTTAGAAAAATCGTGTTACCAACCGTTCTGTAGCAGCACATAGTAGGAACCGTCTTTAATTTGGTGGAGAAGATGATCATTAGCAGCAAAGGAGTCAATGATCACAGTGGAACCGATCTGAGCTCCAGTCTTTCCAGAGAGCAATATCAGCTGAGTCTGCAGATTAGACAATAAACCTGATAGATTCAGACTTTTTCATTGAGAAATATCACCATGCAGCAGGTGGAGCGTTAAACGCAGCGGCTGCGGTTTTACCTGCGTGTCGTCTGACGCCACCAGCACCACGTCGCTGACATCATCCCCATCCAGATCTGGGACGCTGAGGACAGGAAGGGAGCTCAAGAGGCCAGTAGGCTGAAGCTGCTGCCAGATCACATTACCTGACAACAGAAACATCAGCCAGCAAATAAATGTTTAGTCAAAAAAAAAAAAAAACTTCTAAATTTATAAATGATGTGTGATCAACGACTCCTAAACCTGTAGACACAAATCTGACCTCAGAACTTTTGCTAAATCACCTCAAAGCTGAAGTCTGCAACCTTTAAAATCCAAAGAGCCATTTTTCTCCTGCTAAGTAAAAGTTATTTTAGAATAGCAAATATAATATGTCCTTTTAGTAAAACATAACTTGTTATATTTGTTAAATATCTGCTCTAAAAATTTATTTAAAGAAATGCACATAAAAGAAAAACATTAAATGTTTATAAAGATGATGCAATTCTAATAACATACTTTTGGTTATTTTAGTGTGATTCTTTTGTGATAATTCAATCAAATATTCCTTTAAAAAGCCACAAAATATTCTAAGACTGGTACTTTCTATTTTCCCTTTTTTTTATATAATTTTTTTTATATATTATGAAGCCAGGGCAGAGGTTCCAAAGAGCCACATTTCTCAACAAAAAACAAAAACTTGCCTAAAAGTGCATAATAGTTGCCTATTATCCATCCGATCCATAGACAAGATAGCTTTAAAAGTCAATAATATAATGAAATCATAAAGTGAAACATCTAAATTTTGATTTATTAGTAAAATCATTCTGCCGTGATACTAATTTAAAGTTTAGCTGCTACAGGAGCAGGTCTCAGACTGAACGCTAATCCGAAGAAAGGAAGAATGAAATATAGGCACAGATCACACTTGACATCATTTCAATACTTTCTAATATCCTGCTGCCCTATTAATAGCTCGCTAAATTGCACAGGAGGGTTGATGAAACTTTTATTGCATCATATGTTTGTTCTCTACATAAAACTGCCTCAGATTTATAAACTTGGAACGATATGAAACAATAACATCATGCAATGATAACGTTTCAGTCCCATTCATGGTTCAATCAGCGCTCCTTGTGGATATAATATAATCTACCCTGGAACCAACATGCGGAAGCATCATCCTTAATCAAACTTAATTATACACTGGAGTGCAAGGCATCATGGTGCATGGGTTCATTAAAGAGTCGAATGTTTACTACATCCGTTAGAACAACGGTCACTTCTGGCTAAATTAATGAGATATTTTATCAAGAAATAAAATAAATAGTTCATCAGGAAAATAAGTCCTCTTTAATGAGGCTTAGTGAGAAATTTACTTTTTTTTCAAAAATCCACAACTTTTAGTTCACAGGGAATATGAAAATACTTCTAGAGATTTTGTTATATCATCAAAGTAATTTCTGAGCTTTTTATGGTGAAGATTTACTCCACCGATCCAACTTTTTTTTCTCCTTTCTTTCATCAACACTGGCCCTAATGTTTGTAGGACTTAAAGGTATAGTGGAGGATTTTATCTTTCCAGGTGGATCATCAAAATAAGTGGTCCTCCTAATTGTCAATCGTTCTGGTGATACGTTTACGTAAGGCCGTCCTACATACTCGTCCCCAGTTAGCATCTTTTTGTGCGCATGTGTGAGCTACGGTTTCAGGCTGTCATTAAAGCTCATCTTTCTCACCTCGGTTCTTTGAAAGTGGCAGCGGGACGTAAGAGAAAATGTTTCTGAGAAGTGATCAAGAAAAGAGAAAGGCCTCAGAAGAGAGAAACAAATACAGAATGTTTTTGGGAGATTCTTTCACAAGATGGCGAACACTGAAAGCGGCTACTCGACAGGTAAAGTTTGTTATGCTATTTGGAGAACTCCATTTCAAATCACTGCTAGTAAAACGAGGATAAATGGGCTCTCAGACGCAATTAATAGGCATTCCCACTCGGGAGCGGGTACAGGGTTGTGAATGTGCATTTTTTTCTTTAAGAATTTTTTAAAAATGCACGAAAATCCTCCACAATACCTTTAAAAACAATGAGTTTTTATCAACTCATCTGTTCCTAGGTTGATTCTTTAGAGAACAAAAAAAGGACGAATGTAAAATTGTTACAGCTGAAAGGACAGGTGGTGATGAGCTCGAACTGACATCACATACATGTGATAAAACATGTTTTCACTCTCACATCATGACTATGCACATATATGTAGAAGAGGGAATCTGCAGAGTTTCGGGGTGGTGGAGGGGGGATCTTTATAGAAATGGTTGGAAAGAAGAACAATCATTCAAGGGGGAAAAAAAATAGATTTTTTTTTTTTTTTGCACCTTTCTGATAAAGTAAAACCTGCACTAACCAGTGTTTTTGTCTATAGCTGTCAGGGTGTCTGAATGGGACAACAGACAATGCCAGGTCTGTGTTTGCAGGCCACACTGGGCCCAGTGGAACCCAGCATTCAGCGGCTTCTCCCACAGCGTCTGTCCTTTTGTGCCGTCCAGCGCCACCATGAACAGACACGGCGAAGGCAAGCCTGGAAAAAAAAAAAAAAACACCCCAAAGTGATGAACAATCTGCCTTAATTTTGCTCGACATTAAATGTTAACAGAACGTAGTATCACCTGAATCAACACATGTTTTGTTTGGAGAAATTTCTGCGCTTTTCAGGACAAAAAGGACATCCATCACCTTGTCGCTGTTTGCATTGTCAATAGCAAGGAAGTCGTATGTTGCTGTGGGAGAGGATACAAGAGATACCGTTAGTCACTGAGTAGGAGATCCTTCTATGTGCTTCAAATAACAGAAATCACCTGCTTCAGAGAAATTTCTGCTCCAGGAAATATTATACTGGGGTCTTTCAGGGCAGGGGATGATGAAGGAGAAGGCAAACACTACGGTGAGGCAGAGGAAGAGCGAGAGGAAGAAGACCCCTGTTCTACAGTGGGTCATTTTAGAAAAACCCAAGACTTCTTTGCAACTCTTCTTCTTGAGTTCTGCTTCTGACGGTGCTGTGATCGTTCCTGCCTCCTCTTCTGTCGACTTCAGAGGGGAACCCTCAGTGATTTGGTCTGTGGTCTCCATTACTGTCCTCACAGCATTCTAGGATAACATTGATTACAAATGAACAGAACTTTCAAATATGCAAAATACCCCTGCAGAAATATTCAGACCCCCTAAAACTATTTCATAGATCGCAAGAAGGTGCTTTGTCTTTCTTTATTTATTTAAAAAGGATAGTGTATATTCATGAACATCTTAATGTAAATATGCCAGAAAAAGCCCAAAGGCTATTTTAAATCTGTAGTCCCTGGCAAGTTTATAAGAAAAAAGCAATAAATTACCAAACAATAATATACTAAAAAGAAAACATCAATCATGGGTCGGGTGATTAAAAAAAAAAGATACATTAAATTCTGCGAAAAAAAATTAATAAAATCTGTATGTTCTGAAATATTTATAATAAATACACCAACTTTGATAAACCTTCCTTACAAAGAAGCACGGTGGTGGCAGAACCAAGCTGTGGGATACCTTTCCTAAGCTTAAGATTGAGAAGCTAATCAGGGGATACGGGAAGATGGATATAGATCCAGGACAATCCTGACAAAAAAAACCTGTTGGAGTCAAAGAAGACTGCAGTAGTTTCACCTTAAAGCAGGAACATCACGGTTTAGATCCGTGTAAGCATATCCATGTGTTAAAATGGCCTAGTCAAAGTCCACATCTAAATCTAACTAAGAACTTTTGGTCGAAAACTGAAAATGTATGTTTGTGTGTTTGGCTGATGAATCAGATTGGGTTATTTTTTTTTTTTAGATAAAAAATAAAATATTTTCCTTTCAGTAAAAAATCTAATGCATGCCACCTACTGTTGTAAAAAAAAAAAGAAAAAGAAAAAAAAAAACGAAGAAAGGAAGTTTATTTGCAATGTACAACTCTGCACAGCTTAGTGGCAATCCAGCCCATTAAATCACAATGAATTAATTCAAATATCATTGTTTTAATAAGAGAAAAACAGGAAAATGATGGAGAGCTGTGAATATTTAGGGGGCCAGTCCAACTCTTTCTGCTGCATCAACCTTTGTGGATCTGAACCTATTCAGACGTGCCAGGTCTGGCTCCATACCAGAAACCTCTCTGCTCAAAAACAACCATAGAAACTGTCATCCTGAGCCAGAACAACACACCCAGATCACTCTGTGGCCCCAGGTTATTTACTCCCTCCTAAAAAAGGGAAATATGTACGAGAAAGCATATAGTAATCTCTTCCTGGACGGAAACAAATCCAAATTTCTTTAAATTCACAAAAACATGTAGTATATTTGCTAAAGACATCCATGTTGGCGAGAAAACAAAAAGTCTAAAATCAGGTAAAGGTAATTGGCTAACACAGATTGTTTAGCAAATGCTAATTCGGCAGAACAGTCTCCACAAACACTCAATAATTAAGCTAAAAGAATAAGAGTTGTAAATGCAATAAGATTTGTTTCTTACGTCAACTTTTTACCGAGGTTTCCTTCTTCGGTCACTAGTGTGACTCGACAGTAAAAACCCAGAAGAGCAAAACTTGATCTGAACAAACTGTAAGAGAAAAGCAGAGCGAGCAGGGTCACTTTTACCCTTAGATTGTCTGATAGGTAACACTTTAGGAAATATTTATACAGTGTGTATACAGTCTGTTAATATAAGTATTACCAGTAAGTAAGGATAAGGGCTGTATTCTAGTCTGATCCAATATAAAAAAAATATGTATTTTTAAGTCCCACTAACGAATGCTTGTGAAAGGTTTCATCCTGACAGCCTAAATTCAGGATTAAAAATATTCTTACGTGCTTGGTCTTTAGAGCTTTATGATTGGTCAATTTTAGATCCGTAGTGCCATCAGAATTCTTGCGTCATTTCCTCAATTTTGAGCGGAAGCTAGCCAGTTCACGACATAGAGAAAAGCAGCCAGCGGGGATGGTTAGATTGTTTGAAAAAAGCTATTAATATTGTAAACAAGTTAAATAACTGTTTCACTGTTTTGACTGTCGACGGATTCACCTTAGACCATGTCCGCCCAGGCTCAAATGAGAGCTCTGCTCGACCAGCTGATGGGAACAGCGAGGGATGGTGAGTAGCTGTGAAAAGCTAAACGAGCTAGCCAAGATGGAGGCTTTGCTAAAGGCTGGCTTGTGTTGGCGAGTGATGGACAGACCTGCATGAATGGATGTACCACAGAGGGCTGCTCAATTACAGAGTAAAACTAAATTCAGGCCTTTGATTTATACCAAACTGATCCTTTTACGCGTTCTCCCGCTGTTTTTAGATCACATTTACATACATTGAGGAATTTTAGCTTACGTAGCATGATGGCTAAGTTCGCTTTTGCTCATATACTGTTTACTGTGAAGTCTGGGAACCTTCAGGCGCCATACTGCCAAGCGCTGGAACGTATCCAAGTCGGGATTATTGTTAAATTAACTAATTAGACCTTAATTATCGAATTTATCTCGGCCTTTTTACCCGCGTTGACATTAACGCGGGTAATAATTAACTAATTATACTCGTGTACATTGTATAGCTTTTTGGGCAGTAAAGTTTTCACTTATGTTCTTAGTTAATCAAACTTACAGCCTGGTTTAAATCTTGCAGTTCTTTTTTAACAGTTTCTTAACAATTCGTTTAGTATATCGAATTTGGAGAATTGACTTTGCTTTTACATAATTTGGTTGTTTACAGTGCCTTGCAAAAGTTTTAACACTTTACGATCTGACATAGCTCTACATTTTTTACATTACAGCTAGAAAAATCAGAATATTTCATTGAAATAGAAGAGGAACACAAACGGTGCATAGTGTTAAAAAAAATATATTTTTTTAAATCAGAAAAGTGATTAATTCATTTGTTCTCTGCCTGTCTTTAAAGATTCTCTTAATATGGTCAATTGGAACCAGTTTGCTTTAGGTTTCAATAAATAGGGAAAATCATCTGCTGCTTTGAAATTTAATTGAAATTTGACTGCAGTTGATGTATTTCAAAGCCTTAGTTTTGTTAGAAAGCATCATGTGATTCTACAAAGTATTCTCAATATTCGGTCCTCTATCAGACCTTTGTTAATACAGCCATTAAAAAAAAGTGTGTCACAGTTGTGATAACTGCTATCAACCAAATGAGTAAGGCCAAGGAGTGGAAAATAATCCAACTATTTGGTTCATGTGGGATGTGCGGCGATTGGGGTATGATCTGATCAAACATAGTGGAGGCAGCGTCATGCTGAGGGGTGCTTTTCTTTGGGGCAGCTGGTCAGAGTTCATAGAAGATGAAGGGAGCCAAATCCAGGACCAGCCTTGATGAAAACTTGTTAGAAGCTGGAAAGACTGGAGACTCCAAGACTGGATGATTTTTATATCAAAGCAGATTTGTGGATTGAAACTTTTAGCTGCAATAAAAAATAAAACTATCATGCTTTTGAAGGGCATTGTCTATAAACTATTTTTTCAAAGAGAATTCTCCATTTTCATCATATTCAGCTAAAAATAAAAAAGCCTGAGCATCTAGTTGGAAGTGCTCTGCTTTTATCTTCAGCCCCACTACCGAACATCTACTTAAATTTTTTTGCAGCCAATTTTTCATTTTATAAAGACAACTATTGTCAAAAGTAATTTGAGCAGAACTGTGGATCATCTGTGAAGAGCTGATAGTTCCATCTGTTCAGTAAGAGTGGGGTTGTGTTGTGAGCTTGTGGGTGTATGTGTGATTAGATTGATATCAAATTCTTCCCATACATGTGTTGCATACAAACTGAACAATTGTGGCCCCTTTATTTTATTCATTAAGGTTCAGTGTATCATTGCCAGCCTACATCAATCTGCAAGGGAGTTGCAGAAAAGCCTCATGTTCATCGAGCCGTGAGTCACACATAATTTTTAAAGCTGTCATGATTAATATCCAAACCATTTCTTTGCATTCCGGATATATTTTTATTTTAGAATTAATTTTTTTCAATTAAATCGTATCACTAAACAAGTAGATTTTTTTCTCTCATTTTAGTAGCATAATAATGCATACATATATTTATTCAGTGGCACTACAGTTACCAATAGTGTTACACTTCTTGAGCTAACTCGTCTAGTTGCGTTTTTGTCCATACGAACAATTCTCCTTTGACTACGACTATTAAAAGCCGTTACACGGCAGTTTTTTAGAAAGCACGTTTTTAGCAGTCCACTCAAAAAAAAAACTTTGCAAACTTATTTACAATTTGACTTGTGTATGACTCCCAACTTCTTACTACAGGTATGGGCAAGAAAACTGTTCCCATTTATACTTTTCTACAGCGGGTTTAAAATTCTGCAGCTGAGATGTTGAAGATGCAGAGGGGTACAGTATGTGGTGCTGATCGCAGTGTGTATAACCACGTTTCTTTCCCTTGGATTATTTTTGTTTTTTGTTTTGAATTTATTTAATATTTTTAGATAAATGAAAGGCTTGGCTGGAGAATTTTTAAGAAAGTGTTTTGTTTTTTTTCTAAATTAATAATTTTTTTTGTATAGTAACTTTTTTATTTAAACTAAAATTCAGGAAAGTAAGGAAACTATATGATTTATCCCATTATTTAGAAGCAAATGTCTTTGCACGGCTACCACCAGCGTTTTGTGTGATCACAGTGCAGCGTTGCCCTCCTTAACATGTTAATCTAGATTGAAGCTTTTACACTTCCATGTTTTGGGGGGCTTTGGTAAGGTAAGAACCAAAGATAGCAGCCTCTAATCCGTTCATGAACAGCTATATTTATTATTAGTTAAAACAGGATTATCCTAGAAGTTGCTGTACCAGAATAATTACCCCTTCATGGGATACTTAAGGACATTTCTCATAAATAAGAACAAGAGGGACATGAATCTATTAAGTTTAGGTATGAGCAGCTATATTTGCCAAATATGCTGTCACAGTACTCTGACGTAAAGTTCTGGATGCCTCGCTCCTTCAGTAGAGTATGTGAGGTTTTTTCTCACTTTTGTTTTCTTGATCCGTTTCAGGTGATGAGACGCGGCAGAGGGTCAAGTTCACCGATGATCGAGTCTGCAAAAGTCATCTTCTCAACTGCTGTCCGCATGATATCCTGTCTGGAACCGTAAGTGACCTACACAGCTGTGTGTCGTAATGGTTGTCAGACCTCTGAATGTTATCAAAGGTTTTTATGCTTTATGTGATGACCGACATGATTCAGGGCATCATTTAGAAGTAGAGGGAAAAACGGTAGATAAAATAACATTCTGAAAAGTGTGGCAGTTTTATGATTAGTCACCCAGGTTCAGTATTTCACTTTTTTTCACCCATTTAGCTGCAGTGACAGCTGTAAGCTTAATAGTGTTAGAATGAAAACGGACTATTAAGGTTCCAAGTCCTACCTCCTATTTGATATGTCTGCTCTTTGACTGGGCCAGTCTAACCCGTGATCTAAACCATTCTCTGAACTTCTGCCTGTATGTTTTGGGTGGTTGTCGAACTGGACTTAGATCCTCCATCCCAGTCACCAGCTTTCTGCAGCCTTTTACTGGTTTCCTCCATAATTGTCTTGGATTTAGCTCCATCCACACTTCCCATCAACTATGGCCATCGTCCCTCACTATAATACTAACGCCACCATGTTTTACACCCCACTTGTAACCCTCTAAACCTGGGATAATGATGGAGAAGTTAACCATGCTGTGAACTTTTCCCTTAGTATTCTCCCTTACCTCTCTGCCAGCTTCCTTGGTCTACATGATGCTGCTTGAACCACTGAGACCAAAAGCAGGACAGCTGAAGTTTAAAGTCTTTTGGTTGCAGTTAACTTTATAGATGTCATAATAAAAGCCTTAAAAATAGATCCATGCCACACTTTTCACTTTTTTAATTGGTATTTTATCCCAAAAGGAAGTTAAATGTTTATATTTATAACCTGAACTAATGGTTGTAGATGTTAATGTCTATAGGCAGGAAAGATTTCTCTGTAGTGGCCTTTTTTTCTCCAGTGGATCTAGAGAAGCTCTTGACTGAAGGCTTTCTGATTTTCCCTAACAAGTGTTTCAGGCTTTCAGCGAAGAGCTGCATTCAATTAAACACACTAATTAGGTGACTGCTACTGGGAATCGGATTGTAAAATTGCACACCTTTCCACATTAAAACGAGGAACTTCTTTGTCTTTATCATATAAAGTCTCAACGAAAACATTCTGGACAAAAAAGGGTCAATTTAACTGAATATAAATGAAAACTGGCCTCAAACTTTTGCTACATGTTCAGTTACATAAATTGGTCAGTTTGATTTTAATAGTCCTGAATGATGTTTGTTTGTGTGATAGCGTATGGACCTGGGAGAATGCACAAAGATCCATGACCTGGCACTCAGGGCAGATTATGAAATAGCCTCCAAGGAGAGAGATCTGTTCTTTGAACTTGATGTAAGTAAAGATCTCAACTCTTTACCCATTTTAAAGGAGTAACTAGCCTTAACTTGTTTAAAAAAAAAATTCTTTCCGCTAAATGTTTTGTGTTTTACCCCTAAAGGCCGTGGATCACTTGGAGACCTTCATTGCCGACTGCGACCGACGGACAGAGTTGGCGAAGAAGCGGCTGGCTGAGACTCAGGAAGAGATCAGTGCAGAGGTTGCAGCGAAGGTAAAACACACACCAACTAGAACATTAGTTATCCCTCTGATTGTGTGTTGGCCCTAAACTGTATGGATGCCTTTCAGGCGGAGAAAGTCCATGAGCTGAATGAGGAGATCGGGAAGCTTCTGGCCAAGGCTGAGCAGCTCGGAGCGGAGGGGAATGTGGACGAGGCTCAGAAGGTTCTGCAGGAAGTGGAGAAAGTTCGAACCAGGAAAAAGGATGCAGAGGTGAGCAGGGAGAACTGGTGTTTTCTGTGGGGATCTTGTTCTTAATGTAAATGATAATGTTGTGGGTTTTAATCCATCTCGTTTTTGTCCTGCAGGAAGAATATAGAAACTCCATGCCAGCCTCCAGCTTTCAGCAACAGAAACTTCGTGTTTGTGAGGTTTGCTCCGCCTACTTGGGTCTCCATGACAACGACCGCCGCTTGGCTGACCATTTTGGTGGGAAGCTTCACCTGGGCTTCATCCAAATCCGAGAGAAACTGGACCAGCTAAAGGTAGGCATCAAACTGCCGCAGCTTGTGCTACTTCTCGCTGCTAATGAAAAGCTTACTGGGTGAGTTTGTAGGAAATTATTTCTAACTTCCAATGTTTCCTTTGTAACAGAAAACAGTGGTTGAGAAGCAAGAGAAAAGGAACCAGGAGCGCCTAAAGAGGAGAGAGGAGAGAGAAAAGGAGGAAAGGATGCGAAAAAGGTAAATTGACACATCTAGTTTTGTGGTGATCGTTCCAAGTGTGGAATTAAGCATGATTGTTTTTTTTCATTCAACAATTCATTGTTTATTTCCCAGGACCAGGTCCCGCAGCAGAGAGCATAGAAGGTCAGCAATTAAACTCATCTGTCTTTATCATTTTTTTTTTTTAGCATATTCTTAAACAGTTTTTGAATAACTTTATCTTAATGAATATAAGAATTCAAAAATATTTCATTGTGTCTCTTTAAACCAGGTCCCGTTCACGTGACCGCAGGAGGAGGCGCTCCCGCTCCTCGTCGCGGGACCGGCGCCGTTCCCGCTCTCGCTCCAAGGACAGAAAGAGGCGGCATCGCAGCAGATCCCGGTCCCGCAGCAGAGGGCATCGTCACAGCCATGAGCAGAGCTCCAGACATAAGTGAGTACAAAACACACACAGCTGAGGTGTCCCTGCATCTGGACAGACGGAGAGCTCAGAAAGGCTTTTTCTCTTCATCTCCATCAGTCACTTTTATCATCTCATCAAACCAGATATTTACATACAGAATAAAACAACCTTATTCAAAACTAGAAGTGATTAGGATCAGTTGGTGTTACATAGATTTTTTTTTTTCTCTGAGGCCGATGATTCTGTTAGATTCTGATGCGCAATGCTTGAGGGAAAAGTAGATTGGTTAAAACTACGCCATTTTTCCCTCGTAGGTCATCCAGGGACCGCGAGCGCTCGTCTCGAGATCGTTCTCGAGACAAGAGGGACAGCATGAACGGCAGGTCGGACTCCCGTCGAGGGGAAGACAGGGACACAGGGGACTTCTGAAGACCAAACAGCATCTGCTATGACACACAGCCTCCTCCTCCCGTCTCTCACCTCTTGCTCCCTTATGTTTTTTTGTTTTTGTTAAACATAGTAGTTGCCTTTTTTCACCGTCTTCATACCTTTGCTTTGTTTGGTAATGCAGTCCATGCTCACAACTAAGCTGTGGTATGAAATCACTTTTCTAGCACTGTTTCAAATTTTCTGGATTTGGGAGACGGTTGATCTGTTCTTATTTGAAGGCTGTATTTGTATTAAAATAAGTCAACAAAAAAAGAGAAATTAAAACACAGTCCAGGCTGCGAATCCTGCAATCATAACAGCCAACTGATTTTACTCCTCTAATGATATATTTTTTTTTTATGTTTCTTTTAAATAAAGGTCTGTAAATATGCGTTAGTCTAAAAAGGCCCGTCCTATCTGGTTTTCTGTCCCTCTGAGGCGTTCTTTCTGCTGTGTCGTGGTAACATGCTTCTCTTGAATGTCTGTCCTGATTTATTACGTTTCTAATTCAGACCCCAAACGGATTTTAAAGTTGTAGTATTGGGGGAAAAAAAAATATTTTATGACCTCTAAAGTAAAAACTTGTGAGTTTTGCCCATTATTGGTTAAGAATTTTTTTTTTTTTATTAGTTCTGGTGATGAATATCCTCTCTGCAAGTTTCACCTTCTCCCTTCCTTTAATTAAACGGTCTGTAGTGTCGACATGTGAAGGATCAGATGCAGCAGTGGCCTACTGGGAATTAGAACCGAACCAGTAAACCGTAATGACTGGCCCACTACATTTATCTAGAATCACATTAACTAGATTTTAATGGATGCACTGCTCCCCAAATGTGTTCAGTCGAGTTGGACTGAAATTTTTCTTTAAAGTTACAATAAAAGAAAACATTTAAAGTTGTCTCTTTTTTGTGTCATTAGAACATGCATGTCGGATCAAATAAAAACAAAAGCACATCCTTAAATATTTATTTGCACAACACAGAAAATATAATATTGCATAATAACCATTGAATGCTCCTAACCGATAAAAATGATAATCAGTTTATCTCTTCTAACCAGCTGAATAAAATAAACTCAACAGTTGAAGAATATAATCCTCCTGAGCCTTTTCACAGTGTGCTGCTCTCCAGCTCCAGATCAACCTTCATCTTCTGCTTCTCCATGACTGCTTCCAGTTCTGTGGCCCTCCTGGCATCCTGGAAGGAGGAACAGACGAGATTTTAATAACACTTTGTAAACGAGTCTAGACCAGCATGGGCTAGTTGGCACCAAAGGAGACAAGGGATTTAAGTCTTCATAAGCAGGGAGACATTTATTCTGCTCTATTGATTAAAAAGTTAATTTAATGAGACATTTAAAGGGAGTCATCTTAGGTTTATGCTGTCATCTCAACTTGTTGCTGAACGAGGGTTATTTTTACTGAAGAGAAAAATATTTTTTTATTTGTATTCTAACACTAGAAACAGCATGTCCATTGTGATTCTATGGAATTTAAGGGATCAGATCGTCTATTTGAGGATAAAAATAAAGTTGAAATTAGAACTATTTCTGATTCAAGTGCATAAAAGATAGATGTTTTATTTAAAATATGCAGGGTTTTCACTTTTTGCATATTTCTGTTGAAATTTTTACCATTTAAGCTCATTGTTCCAGTTGAATAACTAGACACTTGTTTGTTCAAAAATCAAATCTTGATGTCATCTTTTTTTTTTTTACTCATTTGATGGTTCTTTTTTTTTTTTTTACAGTGTCCTTTCTGGCAATGCGGCAATAAGAATAATTGTCTTGATGCCAAAAAGAGCCTAACAGGTTTTACTTTCACAAGTGGAGCAGTATGGCAATTGCCATAGTGTTCCGCTTGTTTCATGCATATAAATTGCTTTATTATAATTATGCAGGGAGTTTTACAGTTTATATGGACACTGCAATGTAAATAGAGCAGAAAAACAGAAGAAGAAAAAGGAAAAAAAAAAGATGAAAGAAAGAGGAGATAGAAAGGAGACAATGACAAAACATTTTCAGTCTGCTTCATCACCTGCAACGAGATGTAAAAAGAACAGCACAACCGAAAGACATGGTACGAGACATACAATAAAGCAACACCTTCAAACTATCGCTAAAGTAGTATTAAGTCTGACATGTACTCTGTGTTACCTGAAGATATGAATGTGGGCTTTCTGTATGGAAGTGAATCTCTTGATGGTTCTTAAACTGCACTGCTATTTGTGGATTCTACAATTTGGCCAAACCGATTCAATTAAGTCCTAAGCTTTTATTGATGAAAGTTTGATGCCTTAAAATATAAAGCTGTTTCGGACGCCTCATTCAGCCTCATGTTATGGCTTGTGCGGGTAAAAAAAAATTATTTTATACTTAGTTATATTTAAGCAGTTAAAAACTGAAGGGCATTATCTGTTAATTGAGCTTGGTCAAATCTTAAGTTGAATTAGTGTATATAGTGGGAAACAAATATTTTTACTCAGGGTCCGTATTACATGAAAATAAATCCTTATCTATTTGGGAACAATAATGATTTCTGTGGTAAGATAATCTGACACACTTGAAAAACTAAATACAGCAGTTACTAAGTCTAAAGTCATCAAATAAAGAAAGCAATGATTTACCTCCAGCTGTGCTTTCTGCACAGCGAGCTGACTGTAGACTCTGACCCCCTCATCTGGAAGCACAGCTCTCAGCTCCTCCTTATTGAGTGAAAAGAGCTGAGCTCCTGTCAGCACGCTCAAACATTGAACCGTCCTGCAACGACGACAGCACAGGTGAGACCCACAGGTTGCTTATGAAGGTATGAAAATGTGCATTGATTGGGCATCACTCACGGCTCACTGAAGCCTTTTCTCCTGAGCCACTCAGTCACCTCCTCTGGAGGAGAGTGGTAGTCCAGAGGAACTGAGGTCTCTGCAGCTCGATGGATGACCAGGGGTTTGTTCAGGTTGGTCTTACCATTTGTCAGCCTCTGGAGCAGCTCATCATTCACCAACATGACTTCATGTGGAAATAGATAGAAATAATAATTAATCAACATAATCCTGATTGGAAATCAGATTTTCATCACAGATAGTACCAGTAGAAAAGGAAAAAAGTTATATATTTATATGTATTTATATATTTTTATATATATAAATAGGCTCCTTCTGAGAAAGTAGCTTAAAATCTGGTGTGATTTTCTGTTATTTTTGTAATAAGTTACTTATAGCCTACAGGAAATCTGTCAAGCCATTTAAATATTAAAGGTTGGAAAAAAGACAACTAATCTCCATACGTATCAAATTTTTATATGTGGGTTCAGTATATATATGGGTTCAGGCCATACTATAGGCCAGCTCTGTCACAAACTTTGTATTTTTAGGATGAACAGTAGAATATCCTACTAACAAAGCAGGCTTAGCTCATTGTTTTGTTATATATTTGAACATAAATGTCTCTAAAATAAAGGCATTTTCAAGTGCGGAAGGATTTATTAAATATGTTACAAGGGAGATCTCACCTTTATCAGTTTCATCTGCAACTGGCACATGTTGGCTGCCTGTTGGGGAGGTGCGAGGGCGCTGAGGAGAGTGGGAGGGAGTGGAGAGCAGAGCAGGGGGGCTCGGTGGGACTGGGGTGATGGATTTGTTGAGGGGGGGCGGTGCCGGAGCCTGCAGCAAAGATAGGAAAAGTTTCACAATAGTTTAACTCATCTTGAATTCCACCTGTGTGATTGCATCATTAGTTCTTGTGGGATTCTTACACTGGGAGGTTTATTGGTTACGGGGTTGTCTGTGTGATCCACTGGTTCCAGGATGTTGAAGGGCACAAAGCCCACCTCGCCGTACCGATTACGACACTTCCACCAGCGTTTCGACGATTCCAGCACCTGTTAAATCAAACAATAATCAGAAAACCATGGAATAGATACCACCTACATCAGCCCTGGTGTAAACCCTGAAATACATGTCTTATTGCAGTATGTCACGCTAACATTTAGAAAAAAATCCAGACTTTAAATTTACTACGTTTATCTATTTTTTTATTTTCTTTTGAAGGGTCACAAGAATATATGTAGGACGATACAAGGGGCGTCCAATAAGTAATGCCCACTGACCCACTTCAGGTTTATTGATCTAGCTGAAATTTTGCATGTGCAATTATTTATATCTCTATAGTTTATGTGGCAAATTACAGCTGGAAAGGGTTTTGGTTTCTGATTTATAGGTTTTTGAACTGAGTCAAGTCTGAAATGGAGACTGTTGAGTGTAGAGCAGTAATCCGGTTTTTGGATGGCCTTGTAAGGCCTTGTATGGCGTCATATGGCCTTGTAAGGCCATATGATGGGGCATCATCACCATATGTTACTTTCATTTAATCAAAACTCTCCTATGGTGTGCGTCCTTTTAAATACTAAAACTGTGTGTTGTATATTCACCTCCAGGGTCTCTCCGTGCTGCACCGACAGCTCGGTGTTGTTCCTGGCGTTGAAGTCGTAACTGCACATGTAAATCCTTTGAGCCTCAGCCGAAGGACCTTCCCTAAAAACAGTAGAAATAGTTGTTCGTTTACATGCAGTCCCTGAATGAGAGCAGCATGATTATCATTGCATTAGAGATGGCTTACCCTTTGTTGTAGATGCTTTCTGGAGGACTGAGCTGCTGATGGGGCTGCTGATGCTGCTGCTGCTGCACACAAAAAAATAAAGGTAAAAATCTGTATCCTAAAAGTACTTTTATCTGAAATGTTCTCTGTATGTACATAAAAGGACCCTTGTGGGGATTTATGGTGGACCTTCAAAGGTACAAAAGGACTATTCAAGGCAAATGCTACAAAATTGTACCAGTAGGAGTGATTTTTTTAATCTGTCTGTTGGTTAGAAATGTTCTGTCTTCTATTCAGTTAAATGTTTAACTATATAAGATAAATGTTTGTCATGATCTTGGTGCTCATGACTGGCTTAATTATTCATTCAATTCACCTGTCCAACTCTTCCCAGTTTTTCGTTACTGCTCATCCGATCCACCTACTCTTGTCTCTATTTAAGCTGCTTGCATCCAGTCATCAGTGCCAGATAATTCTTGTTCTCTCTTGCCAGTGGTGATAGTGTTTTTAGTGTACCGTAGTGTTTCTGATTTGCTGGTCTGCCTCTCAACCACTGAGTCTGCCTGTTCCTGTTCTGATCATTGTGCCTGACCTGGATTTGGACTCCTGCTTGTTCTCTGGGCACGGAGTAAACTTGTAAACCAGGTTAGTGACTCATGTTCATAATCGTCCTCTGTTAGATTTACGTGGTCACTAACCTGTGTTCCCTTTCTGCAGAGTTTCCTTTGACAGATGCCCTAGAAACTGCCACTCTGATCCACCAGTTTTTAATAAAACCTTTTTAATTAATCCTACTGTTTTACCTGAATACTGGGTCATCTTTTCTGAGATGTTACAATGATCTAGATCAATGTATTAATGAAATACTCTAAGAATGGACAGGTTTCAATTTTAGTAATAATATTGTTTTAATCTGAATGAACTGATTGTAAATGAACACATTTTGATAAACAAATATTATTGTTTTCAATGTAAAGGTTTGTATTTTCTCCTAAATGTGCAAATTCCCATGTTGCTTCAGCTGTACCTCATTAGGTACTTCACTTTTACCTTTATAATGGGTCTATGGTTTGTACCTGTATAATAAAGGTTCATATTCTCATCGTAGGCACAGAAATGTTCTTTTAAAGGTAAAGACAATAAGGTTGAACATGGATCCAAGATTCATAGGTACAATTTCACACAGCTGAAGTGACAAAGCCTATGAGACAAGGAGGCTGGTCTGAGCTAATAGGAAGATGCATGAAGCTAAATTCAGGATAATCCTGAAGGGAAACCTGTTAGAGGCTGTGGAAGACCTGAGACTGGATCAGAAATCCCACCCCATAACATACAGCCAGAGACACCATGGGATGATTCGTGACAAAAAGGGTTTGGTCTTCGACGAAGTGCCAAAAACAAGATGATTCTTCTATGTGGACGTGACATTGCTCTGTGGGAGTTGCTCACAGGTTTCTTACTGCAGTAGTGTTTATTTTAATAGCTGTTAAATACCATAAGAAAACGTTCCACCCAGAAAATGACAAGAATGAGCTGCAAGGACAGCTCTGGGAGAAAAAATAAATCTCTCTGTTTTTGGGGCATATCAATAAGCTCTTGGAACAGAGCTCATTCATGTGAAAGAGTGGCCTAGTCAAAGTCCAGACCTATATCCAGAATGTATGACGAGGCGTAAGAAGGTCTGCTGCTCCATCAGATCTGGCTGATCCTGGATTGTTTGTTTTGTGTTTGTTATAAGAACACAGGGGTCAGCAAACCTTTCCTGACCTTAAAATCAGCTGTTTTAACCAGACTAAATTTGTGTAGAGGCACAAACGCAGCTTGAATCTTTAAAATAATACAGCTCATTTTTATTATACTTAACTAGGGTAAATGTGTTCTGATGTTTAAGGTAAGGAGAAAATTTAGTTGCAAATGAAATGAAAACAAATTTTTCGAACACCTAGTGCATGTTCTGCATCGAAATACCAAGAATAAAACAGCAAAAGCTTGCAATTTTGAGTCAGCTTTACATGTTAGGACATGCTCAGATCTCTAGCATTGTTGGCAAACGTTATATAGAGCTACAGTGGAAAATCCTGGTTTGATTTAGCAAGCATGGTTATTAATAATTGAAGCAGATCAGGGTCAGACTAACAGCCAGAGGGGCAAAGAAAGGCACAGTCCTTTTTTAGGACTTTTTATGATCCAAACCTTTTGTCGCTCATCTCTCCTGACACAGTGAAAACAAATGTGAGCTAAGCCTCACGCAGGTATTTGATACCTCTTGTTTTACTCGGTGGGCCTCATGTTTGTGCTGTGACTCGACAGGATCCTCCCAAACCTGCCCGTCCGCCCTCTCGGCTTCTGGCTTCCAGCCGTCCAGGAACACAGGAGTGTATGGAGCGACAGGTCCTCTGAGCTGAGAGCTGGAAGGAGAGGAGAAAAGCAAGATGTGTTTCAGCAGCTCAGATCATGCAGAGTTTATACAGCTTTGGACCAATCGTTATAATTTAGGTGTTGGAACACCTGGAATAGCATCCAAGGGGTAAAAAATGTGACAAGTTTACAGAAAATCTTTAATTAAAATTAGGAATTGAGCTATTAAAAAAAAACAAAAAAAAAACAATAATAATAAGAACTTCATATGATCTGTTGAATTCATCATAGATAAACCAGAGATGCTTTAGAGACCTGCTAAAAAAATTAAGCGTTAACAAGCTCTGGGTAAAACTAAAGTTTTGGTTGGACTAACTACAATATTTGATCAAGCCTGGGGACTTTTTGTCGCCACTGACCGATGGTTGGTCCAGTTGGGACCCAGTGCCGTCCACAGCTCCTTTTCCTCCCCGGTTAGAGTGTCTTGAAGCAGGGAAATAGCTGAGCTGGTCATAGCAGGGCTGGACACAGATGCTCCGAACGCCGGTCCCCCTGTTGTTTTTACCATCTATGTTCAACAAACAGACAGAATGTCAGAGCTTCTCATGCTGAAAATGAACACTTGATCTGATGAGGAAGTGATTAATAAGACCTCAATGCAGAGCCTGACTTAAAGCTAAAGGGGTGTAGGTATAGACAATCAGCATGTTTCCACTAACACGTGTCTGCCTTCACAAATTAAACCAACCTGCTCTTAAAAAGGGCCTCTAATCCCACATGTGATGTCAGATTTCTACTGGAGTAAAACTATATTATTGTGCTGATTTCAGATCAGTAGGATCAAACTTCCTACTAGAACCAACATAGGCGTCTCTCTTGGAACTGCCCGGTGTAAACAGTGTCGACCTGCTGGTTTCCAACAACACTGCAGATAACCAGTTTTTCCTTATTTAGACATGACACATAGGTTTTTATGTTTTTTTCCATCTGCATTTTTTCAAAGGACTTCAGTAGAAGGCAGACAGACTTCTCCTGCTTGTGGAAAATATTTTCCCTCTCATCTAAAAAGGCTTATGCAGTTAATTTTCTTTTTAATATTTATTGTCGTGATTTAATTTATTTTAATCCTTTTATATTTCATGTCTTTTTACTTTTCAACTTTCTTATTTTTGCGTATTATTAGATTTTGGAGAAACATGCGTTGTTTTCAATCTAATATGTTATAGTTCAAATGTCCATTAACATGTTTTAATGCAGGTTTATTAGGGATACAAGTTCTCTAATGTTCCAGAAAGTCTGGATAAATTGATCTGTAGTTCAGGATGCAAACATTTCCTCCTTACCTTACAAAAAAATAGCTCTTTTCTTATATTTAAACCAATCAGACGGAAAACGTGTAGAAAGAGGGGGGAGAACCTTGCAGCAAAGGTCACAAGGTCATGTAGAACTTGTCCTAATCCCTGTTATGGCCCCTATAATGAAGACAATCTTAAAAAATAGCCTAATGGTGATATGAGCTGAAACAGACATAGGTCCCATGGACCTATTTATTTTATTAGGAATTCTGTTTTAAATTCTAATTTCAAAATTAATGTGACTGCTTCAGTTGCATTGAGATAGGATCAAAGTTTTCATCTGCTAAAGTTTTTTTTAAAACTAAATAAAAAAAATAAATAATCAAATTAGCTACTGCTGTAACTATAAGTTTGAGTTAAGTTCTAATTAAACTGGTAATTCTCATTAAAATAAGTCCCCAGTATGTAATATTTCTGAATTATTAATGTACATTCACCTAATAATCCAAATAAAACTTTATTTAATCTTTTAGTAGGTAGTTCCAGTTACTTTTTTCCTATTGTAATGGATTTTTAATATTAGATAAGAACACTTAACATTTCTAGGCCAAATATGTTAGAACAACATACATTTTAAATTAAATTAAATTATGCAGAATTTACAGTTTATTTAGTGCTGAGCCACAGATAGCTCTTTGGTTCTGCAGCTATATAATATATTTTATATGACTGCTGTTTTTTGTTTCATGCTTTTCTGTTCTCCATATAAAATGCATGCTGGCCCCACCCTGGCCAATATTAAATATAGCCTAGAGCTGCCACTGTCTATGTATGAGACACCTGCTCTACCCCAAGAAAATTGTAAAGCAGCCCTAAAAACGTTAATATTGCAAATCAAAATGTCTTCAGTCTGTCTATAATCATTGTGGATTTAGATACTGCCCCTATTTTCACATGATCATCTTTTTTTACGTTGCTAATAATAACCTTATTTTGTTGATAGGGTAAACGATGGGATGTGCTGGGATAGTTTTCCAGTAAAAAACCTACCATATCAAGAGGTCTGAACACATGGTGTACCAGCTCCTCTGAGGAAGGGTTGGCAATAGTCGATTTCAGACGAGCCTTAAAATGAAAACAAAAACCAACCACAGGTTATTATTACAGCAGGAGGTTCACCAACAGGTTAAGAAAAGGCGAGTCGACTGAAACACGAACCAGGAGGCAGAAACAGTACTTAAACTTCTGGAAGATGTCGATGAATTCCTCCTCTGGTGGTGGGCGGGCCTTTTCCGTCAGTAAATCATCTATTTTTCAGCAAACAAATTAGTCATTCTATCTCAACCTGGGGGTGAGACTTTTATTTTTGTTAGAAAGATTAGGCTTGATTTTTTACCTTCAGCACTTTGCTTTTTGTTTTTCTTCTTCTTCTTCTTTCTCTGGTTCAGGACTGTTGATGCCTCTGCGGTCTGCTGCAGTTTCCCCATGAAGGTCTCAATGTCATCAAAACAGTGATTTAGGATCATCTGAGGGAGAGAATTTTTTTTTCTTTATCCTGTTTGATAAAAAAATGTCACTTCAAAGAGAAAGATATGAAAACTAGAACGTACCACTTCTCTCTCTGCGCGCAGGAAGGATAGGTCAGGCCCACCATTTATTCCATTCGCTGCTAAAAGCAGAATCAGAAGGTTCATTTTAAGCATTTCTTATTCCCAATCCTTTTTTTTAGATTTGTTCTGATAAAAGTATGCTTATTAACTCAAACACTCCTTAATAACTTCTTATTTCTTACCTCTTAGTCCAGGATAAGGTGGCGGGTTGACTGGAGGAGGGTTAGGAGCATATGGGAAGGGAGGGTTTGGAATACCATAGGCGTCATACATCTTCTCTTTGCTGGAAGGAGGCCTGCGGGAGACATGGGGACAAAGATTAACCACTTAAATTCATCGATGGGGTTAAAGGTGAAGTCAAAGCTGTTGTTTATCGTGATGCTGTCTCCAGAAACGCCCTGTCTGAAGAGCTTAAGAGCCAAATATGAAGTCAAAAACACAATTTTAATACAAATATATATAAATACATATATATTCATGAATTGGGAAGAACATTAGGACATATGTTTTGCATTTTAAGAATATTTAAGAGCCTCTGTTAGTTAAATCCAGGCCTTTTCTCACAGTGAAAGCTGACCTTTAAGAAGGATTAAGATAACTCAAGTCTATAGGAAGGAATTATCACCTAAGCTTCACACAATTAAATTGCCACAAACAAGTTTGACATAAAACATTTCTGCTAAAATCTTATATTAAAAAAAATCCAAAGCATCTTAACAAATGTGCCCCTATTTCCAGCGAGTTTTCATAAAAACCCAACATCCAGGCGTCTTACCGAGGTTATTTGTCCTTCAAGCGTCCCTAGAATAGAAACTTCTCATAGCAGGTGATCCACTCCAAAGCTGCTGTCATCAAACGCCTGTTCTTTCTGCTCTCTGCCACAATGGCCTCGCTCTCTCTGTCACACCTTCTTAAGTTATGCACAAACTGGTAAAACTAGTCTTTGTTTCTGTGTCAGCTGTTTACACTGTCCTACCTGTATTTCTCCCTCCCTTGCTTTCAACAGGTGGAAGGCTATAAAATTATGAATAGATTCCAGTGAGAGAGGAAGAAAATAAAAAGATTTCAGAGGAAATTAACCTCGGTTGTTGCTGTTTTCTTGTATCTATCATTACTTCAGCTCCATGTGTGAGAGAGTCCGTCCCTTCTGTCTATACAACAGCAGAAAGTAAAGCCTACTTTTTTGTAATGATATTCAAAAGCAGGACAGTAACATCACATTAGGGTTGTTTGCTTTTTCCAGGATTTTATTTTCAGAGCTTCTAAACCACACGTATATTGTACCTGTTGCCTTCAGGTGCGTTCTTGCTGCTCCTGGAGTTAGGCCTACCCGAAACTGCATTTTTAATGTCCTCACAGATTTCCGCTGCCTGTGAAAATAAACAGCATCACATTGTGAAACCTTAAAGTGTGACGAGCCAACCACAGGGGGAGCAGCTCATACCTGCATTGATTCACTGTTGAAGAAGTGAATATCCGGCTTCTTCTCGTTCGGATGCTTGCAGACCAGCAAGAATAGGGATGGGAAGTGTTTCTCCATGCTGATGGGGTCGCAGCGGTAGATATCTTTGAATGAATAGCGCTCCAGCTCATCCTGCACAAAAACTGGAGGTCATTATGAATTCAGAAAGTAGTTTTATTTCTTAGCTAAGCATGGATCAGGGCTGGTCTGAGGGTTACATTCATTTTCTATGTAGTCCTGAGAAGCCCTAATGCTAGACTATTTCATCCAAAACCTGCTCTGATGAGTCCTAAGGAACACATTCCTGTTTTAGCCCAATTGGTTTGAAGTATTATCTCTAGCTGTGGATTTGACATGAAGTAGAAGATTTTCCTCTGCCTTCATTTTTTTATTCACTTTGTGGAACAATAACACTACCCCACACCATGATGCTGCCACCACTGTGCTTCAGTGTTTTTAGGCTAAAAAACCCACACTGACTTCTCTAAAAACACTAAATCATTGTAGCCACATAGCCGTATTTTAGTCCAATATGAGAACCCCATGTAGGATGCGGCTAACAACATTTAGATTTAAAGAGATTTGTTTTTGGAGCAGGAGTTTCTTCGTTCGTTGGTATCCACTCAGGGTTGATGGTGCTAGTCTCATGTAACTTAAGGTTATTTATGTATTTATTTTTGTTTTTTTTTGTTTTTACGGCACTGGTGGCTCAGTTTTTTTTTTGACATTAGGCTGACAGGAAAGGGGGAAAGTTATGCGGCAAAGGACCACAGGTCAAATTCGAACCCGGGTCAGCCGCGTTGAGGACTAAGGCCGCTGTACATGGGTCGTGCGCTCACCACTGCGCCACCTGCACACCCACCTTGAAGTTATTTCTAACCAACATTGTTCTACGACAGGGAGGCAGTTTAGGTCAGAATGTTAACACTTGAATTGGATTCTATAGCGAGACAAAGGTCTGGAACAAACACCAAAACTGGTTTTGAAAATAATAGAGCAAACAAAAATGTACCCTCTGGAAATGCTCTCTCCAAACCTTAAGTTCTACTTCATTGATCATTCGCAGCCTCTGCTTAAAAGCAGATTCTTGATTAAGAAACCAAGACTTATTTCTAATTATACCCATTCTGATAAAATAAATGTTTAAGTATTCATCCAGAATTATGCTAGGAATATTGATCCCTGCAAAAACAGATAGAGGGACAATTCTCCAAGCAACTGTCTTCATCACTAACATTTGTAAACAATTGTAAAACATATTTGGATGATGGCTGATTATTAATGTTGAAAAGGCCTCAGGTGTTAAATTAGCAGTATCCCCTTATAAAAGCACCACATTTTGGTAGAATTGAAATATCCTTGAGGAACCCCTGGTTCCCATGCATAGGAAAAAAAAAACAAAACATAGACAAAGCATATTTTCTTAAAATAAGTGCATTCGTTCTTGGATTGAGGAGGTAAGAGAGAAATTTTGCCAATGGAACAAGACAATTTACACTTAAAAACACAATTGCATTGTCTTATTTCGAGTGCATATGATCTTATTTTAAGAGTAAAATAAATAAAATCTCATTTACCTACTCAAATTAAGGGTAAAAGCACTTAATTTAAGACATTTTTACTTATTTCTTTATCTTTTTTCCAGTGTGAAAAAATAAATAAAATCCAGAAAGCTGGAAAAAAAAAAGAAAGTCAGTTTTATATTGGCTCTTTAGCTACTATCAGTTAAGAAGAACCAGGTAGCACCTCAGTCTTTATGTCTCGGAGACAAATGGAGTCACTCCCGATGTCCATGAGCATCTTTTGACTCCACAACTTGTTATTCTCTGCCAGGAAGGAGAGACGCGCTTGTGCCTCCTCTACACCTTCAACATCCCCACCCTGGAGTGAGAATGTCAGGAGGTGCTGCAAAAAACAGAGAAAATGCACTAAATTAATGAGGACAAATCGTCATATCGCAGAGCATTGAATATCATACCGTACGCAGATGACACTCACGTCTACAAGATGCTTCATGGCACTTGTTATCTTCTTCCCTCTGTTAGCTGCTCTGAGGAAAAATAAATTTTTCTGTCAGTGTAAAAGTAAATCCCAGACCGAGTCACAGATTTGGTTGCTTTGTCTAACTATGATCGGGATCTTTTTTAGGCAGCTGTCTATCTCCCAACAGGCGGGCTATATTCAAATTAGCACTTCCCTGGTTTTCAGTCTGTTGTCCTGGCTTGTCTCCTCCTCAGTGACACAAGCTAATGATGTGAGTGTGAGCTGCCCAACCAGTCTGACCACACTGCAATCTCACCATTCTATCTTTCAGCTCCTCAGTCTACATGGTCCCCATGTAGGATTCACTACAACTTGTAGTACTGAGAGCACACAACCTTTCGCCTTACATCACTGGCATACAACCATTTTAAAGTTTCAGACTACTGCACAAAGTTACACAGAAGTTATTTTTGTAAAGACAATAAGAATGGATTTGTTGTTAGAAAAGGAAGTTGATTCATTAAATAAAGTTTAGTTTGTAAAATTAACTGAGAAAGGTTTTGGAACCCAAAGAACAATGAGTGATAAATTAATAGAAACCTAATCATAAACAGTTGTACTGCTACACCTCAGTGTTCTGTACTTAGTTACTGATCAATTTGAAATCATTGGAAAATGAAATATTATTTAAATGAAAACTGCCAGAAAAGTGTTACAATATGAACCGGACTTAAAATGTAGAAATAACTTACCTTTAGTGACAGACTTTCTGTGACTTTTTCTCTGATGTGATACTACGATTGTTGCTGTGACTTAGTCTGGCAGCTGGCGTGTCTGTTTTACTGTTCGACGTCACAACTGAAGTGAAGGTGTGTCGCCTTGAATTGTCCTGCCCCAAACATAACCTTACCTTGGAGATAATAATATTTACTTTGTATCATTCATGTGAACTAACAAAAACCGACACATCTTTAACAAATAGGACCTCAAAATTAAAAGCAGAGACTTTTTTAAGGTAAAAAACCATGGCTGCCATTATTAATAAAAATGAATAAATCAGGAAAAGAGTCAAACACGATAAGCTAAAGCTTTTATCCATAGTTCAGTTCTTTTTACTACACTATAAATAATGAAAGGGCTTTAAACTGTCATACAGCTCAGTTGTTTGCTATGTGAGTTGCATTCTTATTTTGTTTCCATAAATCTATGATGTTTATTTATTTATAAGTATATATTTGATTATCTGCAACATTTAAAAAATTTAAATCTATGACCGGGCAAAAAGCTTTTTCATAGGACCTTTTTAGTTTGAAGAAATTTCCGTCTGCCTTCTCCCATATAATATATTCAAAATATGCTTATTTTTAATCTCACCCTGAGGATATTTCCTCCCTCTGTTTCATAGCCTGAAACAATGATTCCAGCAGATCTACATCATGATCAGCAGAAGCTTATTCCAACATGTTCTGCACTGACACTGCTCAGTCGTAAAAATGTAGAAATCATGAGATTTATTTAGGAAACGTGATTTTATTTTCCCAAATTCCAGTATAAAAAGCAATTATCGGTACATGTTGTAATCCAATACTGAGCCTTTAGCCCAGAGTCTATTTGTAGAACTACATTAGGTCAATACTAAGTGAAACATTTAGATAAATACAGCCTTAAACAAGCAACATCATGTGGTTTTTAATGCCCTGACAATATTTGCTCAGTATTGCATGTAGGAGCTGGACAATAGTGCACAGAACCACCTTTAAGAGCAACAAATGACTTGCATTTCCATTAGCTTTAATGGACAGTTTTGGTTCAACTTTCTTCAATTTGCTTCAGTTTATTGGATATGTTGGCATTAATATTGTTCTAGATCGGCACCACTGGCTCTGACTGTATCTTGATTCTTTCTTTCTTTTTTAGTTGCTCAGTTGTGTATTTGCGTGAGTATCTATAACTTGTTTGTTTTGTTGGACTCTGGAGTTTCTGTCAGGCTTTACCTTTTGACAGATGGTCCCACATTTGATTTCAGAAAATGGTTTCTTGTGAGGATTTGGTGGATGCACTATCCCCGCCCGGGTTAACCTGTGACTTATAGGTTGAATATGTTTTATTTACACTGCCTTTCACAAATATTCACACCCCTTAAGGTGTCATTCTGTCACGTCACAATCCTTAATGTTTGTCTGGATTTTATCTCATACACCAAAAGATGTGGTGCATGTTTGTGAAGTAGAAGTGAAAGCATGACTGGCTTTCAAAACGTTTACAGATGAAAATCTTAAATGTGTGGGACAACTTCCTCGTTTACTTTCAAGAAAAACCTTAGTACAGTCAGCTCTTCTACAGAAATCAGCTCAAACTTTGCCAGTTTAAGAGAAATGATCTAATTTTCCAGGAAGTTAAAATGATTCTTAATTTATAATGTCTGGACTTTGACTAGGCCATTCTATCCTGCAGCTCCAGAGAAACAGGTGACTCTTTGGATCCCCAATATTGGTTTTAATACTTTTACCTGGAATTTATAAAGAACCCAAAAAAATTTTTATTAAATAATTGCACCTAATTTTAACAATAAAGTAACGCTCAACTTACCAGTAATAGTCAAGTTGTCAGTTAAATGCCTAACCTACATGCAAGAAAAAAAAACAAAAAAAAAAAACAAACAGGTTTATTTAGTTTAAGGGGGAGTATAAAACATTTCTGTTCCTTTGATCTTCCTGGGGGCTCGGGTCTCTGAGAAGGAGATTCGGAGGTGAAACAGAAGAATAATATGAAGCAGTGTGCGAGAGTGAAATTAAAGTTATTGGTTGCTGCCAGGAGAAAGCCGGGGGAATGAGTGGAGTCGTGGTGTGAATACTGAGTAAAGCTTCCAGAGGAATGGATGTGATGGAGGATGGACAGCTAGAGCAGACCGGTGGAAGATATATGGAGCCAGAAAGAGGAAGCCAGAAAGTTATGGTTCTTGTTCGATAGAGATCCGGTAGGAGGAGGAACACGGGTACTGTTCAGGTAGCCTTGAAAAGTAAACACGGGTGATGTTTCAGTTAAGTGTTTTTTTTTCTCAAGAAAAGCATCAAAAATACTCAGAACACTGGGCCAAACTCCCTGCAGTGATAAAATGGCTGCCAGTCCCTAATAAACTCCATATGATGAGAAGAGTCTGTCCATGACATCAACCTTTGGTGGCAAAAGAAAACTATGAAATGCAAAATATACACAAATCCCAGAACCTTAGCAGAAATACATTTTGTAGTTTAATTTTTTGTCTTGAGGTTAGAAACTAGACATTGTTTTCTTAATCGAAAGGAAATATCAAAATTCCATAAACAAAATGAATCCATCCTTTTATTTTGAAAGATTTATTATAATGTTAATAGCTTTAAAACAAAAAAAATAAAATTAAGAATAATTTCTTTAAAAATGAAAACAAATTTCCTTAAGTACTTTTTAATAGAAAATAGAACTTGCTCTTTTTTTTTGTTTTTTTTAAATCACTAGAAGCTCTAAATGAGTTTCATTTAATAGGAACGAGGATAAGAATAGTTATTTGGCCATAAAGGTTGACGCCTGATTTAAAACTATCCTATAGTATCGCTGAATGTATGTTAAGGGTACTTGTCAGGTTGGAAGGTGGAACTTCCCTGACTCTGCTAAAGAAAAGCATCCCCACAGCATGATGCTGCCAAAACTATGTTTCACCAGGAAGGTTTTGTGCACAGTCTAGCAGCAGATTTCCATCTCCCCTCTTACAGGTAAACATTTAGATACCATATCTTGGTAGGTCTGCAGTTGGTCCAGCCGTTCTCCATGTTCAGATAATGGATTCCACATACCTATAGGAGATGTTTAGAGCTTTGTATGTTGTTCTAAAACCTTACTCTGCTTTAAACTTCTTCACTACTTTCTGCCTGATCCTATAAACCAATGTCATGTTGGGGCTTTATGCAGAAATTAGTGTATCTCTTACTTAATAACAATCTCCACCACTTACAGCATTTTGAAACAGATTTGGTAAAATCTGGAAAAGGGGGCCGAGTTTACTTAATGGAGCTGATAAGCAATGATTATTGGTTATGTTATTTTGAATTGTTTTAGAGAACAAACTGAGCCCAAACTCTGAGAAAAGATTAAACAAGTAATGTTACATCATTACTATGGTAACCACAAAGTAATCTGAATAGTCCATTTTGATTTTTAGATCAAAATTATAACAATTTACAATCTTATGATAAATCTTTGCATAAACTGTCAAATCATCCATCATCCATTTTCTGTCATGCTTATCCCAAGCGGGGTTGCGAGGGGTGCTGGTGCCCATCTCCAGGGGTGGAAAGCAATGAATTACATTTACACAAGTTACTGTAATTGAGTACTTTTTATGAGTAATTTGTAATATTCTGAGTAGTTTTTGAAATATGTAATTTTTACTTTTACTCGAGTAAATTTTAACCTAAGTTTACTTTACTACATTTAAAACCCCCTCACGTTACTGAGTAAAAAAAAAAAAAAAAAAAAAAAATATTGATTAAATTAAATGTGGCCCTGCCTTGCAATTACCCTTTGTATTGTCTCATAATCCAGTGCTGCGCTTCGGAAGGTGGCAATTGTTAATCACAATTTAGGGAGTATGGATGAAGAAACGCCTGAAGAGGAAACATATTCTGGAGACAAAAGCCAGAAAAACCCTTGACCATATTTGGAAGGATTATTTGTTTTCAAATGCACAAAAGGGAACAATGTGATAATGCAGTGCAACATGTGCCTGCCCAGCAAAACAGAGCTTTCGGCTTTTAAAACATCAACATCCAATTTACGAAAAAATGTGGCATTAAGTTAGTTATCATGGTGTTGTCTGTTGGACAGTAGGATTGAAAATTGTTTGCACTTTATGGTTCAGGTTCTGACCGTCCTTGTGCTGTGAGGAAGTATGTTCTTTAGCCCAGCTGATCTTTTGCAAGTGTGGATGTCCACTGAAATACGCCTTGAAATCGATTAAAACACCTTGTGCTCAATTCGATTCATGACTCACCTTTTTTTTGCATTAAATAACTCAAAGTAACTAAGTAACTGTTACTCAAATTACATTTTAAATTAAGAAATTTTGTACTTTTACTTGAGTAAATTTTGAGATGGGTAATTTTACTTTTACTCTGAGTAGAATTTAGGCAAAGTAAAGATACTTTTACTCAATTACAATTTTTTTAGTACTCTTTCCACCTCTGCCCATCTCCAGCTGTCTACGAGCCGGGGTACACCCTGGACAGGTCAAATTATATTAGCATTATTCTCCTTTTCAGTAAACAAATACAAAGATTTTAATGTCTGTTCTAAAATGTGAGCATTTAGAAAAATAAAATAGAAATAGAGCTTTATTGAACTCACAATGGAGAAATTTACCTCTGCATTTAACCCATCCCTTTGGGGAGCAGTGGGCTGCCAACGTAAGGCACCTGGGGAGGAGTGTGGGATTACGGGATTACTCAGAGACCCAGAGTGGATGTGGGGATTGAACCAGGTACTTGCAACCTTCTCAGAAGCACAAGCACTGCTCTAACCACTAGGACACCTCTCCATTTATCAGAGGCCACTGATGTTTGGAAGTTTCCTTATAACTGTCTAGACATGTCTGTTGTATTCCTTGGCCTTCTTGCAGCTGTTTGTTTTCTGATGTTCTCTATACATCTGTAAGGTCTTCAGAGCATAGCGACAGTTTTAACACAAATATTGACCAACTAATCAGTCAATTTTTGGAGAAAACTGGTTGCAATAAACTATCTTTAGACTTTTCTGTCTTTTTGCTTCTCAATTTTTTCCCAGTACTTTGGCCTATCATTAATCCCATGAATTGAAACATTTCTTTTTGAATTTGATTATGCAGGTGTTGAAGCAGTGCCTCCAGAAGAGGGTGCCAGAAGCTTTGAAAGAGCAACACCTTTAGCCAAAAGTTTGTGTATGGATTTTGTGATTTCTGCCCATTTAGGCCTTAGTTTGAAAGAAAAACTAAATATGTGGGATTATTTCTTTCTGAATGATCAGTTACTAGTAATTTCTGGGTTGAGCAGTTTCTATTTTCATCAGATAAAGAACTTAAAGTATTCAATTCGCAACCTAAAGCCCTGATGTCTCATAGATAAAGAAATCAGCAAAGAACACAAATCCTGCTCTTTGTGATAGAACTTCTAGAAATGCTTTCTCTACAAGAGTTAAAGTTAAAATTATAACCAGGGATAACTGTCTGGAATTAAGTGTTAAAAGCAACTTTCATCTCTGTTTACTACATTTCTTATCCTCCAATAGGAGATGTTTGGGCGGAGTCAGGTAATGAAAACGTTTCAAGTTGACTTTGTCAGGACGTTTGGACAACCTCTTGGAGAAGATCTACTTTAGGTAAGAGAAGGTGACTAATTATTGAAATAATTAGGAAACTTTACCGTGCATCTTTGATGTGGAGGTTTGTCATTGATCGCTATAGCATCAGAGAGGTTTTATTTACCTCCACAGCAGGCAGGCAGCATACGTGGCAAGTATGCGCGTTTGTTGCTCCTACAACGTATCTGTGATTTAAATTTAGAATCACAGTTTTCTGCGCTTTTCATTGTTTTTATTATCTGTTAAACATTAATAAAAAAAATAATAGGGAGAACCCCAATAAAACCTTGGTTAAACAAATGCAATAAAAAAATGTAAAATATTTAGCATTTATATTATTATTATTTTAGTTTATAATTAAATTTTTAGCTCTACTGTTATACAAAAATACTAACACGTGTTGGAAAATTCAACATTAATCCCTTCCAGTATTTATTGATCTTGGAGGAGACAAGTGATGGAATGTTACGTTCAAACCACAAACCTGCGTCTTGAATCCAGTGTTAGCTCGTTCAAGTTGACAATAAATTTGCTTTTAAGGCGTTTATTTTTATTTGTGAGCAGTGGCGTAAAGCAAACAAAAATTATACAATTGTGTAAGATGAACATTTTTCCTGCTTGATATGAATTTTGGAGAGGTAGGCGGCATCTGTCTCTCAGTTTCCGAGGGGATCATGAACGCATCTCCTGGGGGTGTGGCATGGGCATCGCCTCGTTCTTGCATCAGGCGGAAGAAGCAACCTTTTGTGGAAAGAACACGCGGGTAAACTTGTCATATTTCTTTATGTGTTTTTACTTATACGTAAACATAGATATAAGTGGCGTCGCCTGCCTAATTCACTTTGAATGGTGAAAATGGAAATTAGCTCCGGGTTTATTTAAATGACTGCATTAGCCGCCTCCGTGGTCCACGTGCGTTAGGGAAGAATAAGAGACTTTTCCGCCTCTCTACTCATTGTTTTCTAGCAGTTCCAGCTGTTGGTTGGGGTTAAAATATGAACTGGTGTCCAAAGCTGTGAGTTTAGAATAAAATAGGGAGTTGAAGATGCTAATAATGATGTTATTAGCCCAGTGGTTTGTTATGGTAAGAACTAACTGAGTCAAATGAAATTAGCTGTTTTTTTTCAAAGAACAAAGGAACAAAACAAACTGTGTTTTGTGTATTAATTGAGCTATAAAGGTTACAGACCCCTGATCTTATAGATAAAAACTGTGATACCAGTTTTAACACATTATAGGGCAAGTAAGATCTAGAACCACAATATCTATATCCAGCCAATCAGCAAAGATGCTGCTACATGGCTGTACATCTTATTTTGGCATTTGACCAATTAGATGAGCCCTTGAATTATATATTACCTATTGCAAATTTAGATGGAAAAAAAGTTAACGAGTCAAGAAAAAAAAGGTAAAAAGCTAATTTAAAAGTAAAAAAAAAGGTAATTTGTTAATCAAAAAGTTAAAAAGTCAAGGAAAAAAAGTAAAAAGCTAATTAAAAAGTATAAAAAAGGTAAAACGCTAATTAGAAAGTTAATAAGCCTAGTTAACAATTATATTTAGATTTATAAACTAAAAAATGTAAGTACCAGTATCAGCATTAATGCCTTTATGTTTATATTGGACAATAAAAAAAAAAAAAGTATTTCTGTCATACTCAGTGTTTTTCATGAATTTCTTATAGAAGCACTTTTTTTTATTTTATTTTTATATATATATGACAATTTGGTGTTTCTTGTTTTTACATTGGCATTCATTTTTTCCATCAAAAAAAGATTGTTAAAAAGGTATTAAAATCTTTCCTAGAAAAAAGTCCTAGATTCCAATAATACTATTGGCTTGAAATGTGGATTTTAAAAGGATTTCACTGAGTGTCCTATAAAGTATAGCTAATAAAGGAAATAGTTATTGTGATGATTTATGGGTTTTATTAAGACAAATGTTTGTTGTCTTTTGCTTCAGATGGAGAAGCAGCCTCTGCCAGCCGATGATGACAAGGTGGAAGCTGTAGAGCCGGCAGCTGATGGCGGAACCGAGGCCATGCAGCAGGCCGCCTCTGAGCCTCCCGCTAGAGCGGGGTGGAACAGCAAGGTTGAATACTTTTTGGCTCAGGTGGGATTCAGCGTCGGGCTTGGCAACGTCTGGAGGTTTCCATATTTGTGCCACCAGAATGGCGGAGGTGAGAAGCATCCTCTATGCTGTTTTAAGACTTGTTTCATTTCTGATTGCCCATTTTTGTCAAGCTTAGACCTTCTGGAAATTCTAGCTTCTTTTAATAAATGAAACCGCTTTAAGAGCAGCATTTTAAATATTTTGTAGCAGTTTACGCTCCTTAAATATTTATATCTGAAACAGAGAACAGCTATTTTAAATCAGGGATTTAGAAGCGTAAAACAAAGAGCAGGCATTTTAAACTGCCTCTGGTATTTTGTTATTCCCTGTTTAGTCTTCCGTTTCCTCCTTTACACTTTTTATGTGATTCAAATCTGGTTTGTCTGATCCAAACCATCTCTGATACCTCTTTCTCACCGGCCAAAAAACACAATTAAACCCACTAACAATAATTTTTTAGTGGATGTGCGAACAGCTAATGGACGCCTGTCTAACAGGGTCAAACGACTCAGCAAGCGACTCGTGTTAAAATTGCCTCGGCTCAGATTTGCATGTTGTGCGAACACAAGAGACGGGGCGACCCGCTAATTTAGGTAATACCACTGAGCTTAATGTACAGACATTAACACACCGCACCAGTCGCTTCTGATCTAAAAACCGAAACAACTCTGTTTACATTCCATAAACTTGGAGCAGCACTGGTAAGGGTGATTCGGACAGATAAAAGAGCGGGACAATAAAGCACACTTACTACGCATTGGCCTCCTTACTTGTTGCTCTCCATTGTTTATTTTCCTTATATCTATTGCACTGGTGACAGCATCAATGCTAATCCTGCGTGATGGCGTTACAAGACATGCAGCAGCGGGTAGGGCTGTAAATCACATCCATCATGGTGATTCGATTCTGTATCGTTTTCCTGACCCAACGATACGATTATTTTCGATGCTCAAGAATACACCACGATATGATTTGATTCGATTAATTGGCTTATTTATTTATTTTTTTACCTTACAGGCTAAACAATGTTTCAAATTTGAAATAAATAATTGAAAGCTGTAATATCGTTATGCATTTTATCTGAGAAACAACAGCAAATAACAGAAGTAGGAAAGTTGCACTCCACCTAGGCCTTAAAACCTCATTCACTGAAAATTAATGATAACACTATGTTATAGATTCTGAAAGGCCTTGCATCAAAAAAAAAAAATATATACTGCACAAAATAGCTGCAATGAGTGCAATGCAATACCTCAGTTCCAGAGTGTCGACGTCCCCGGCCCCTCCGCAGACACTCCGCTGCATCTCTCCAAAATTGTAGTTGACCGCAGACAGGAGGCCGGCTTGTTTTGTTTTTATGACCGAAATTGCGGAAAACAACTCGTGAAGTTGGGCCAGCTAGCAGAGCGAGGTGCACGAGAACGCCGGGACCCTTTTTCCACCTGGATCCCCGCTATTTTTCGCCGTCATGTCCCTCTGTTGTCGGACAAATTGGCTCCCACTTCCTCTCCGCCTCGGCCGTATGAATCGATACTCCTGCGGACGTGTCCATGCATCGGATCGTCGGCTGTTGGATCGATACAAAATGATTATTATTTACACCCCTAGCAGCGGGGGGACAAACGTCGTGAAGCTTGCCAGCGAGGGGTTGTAACCATGTTTTTTTGTCAGTGAGAAGGGAGACAAATGCTGATTGTTAACGGGTCGACTTATGTTTGAAAAAACATGCGTTACCCGCTATTTCCAGTTGGAAAGAGGCTTGAGTAACAAAGGCAAATGCAAACACTGCTGAACTGTCCCAGGTCTTTTCCACTGATAGGCATTTATAACTGATCATGACAAGCTTTAAAAGTAAAAACAAGAAAACAAAATGGTATAGAGTTTCTAGCTTTGGTTGGAGTTTCTGATTTTGGTTTTCTCCTCCCAGGAGCTTTTCTCCTGCTCTATGTGCTGCTAATGCTGGTGATGGGGATCCCCTTGTTCTTCCTGGAGCTGGCAGCAGGTCAGGACATCCGGCAGGGAAGCATCGGGGTTTGGAAGTACATCTCTCCTAGGCTTGCAGGAATCGGCTACTCCAGCTGTGTGGTGGGTAGATGCTAAACACTCAGCATGTGTGGATGAAAACTATACAGACAAATAATGATCTCATAATGTTGAACAAGCTTTTTTTCCATAATATAAAAAAACAAAAAATATTTAACTCTGGAGGAGGAATTTCTGGACTGCAGAAAACCTTTTTGAATAAAATGAATCTATACTGTTATTTTATATCTATGATATGAGAAGTTTATTTTGAATGTTTGCAGTCTTAGAAAAACAGACCCAAATAAACAATCGAATTACAATTGGCCTTCGCAGCGCTTTGCTGCTCGGGCCTAATAAAGAGGTTATTAAATGTTTGCTTATATGAATTATGTTTTTACGTTTGGTGGAGCATCTAGCCTGATACTTTATCCTACCGGCTAAGTATTAAGTTTGCATGAGAAATGAAAGCTCATAACACATGAAATATTTTAGGCAACAATTTTTGCATTCTAAACAGTCCTTTAGGAGTTGAATATTTCACACATTAATACTTGTAGAACACTATATCCTCAATATTTTAGGCTGTTTTATGCGTTTTACTAGTGTTATCTTAACAGGGTTGTGCAGAAAACTGTCCGGAGTGACACCTATATTCATTTTGATTAAACTAGATGCATGTTTTTGTTCCCAAACATTAAGGTTTGTTTCTTTGTGGCGCTCTACTACAACGTTATCCTTTCCTGGAGTCTTTTCTATCTTGGGAGCTCCTTCCAGTATCCGTTGCCCTGGAACCATTGCCCAAACCAAGGGAATATAACTGGTAAAAAAATATATAGAAATTTCCAGCGGACAGGTTATTTTAAAAGTTTTCTAAGGTTATTCACAGATGGTGGTTTCTCTTGTTCTACCAGAAAAAGAATGTGAAGACAGCTCCGCCACATCTTACTTCTGGTATCGCAAAGCTTTGAACATAACGGACTCCATCGACGAGGTGGGCTCCTTCAATCCCTACATCGTCGGCTGCCTGTTTGCAGCGTGGACCATTGTGTGCCTGGGAATGTTCAAGGGTATCAAGTCTTCTGTCAAGGTAATCATTCAGGTCAATTCTGGATAATTAAGTTAAAGTTTTTTAAATACACCTCATTTTTCTATTTGGCTGTGAATCTGTAATCTAATACATTCAAGACAGTCGATTTTCAACCGGCTATATTTTCCGTTGCTCACTTATTCGGGGGTCACCACAGGAAGTCAATACACTAGATAACTGAACAACAACTTGCTCAGATTTAATTGCTCATAGTTATTTTCCAAATTGTCTTCTCATATGAAGGAATAACAGGGTTTCTGCAGGTCATTAAAAGTCATTAAATTATATTTTTTAATTAAGGCCTTAATTGGCATTAAAATGAATTAAATGTGATTATTGTGGCATTTAAAATGCTTTATTTAAAAACAATTCTGTCAGATATATTATATTGCGATATATTTGCGCGGAACTGCTTCAGGTTGATCGTAAAGCCGTATGTTCGGAAAAGAAGGCGGAAAAAAAGCTAGAGAATGGGGAAAATGCAAAGTCACCCCCCTTCATACTACGTTCTTTAGGCAAAGCCCCGCCCCTTCATGTGACCCTCTTTAGGTAAAGCTCTGCACCTTCACCCATCTCTCTTAAGGGAAAGCTATGCCCCTCCATCCAACTCTCTTAAGGCAATCAACTGGATTAACCGGAACTGCTTCCGGTTGATCGTAAAGCCTTATGTTCGGAAAAGGAGGTGGAAAGAAAGCTAAAGAATGGGGAAAATGCAAAGCCCCCCCTTCATACAACGCTTTTAGGCAAAGCCCCACCCCTTCATGTGACGCTCTTTAGGCAAAGCCCCGCATCCTCATCCATCACTCTTTAGGCAATCAACTGGATCAACCGGAACTGCTTCCGGTTGATCGTAAGGCCTTATGTTCGAAAAAGAAGTTTGAGGCGGAGAAAAGGCTAGAGAATAGGAAAAAAATAATTTCGACAAAAGTGGCTGGAAAACGAGGAATTCCGGACATGGCTGCAACCTGTGGACTGGCACTTGTTGATGGCATTGAAATGATTTCTAAGAGCATTAAAAAACATTAGAGTTACTCATTCCTGTATAAACCCTGAATAAAGTAGATGATTTATTTATTTTTCATTTTGCCAGGTGATGTATTTCTCCTCCATCTTTCCTTACGTGGTGCTAGTTTGCTTTCTGATCCGAGGGCTCATGCTGGACGGAGCTTCAGAGGGAATCGTCCACATGTTTTACCCTAAGGTACCCGATCAATTCGCTATCATGGAAGGGGAAATGAGGACAGTGTCCCTGATGCACCTTTTTTTCTCCCTAGCTGGAGATCTGGGGCGACATTCAGGTTTGGCGTCAGGCTGCCACACAGGTTTTTTTTGCTTTGGGCCTCGGCTTCGGATCCATCATCGCCTACTCCTCCTACAATCCCAAGAACAACAACTGCCACCGTGATGCCTTCACTGTCTCTTTTATCAACTTCATGACGTCTGTGCTGGCCACTCTGGTGGTGTTTGCTGTGCTGGGCTTCCGCGCTAAAAGAGAGGTCAAGATCTGCGTTGAAAAGTAGGTTCAATCTTCCGGAAGGTTTAAACTGATGGTTCACGTTAGAAATTAATTTGTCTACAGTTCCTTAATCCGTGAAGGTTCAAACAGGAAAAGATTGAGACAATATGTTTTTGTTTGACTTCCTTTCTTGTATCCTTCCCTCAATTCCAACTTTAATCTAGATGTTTTCTTGTTTTCAGTAACGCAAGGAAGCTGTTACAGCAGTACAATGAAGGTCTAGTGTCTCCAGGCCTGATGCCCACCTTCAACTATTCTGACCTGGGCTCCCCGAGTGTAGATAGCTACAGAAACTGGTTTCAGCAACATGTAAAAACCATCCCTGGTAATGTAACAGAGTGTGACCTGGAAAAAGAAATGCAGAAGGTGAGGAATACGCTTTTGGAGCTTTGAATGTGTAACTCTCTGTAAACATGAGCTAAAGCTGGCAGTTCTGTTCCCTCCAGGGTGTGGAGGGCACAGGTCTGGCTTTCATTGCCTTCACAGAGGCCATTACCCAGCTACCCGGCAGCCCCTTCTGGTCGGCGCTCTTCTTCCTCATGCTGCTTAACTTGGGCCTCAGCACCATGTTCGGTACCATGGAAGGGATCCTAGCGCCTCTCAGGGACCGGTTCAAATTTCTGGCGAAAAACAAGACCAAACTCACAGGTAAGCATGAAGCCTAGCTGATCTGTTGGACTCCGTTTTTCCTGTTTTGCTCCTAACTCTCCTCCATCATGGCTCCAGTTGTCAGCTGCGTTATCGGCTTTATGATCGGCCTGCTCTTCACCCAACGCTGTGGGAACTACTTTGTGACCATGTTTGACGACTATTCCGCCACGCTACCTCTCATCATCGTTGTGGTGTTTGAGACCTTCAGCGTGTCTTGGCTTTATGGAGCTGATAGGTGAGAATCAGCTCAACAATGAAAGATGACCAGTCTCCACGAGTTTAGGCTGATCGCATGTTTTTTTTTTTTTTTTCTGCACAGATTTCTTGACGACATCGAGGCAATGCTGGGCTGGCGGCCCTACGTCATTTACAAATACCTGTGGAAATACGTTTGCCTGTTGGCCATGTTGGGGCTGCTGGTCGCTACGACCGTTCGTATGTTCATGAAAACGCCAACTTACATGTCGTGGAATCATGAAACGGTAAGTTTATGAAGGAAGAGAAGAATGTATGTATATTTATTCATTTTTGTAAATATTTGTTAGGTTTGCAATTAGCCCCTTGATACCCAAAAACACAAATTACCGTATTTTCATGAGCATAAGGCACACCGTACTAAAAGGCGCAGTCTCAGTTATGTGTGCCATTACTGTATTTAACACACACATAAGGCGCACCGTACTATAGGGCGCGGGTTTTATATACCAGTACATATCCTCTACTACATATCCTCTACTACATATCCTCTGCGCGGTGCAAAAGTTTGTCTGACACGCGTTGGGCGGAGCTACTCTATCCTTTCTTTGCCTTGCAGCTATATTTGCTGTGATCAGTAGGAATATATTAATATGTTTTTTAAGTGGGAAAATCCACCTGAAAACTTAATTCAACAGCAGCCTCTGGCCGGGTCGCCTCCTCGCGGTTCACCGCGGCGGCTGGCAGGGGTTTTTCATCTAAATAATCCAAACTGCAGGCACCAGGATAATAAAAGCGAACATATTCTGTCTGCAGGTTTCAGCATTTTAAGTTAATTTAGGCGTTAATAAACTTTTTCAGAGGAGTGATCACAGCGCTCTGTATCATCAGCGCTGTGTCTGTCTCGCTGTCAGCTCCCAGATCAGCTTCGATGATTGGTTGATGCGGCGCGTCCAGCAGCAAAACTTAAATTTTTCCATCTCGAGCAGCAGCAGCTCGTTTGCGGCGCGTCAAGCGCGTTAGATGCTTAAATGCTCCCGACGCGCTGAGCCTGCTGCTCAAAATGCGCTGCAGGACCTTTTGCTGCGCCTATACGCGCGTCAACCATTGACTTTGCATGTAAACTCGCTGCTTCTGCTGCGTCTGGTTCACACCGATGTTGAGCGGTTGAAGTTCCTTTGTCAGACCTCCCAGAATAACAGCAAGCACAGCGTTTCATTTCACCATGTTTTGCACATCGGCTAAGAGATGGGCATGCATGGAGTCACAGATGAACAGCGATGGTGATGAGAGGAAAAAACCACCTGGTCTCCTTACAAACACCTCCCTCAGCCACTCTTTCATCATCTCCTCAATGAGGTGGTCTCAAAAGTCTCAGTTACAACACAGATAAAAAAGACGTTTATGTGCGCCTTATAGTCGTGAAAATACGGTATTTATCTGCTCTCTTCTGTAGCTTCAAGCTAGAGAGCAGGTTTGCTTTATTTTTTTAGAGGAAATGGCAAAAATAGTTCTGACATGTTTTTAAGTGAGAAAGTCCACCTGAAAGCATCATCTGTGTAGTCAGATGATCCGGATTATAATCCTGTAAAATATGCAGTTCCTGTTTGGAGCGCATACCGGCTGGCAGCAGCGCTGAAAATCTCCGCTGCGAGCTCTATTTTATGACCAGCCTGTGAGGCATTTCCTGCTGCATTTCATAGCGGCTCGAAATGAATACAAAGAGGTTTTAAGGTTGTGGGGAAAAAAACTGCAAGTGTCGGAATATGCAATTGATTTAAAGCAGCAATAATCATCAGAACTCGCTCTTTTCTTTGTACATAACAATCCATTATCCCTGCTTATTGTTTATATTTTTAAACCTTTGGGGTTTAAACACTTTGTATTCATTTTTCATATGTTGAAGCTCTGCAGAAGTAATAAGAGCTTGCATGTAGTGTCTGTCTCCTGGAAAAAAAATCCCTAGATCAGGTTTTCTGATTGGTTGGCGCTCTGGCGTCCTGCAGCAAACGTTCAAATTTCTACACTCCAACATGGAATGCTCTGATGCCAGAACACTCAGATGTGCTCCTCAAACTCTTAACATCTCCATAGACTTTGCATGCAAATCAGACGTTTTGATGCCCAAAACGCATTTGGAGTGAATGCACCATTAGGGAAAAACATTAACCAAAAACGGCTTCATGTCTCCTTGCAGAGAAAAAAAACCTTCCAAACAGCTGCACTTCTATTTCCTCTTTTAAAGTGTTTATTTTTTATGGTTTATTTCAGGCATCTGAGATTCATCTGCCGTATCCCAGCTGGGCTCTGGCTGTTCTGGCCTTGTTGATCATCTTTGCCATGCTGCCGGTGCCTGTGGGTTTTATCCACTCTGTTGTGCAGGACCGGAGACGGCCGACGCACAGGGACACGGAGACGGGTCACTACAGCATTGTCAACGGCGATGAAACCCCCATGACCGACATGTCTGAACCCGACCAAAGGAACTGCTTCTTGGTTACTGAATCTTAGAGGAAACTAGGGCTGCAACCAACGAATATTTTGCAAAACGATTAATCTGTTGATTATTTTTTCGATTAGCAATTGTATGGCCAAAGGTTCCTTAAAGATTTATTACGAAAGTAAACCAGGTGAAACTAAAACATTTCCACTTGAGGAGTTCTGGATAGGGCATATTAACGGACGGAAAAGTTTTATTTTTAATCTTAATTGCAAAATGTTTATATATTATTTTACAATTTAGATATTATTACTGCTCTAAGTGAGTTTCTCTTTCAGCTAAAGATGTATTTTACAGTCTCTATATTCCAGTTAACGATAAATCGATTACTAAATTAGTTGACGATTATTTCAATAATCTATTAATCAAGTTCATTGTTTCAGCCCTAGAGGAAACACAAGAACTGCCGTAATGAATTTAAATTGCGATTTTCAGACATTTTTTTTATTGAACTGCTTTTTACAGCATGCATTTGACAGATTTATTTTATTTTTAAGTATTTAAAAGTATTTCCCCTTATTTATTCTTAAGTTAAATTAAATCCATGGCTTTCCAGAGGCCCATGGTTTACCAAGATGATTTTATTTTCCTGCAATTACGACTTTTAAAAAGTTGATATTGAAAAAAAAAATGGAGCTTACAGATTTCAATGTGGAGATTTGATGCTGCTGCTCTGATCGAGATGAGCAAAAAAACAAAAAGAAAAGAAAACATGAGCCATTTCTGCAGAGCTGACGGAGAATAAAGGGCTAGTTAGCTTCATAAAGAACCGTGAAGCTAACCGGTTGGACCCATGCGTGACGGGAAAACCTTTTTATTATTTTAAAAACACCAATCAACCAGGCTGTTTGAAGCTCATCACTGCCAAAAACTATTTGCAGAGAAGAATTTTCCCCTCTGGTTTGTACTTTTCAGTACAGTATTGTATTACAGCACAGTAAATGTTTACAGTGATTGTTACACTAAGGGCAGCCTGAGGAAATATCAGGATGGATTAAAACATCAACAACATATTTTTGCAGGGATGCTTCCTAAATCAGCATATTAACGGTTTAATCAGCTGATTAACATCTGGGTTTGGGCTTCGTTGGGGTTTGATTCTGATTCCTTGTTTCGATTCAAACTCTTGATTCTTCTAAGAGGTAGAGTTTTTTTTAAAGTTACAACTAGTTTATAAATATCAGACTTATAAAGTTGAATATAAATGTTTTGAGTTTTCCTTTTCTGGGCATTACACTCTAATATGGAGCTTTAGTTTTTCACATTTACACACATTTAGTGTCTGATGCTGCTGATACTTAAACCATACAAGATGTTTTATTCTGATTCTGACCGGAGTGCCCTAACCCAAAGTAGAGGAAAAATCTGAATTTGTCCCCCCTGCGTTTTGTTGACGAGGCAAACTTAATTCTAACTTGTGTAGATCTACAGTTAATGCATTCACTCATGAAGTAGGTAGGAAATCAGCTGCTATGAGTCAAAAAACAATTATTTTAAAGCAGCAAAAATGGATAGAAACGTCCTTTATAATGCACGTTAAAGTCGGGAACTTGTTACTTTGACACCGTTAGTCTGGTTGTTTAACCGTGTTGGTTGTTGGTCCTTTTTTGAAGCTGTTACTCCTAACCACCTGATTGGTCGCTTCATTTATTAGCTGTGATCTGCATATTAGATCCAGCTTCAGACTGGCCCAGTTTTTCTTCATGCTGTCCACTTAACCAGTTCATTTTAAACCAGTGGTCTCTAATTTAAATCCCCCACCTCAGAGTCCTGCTACTTCTACATGTCTATTTCCTCTGGACACCAGACTGAAGGCCAAACTACCTTAATAGCAGCAGTTGGGTTGTGCTAATTAGCTCCTGTAGGGGTCGGTTGTTGGATCTAAAAGTTGCAGGTGGCTGACCCTGTAGAAGTAGCAGGACTAGAGTTTGAGAATGATTCAAATTTGAGTCCCTTATGATGCTGTGGTGCTGGTGCTTTTACCTTGTGAGCCAACCTTTGCACTTGGTGCAGATTCTCTGCTATTGGTGTTTGTTAGCTTCTTCCAACTTTTTATCCAACTTTTTAAGGCAGTCAGAACGACCCTGTTCTAGAATCTGATACGCTTCTGATTTTAGTTTTAAAGCATGTTCGCGTTGATGGTTCATTCATAAAAACTCCACTCCAGCATAACAGTCACTGCTGCAACAAAACAAAAAAACACTTTGGAAGCAGACTGCTTCTGCTCTCCTTTTTCTTTAAACTTTCTTCGTTGTAAGATGTCATCATTATATTATCGGCTCCCAACTTATAATCACACAGAGATGCATATATCTGTTGTTACTTCTGTGGCCTGAGCGTTGCTGTGTGACGTTGCGTCGGGGCTGTGAAACGTTCAGGATGAAGTCTGATGGAGGCTGCAGTTAAGAAGTAGTCTAATCCATGCAAAAAAAATCTGACTTCATCCAAAAATTGGATTAAAGCATCAAGAGCTTCAGTATGAGCGTAGCTTAAGTTCAATCTAAACTTGATGCCTAAACCAACCAGGCCATATCAGTAACATTGATGCATATATTGATGTGAAATATTGATGTCGGTTGAACCTTATTTTTTTATTTTTTTTTATTTCCATCTTTGCCACTTTTCTTGTGGTACACCTGAACTTTTCCTGAAGCACAGTAAAGGATATTTTCTGTTCTACTTTACAAAAAAATGTCGCTCGACTCCAAAATGTGAACCCTAACAAAGTATTTATACTGAAAGCATTCATTTATTTGTGGTTTTATTGCCATTAAAGTGGCTTTTTTTAAGAGGAAACTTCTGCTGACTGAATCAGTCATGAAATATTGAGCTAAACACATATCTGTCTTTTGTAAATATGTAAATAAAGCATGTAAAAAAGAAAACTTTAGACTTAAATTTGCATGAGATAAGGCTTTTTAGTTTAGATTGCTTGTAGATGCATCTGAGTTTGTCTTCTCTGAGTTTTTATTTGTCATATTTTCACTTTTATATGTGAATTTGATTTCAACATGGTTCATATGAACATAAAATGCTGTATTTAAAGTGCCTTCTGCTTTCATAAAAGAACAAAGTGTTTAATGTTTCAGATTTTTTTCATGTTTTATAGCTTTGTGTTTGATGGGTACGTGATCTGGGTGTGTGTGGTAGGAAAGCAAATGTAAAAAATAGATTTTATCTGTTATAATAAAGGATTCTGCAGCACAATATCCTAGACTTCTGCCTATTTTTACCTGCTTTCATTTTTTCCAAACTTTTCTTTTTTTAATTTTAAAGCTACAGATTCTATAAATAGTAATAAGAAATTATCCTAAACATAAAGATGCAAGCAGAAGTGAAGGATCAGTTTTTGTTCCTTTTTTTTGGTTCCAAAAGTCTGATTGTTGGATAACGATTTAATACTGGTGATATTTATTTCCAGAGATGTTTTCTTACCTTACGCTCGGGCTGACTCAGATTTCCATAGGTTTTTGTCTTCTCTTTAGGAAAGTCAGACAGTGGGAACATTTCTGCTCTCATGTTCTCCACCATAATAACTTCTGCTACCTGCCGTGTGAAATCTGCACCATTATCTGTTTGGGAAAAGCTGAGACCCATAAAGATGTGGGCCAAGACAAACATCTGAGGAGCTGCCTGGAAGAGTTCCCAATACCTTTCTATAAAAGGTCAGGATCAAATTCGGACTTTTACTGAAATCCTGATGGAAACGCGTATTTTATTTTACTTGCTTTGTCTTTTCTTATCTGGCGCCTCACATTGATGGAACAAGGTGGTCTGAAACATGAAGCTGAAGGTAATTTTCTTTCTAAAGAGGGGCGGATGACCTACTGTAGCGAATGGAGCGTGGGAATGAAATGCATGTTACTATTAACAGTGTATTCAAAAGGTTAAATTTTGTTTGAATTAGGTTAACGTAAGATGTATTTTGACTTCTGCTTATTTGAAACTATTCAGACCATTTATGCGTAATGTTCTCACCACTAACAGTTGATTAACTTTATAATTGTGTGCACAGTTGTACAGCAGACATCCACTGAGCCACAAAGAGGTAATTGTTGAAGAACCTGGATGTTCACTAGAGGCTGTATTCAAGTGTAAGAATGGAAAGTTAAGTGAAAGGAAAACATGTTATTGAAATATAGTTTGGATTCGGTTCTCATACAGCTTTCAGAAGCTAAGATACAGCCCATGAGCTACAACCGTAGCCTAACATTAAATTAGAGATGCCAGTGGTGTGTTGTCTGAACTGAAGAAAAATAAAAGTCGTCAAATGTTCTCTACAGACTACTGAACTACAAACTACTGAACACTTTAAATGAAAAAAGAAAAAAAAACATACAAGACGTTGTTTAGAATACATGCTAAAAGATTTCTGAATAAACTGAATTTTGCCAACTAGTTTGATGAAACAGCCCTCAGCTTAGAGGTTTAAGCTGCTTCTACATTTCTATGGCATCTAGTTAGTTTGTTCATAAACAATTATTTACAAAACTTTTAGCTTCATGCCAGCTGATGTGCTGGTGCCTATCTCCAGCTGTCTACAGGCACGAGGCGGGGTACAACCTGAACAGGACGCCAGTGTATTGCAGGGCAACACAGAGACAAACAGGACAAACAACTGTTCACACACTCACACCTAAGGAGAATTTAGAGAAGCCAATTAACCTAGCAGTCATGTTTTTGGACTGTGGGAGGAAGCTGGAGTACCCGGAGAGAACCCACACTGCTCAGGGAGACAAACTCCATGCAGAAAGACCCCAGGCCGGGAATCGAACATGAAACCTTCTTGCTGCAAAGCAACAGTGTTACCCACCTCGCCACACAAAATATTTTATATTAGGTATATAATCTGATACAGATTCAAGATCAGGTGAAGGCAGCGATGCTAGGCTGATGTAGCAGGATCTGTGGTTTTGAAAGTACACAAAGGTTTGCTCTGCTTAAAGGAAGACTGAAACCTATTTCAGTTCTCTTGAGTTTTTAAAATATATTTAGAAAATAATTTATTTAATTCTTATTGCATTTTTATTTAT